CGAGAGGGCGTTTTATCTTGAGCAATGTTCGCGAGACACACTTTAAACAGCCTCTAATCTCGGTGACTTTCGTACGATATCCTTGACTGAGCACCGATGTAATTGAAACATCGCGCGTACGACGATAAAGGAGATAATATCGAATAAAAAAAAAGGAAAGAAAGAAAGAAAGAAAGAAAAGGAAAAAGAATAGAAAATCACTCGACTTGATTTAATATTTTTTTTTTTTTTTTTTTTTTTGGAGATGGATTGAAATGAAATGAAAATGGGGAAAAAAATTGAAAACGAACAAGACGCAAAATTAATTAATTTCTTTGGAGAAAAGGAATGAGTTGGCATGTTGGGCATATCGTGTAAATAGATAACGCGAGATATTCGCGAAATAAACTTTGGTATAAACTTTGACTTGGAAAAATCAACGATCTTACTTGATCCATATATAGTTTGGTATATTTAATAAAATTATAACACCTCTTTCGTGAACATTAACAACCCATTGCTGTATTAATTTCATGCTCGCACAAGTATGAAACAGTTTTGGTCCGAAGCGGTACGATCTCACGGTACCTGAGAAACACCCGATGCATGAAATATAATAACAAATTCCGAAACTCCATCTGTGAAATTACACTAATCGAGTTAACCTTTTTTTATTTAAACGATCCTATTACAAACTTCAGTAAACTCAACTAGTAATACTACTCTCTTTTATGACCTATTCTATTCGAACTGTATCCAATTGCTTTAAAATACTCGACTTGTAAAAATTGTTGACCAACTTATCTTACGAAACGAATTATAAACCAATGAAATTCTCGCGATAAGTGGTATGATTTTTTTTTTTTCTTTTCATTCTTCTCATATTTACAATAAAAAATTTAATCGATCAATCAAATATTAAGAACGATCCTGTTCTAAAATTATTCGAGCTAAATATATCACAACATCCTTTTGTTCCTCTCGAAGTTTCGCTTAACCCCCTTAAAACCGATCATAAAACGCCTTCTCCCAATTGTTTCGTACGTGTTTTTCTTCCCTGCTGCGAGCTGGCCACGGGTAACTCGGGTAAACATAAGCGTTTAATTCTCGGGAGCGCAACATCGATGGTCTATTTTAGCTGCGCTGCAAAGGACCAACAGCAACGATGTCTGGATAAGAAAAGAACCGGCACGTGTCTGTGCACGGTAAGGACGCTTCAGGGGGTTGGAGCGCACGTGCTCCTTTATTTACCACGCCATTTTACCAACGCAAATGGAGAAACTAGTTCAAGTGTATTGCGAACGCACTCCGTATTTTATTCAACGATTCTAATCGTTTGAAATTTTGCTCTTTGAAAATGAAAACACGTTTATTAGAGAACTTTTGGAAAATAAGTTAAGGGGAAATATTTTGATATACGTATTTTGTTTTTTAATATATCGATCATTTATAAATATCTTCAAAAATATTAAAATTCGATCTAAACGATAATAACGTAAATTCTTCTTGAAAGAAATCATAAAATTCAACGAAATATTAAAAAAAAATATATATATCTTTCTAAAATATCGAACGAATTATTTTCTAAAGTAACTAATTTTTAACTCTATGATTTCTGATTTTGTTCGATGGACAAGATTCTTAATAGAGCTGCAAGATTTCCGGCATTTTTTTAATTGGAAACTCGCCCGAGGCGAGAAAGAAAACTGGGAAAAGATACATCCGGGTGCATCGCCACCCTTTTCAGAAGAACACTCTTCGCAACATTGTTCCTGACGGGGTGACTCTCAACCCCTTGTGCAGCGGAGCGGGCGTAATCCACACAGACACGCGGACACTATCGCGTACTACATATTTACATACTCGAGGGGTGATTTAGATGCGCTAAAAAAAGCCGATACCAAGCTTTAAAGCAGATGCGACGCGAAGCGAACGACCGCCAGGGATCGACGCTTTCGACGAATCGTTCCTCCGGATGCCGTTATCTGATCTGTGTCTGGAATTCCTATTACGCGCCAACGAATGCAAATTTTTCCCTAACCGTGACAAATTTTCTTCCGTTCAACATTCTTTCCAAATACTCGAAAACAATATTGAATTCGAATAAATTAAATAATAAATAATCGTGTTACCTATCCCGTGTTTCATTGACGAAATTTAATGGGGCAGTTCAATCATATTTCAACGAATAATCCCGAATTATTCCACGCGTCCTACAATTAAAAAAAAAAAAAAAAAAAAAGGAAAACGAGTACGAAGACGTTTTTTCGCTGTGTTCCATAATCGCTTTAGGACACTCTAAACTCACGAGGACTGGTACGAGCTCCCTTTCGAGCACCCTTCACGGAGTGCAAATACGAATCCCACCTCGATTACTTCCACTAACGACTTTCGCTACCGAAAAGTAAATCCGAGACAGGGCAGGAAACAGAGGGAGAAGTCTATTAGATCTGTCCGCGTGTCCTCCAACCAGACGAACCGAGTTAAGCATTCCGATACTTCGAGCATCTTGACCGTCGGAAATTACGGGGAGGAATTCGATCTACTCGAATAACTTAAATAACCCTATTACCCGGCCGACATCGAATTGCCTCCAGCCAATTGATAAAATGAATTGATTTCTTCGATTCGAACACCCAGATCGACAACTTTAAGTGATAGGTACGAAATTGATGTATTTCGATCGACTCAAATTCTCATCCTTTATTCTAATCCTTTAATCACCTCAATATTTTCGATAATATTATTTAATTTTCTGTTCTAAATTCGATGCTCGTTACTCCAATATAACATTTCTATTCTTACTGTTTTATTCCTACTTCAATAATTCCTCCTATTCCGCTCTTCGTAACACGGTTTCTAAAAGTTATATCGAGTTATATAAAATTCCATGCCGCCGCGATCAAACTTTCAAATCGGCCGCGCCTTGAGCCATGAGCGTCGCGTCAAGGGTAGTCCCCCTCGCCTTTCCTTTCAACGTGTATAATGGATATACATATAGGTGTATGCGTTTTCGCAATGCTGCATCGGGCAGGATGTCGCGGAAGGGGTTGCGTTCTCGCACCGGTAACGCGATCAATAAGATAATTGAAGACTTTCTCGACAATGCCGGCGGAAGGGAGCAATTTCGCCATCTCCCTTGTACTTGAGCAAGGTCATTGTTTTCGAGGGGATTCTCATCTCGTTCCTAAGCATCATCCGCATGAACGGTTATAATTGTATCCTGCTGAATTAAACGCCACACTTGGTGACCATTGCCCAGATATTGTACGAGTTTATTTGAGGAAAAAGCAGAGTCGTACAGTGGCGAGGACCGTGACTCATAAATTGCAAATTCGATCGATAAAATGGTGATGATGGGATACAAAAAACTACGAGTGTGTTATATTATCGCTTTTATTTTGTACCGTACGGAATTACGGAGTCTATGATATATATTAGAATAATTTATAATAAAATATCCAATATATTGCATTATATAGGTACAAGTTTACCGATACTACGATATTAGTTCATTAAAAATTTGTACATAATTGTCTAAATTATGTGTTTAACAAATGTGCGTAATCAAAAGAAAAGATTTAATCCTTTCGTATTTAACGTAATATCTCATGTTTTTGCAATGATATCGTGTCTCGAAATTATGTTTATAGATGTAAATAGATTAAATGTTCCAATATTAACTCTACACAGTTACAAGTTTACAAGCTTGCACGAATAAAAAATTAATCTTTGGCCACAGACACGCGGTCGAGAGTAAAAAGCTTCGCAAAGCGAGACTGCACGCTCAGTTAATCAACCGTGAACTCGTAGAAATAAGGAACAACGACTCGACAATGAGATGCAAAGCCCATCGAAATCGATCGAAAAATCGTGAATAAAGTGTACATCTTGATGCGTTATATCTGTGGAGAAACTGTACAATTGCAATGGTGAAATGTAATTGGAACAACTATAGGTATTCGAAGGACAAGCACGTGCGATCACGGTCACATGGCCTTTCTTTTATATGTGAGAGTGTAGCGATTGGAGAGTTGAAACTCTCCTCTCGATATGGTCATAACGGTATTAAGGAATTTTAGAGATATTTATCAGAAGAAATTAAAGATCGAATGATCAGTTCCGTTAAAAAGATATAGCAAAAGCAAATCCCCATAAAAAGATGAAATAATCATGCAATAAACGAAATAGTACAATTTAAATATCGAAATGATTAATATTATTTCGTATGCTGAATTTATGGTAGTGTTTTTAACGCGAGACAAAATGTAAATAAACTCGATACCGGTACGAACTATGAACACAACGGATAATGCTCAATTCGTAATTTATGTTATACGTTAATGGTTCCAAACTATTTAATAAACTTTGCGACATACTAAGCAAAACACGTTATATACGCATAATATAAACAAATGAATGCTTATAGATGCGTGAACATACGTATTGGGGAGAATAAGTAAAAAGTGAACGGGTCATAATACTTGATATCGTATGTAATTAAGCGCTCGATCGATTTGAAAAATCGTTGATATTAAATGCAATCATGATCAACAATGCGTTCGAAAAACATGCATACGTCGTTTTTCTACACGGACTATGCATGATTCATATCCTTGTTACAAGACAACCGCATAAAATTGATGCAGTGAATCATACTTATACGTAATTTTATTTAAAAAAAACATTAAAAACATAATATTAATAAATTTGAAATAAAGAAATTGCTTTTTTATTTCAATACGCGCAATTAAAAAAGATAAGATTCTTAATACGTTGCATACATTTGAAATTTCGCGAAAGGTTGACGTAAAAAACGAATAAATTGACTGCAGGGCGGCGACACCCGGCGTAGTCTTCACGAGGGTGGGTTTCCACGAAAGCATGCTGATAAAACCGGCGATCGATAAGAAACTAGGGTGTACGTAGTAATACAACATCAACGAAAAACCATAGTAACGGATGTCTTGTAACAGGATTGTTCAAAGTTCATCGTAAGAAAGACAAAAGGACTCACTCACCGCTTGAAATTGCTCCAACAATTCCTGCCGGTCGTCGATCGCAGTGGCCATGTTGTTCGAATATATAATCCTTTCGTCTTTCCTTTCTTTGCTCTCCCTATGTGGCCCTTTTTACTTCCTCTCTTCTCTTTTTCAGTTGCTGTTTGGTGTACAAAGTACACACAATCAGAGAAAGGATATGTATAACACGAGTCGGTAATTTTCACCCGGTACACGCGGATAGTTACAAAAACGGTTACTTGAGGCGTTCTCGCACCTCACGAACGCGTTTCTGGTTACGACGCGGTTACGAAGCAGCCAGACACCGCGAGGACACGTCTTACTTTTACGGAGTCGCAACGAATACTGAAGCGTCGACGACCGAATGGAGCGCGCGCCAGCTAGTCGAGCACCTCCGAAAATAACCGAATGAATACGAAGGAACCACTATTTGACACTGTAGGACAAATATTATTTCTTGTGTAATTTCTTGTGAAAATCTTCAAATATGATAAAATAAAATAAATTATTATTTATCTATTTAATATCTAAATAATTCCTTATTGACTATTCTTTTATTTTCTTTATCCTTTTCACAGAAAAAAATTCACAATAATTTTAAGTAGAAAATATTATTGAATTATTATTACATGCACTAACTACATTTTTATTATGGCATATTCTATTCAATATTATATTATATATTCGATAGATATATTTTTATAAATAATCCATGATATAAAAAATATTAAATTCTGATATTTTACATATCAATTTATGTTTTATAAAATACGTAATATTCAAGAGAATAAAAGCGTTTCCTATTTGGTTCTACCTCCTCCCTTCATCAAGGCGTTACACTTTTAAGAACCTGAGGGCGGAAGTTGTCAAATGAACGGTTTTTCAATCTGACAGAAGATTTTCTCTAAGATTTCATTTTTTACAGTTTCATTTTCTCTCCAAGTAAAAATTATAAAATACTTTTGAATTCATCATTTTAAGAATTAAATTCTTTTTTTTTTTTTTTTTACTTTGAATTACATTTATCATAAAATTAATTTAACATACGTGATAAAAATACAAGGATCTTGTATCATAAAAAGAACTCAGAATGAAATATTACATACTTCCGTGTACAGGAAATTATACATATATAATCATTCATAAAATATAACCAGTTATCTTAAGCAGATATATATTGTTCTGGTTAGACTTCGTAATTACATTTGTACATGAAATTCAATATTAAGAATGAACAAAAGAAAAAGAGATATTCAATAGTATTTATTTAATTAATAATTTAATAATTTAATTTATTATTCAATTATTATTACTATTTTTATTTTTATTTATTCATTTTATTTTTAGAATAATTGTTTATCATTTTTACTATTGTTATTGTCCTGCAGATAATACTAATAATTTTGTTTATGACTATATTTATGATTATAATTTATAATTATGTTAATAATTATATTTTGTATCGATTCGAATTAAAATATCAAAATGGAATGTCTGATTGGATAACTATAATTCGTTTGGTCGTTGAACATCTTTATTTTTTAATAAAATGGAAGTGATCATAAAACTTTATCTTTTGAACTTGATTGAAATACAATTTTAAAATATAATGTATTTAGCCATCGAAAGTATACAAATGAAAATGAAGATGTCGCGAATAAATACAAGACTGATGAATCGCCAGTGTTAAACTTTACAAATGGAAATGGATAATAAAATCTCGCGGTAGTGAATCATTTTTTGTATGCGCAATGTGTGTAAGAGACGTACTATAAATCATTAGGAGCAAAAGTTGAGTCATTTATTGATATGACATAGAGTCTATTTCCATGCTTAATTTGATATTAAAATTCGCCATTAAATGAATAAACAAAGTAATATAATTCTCTCATGCATTTATGAATAATATTTAAATTACTCTGATTTAATCTACTTACTACTTATTTAATGTACTTATATTAAATAATTAATAATATTATCAATGTTAAATAATTAATTATTGTTATTAAAATAGAAATCATTGTTATCAACAAAACAAAATTTTTATATACAAAATTAATTTGTACAAAAAAATATTAAAAAATTAAATTCGTCATATTATAAATTGTCATTCCTAGCAAAGTTTAATATTCATCTGAAAATGATATTCACAGTCTAATCTTTCTTCTAACGTCTGAAATATTACTTTTGCCGAAAGCTCTATCCTACACAAACATAAATCTTCTTTCGACGAGGCTTGCTCAACTTCCCGTTGTGCGTCATATAAACGAGAAATTCATGTCTCCCCCAACTTTCATGTTCCGCTGCTCTTTATTGACATTCTATCTCTCCCACCAGTTACACGAATATACTTCGACGGACATCGCCCCCTTTTATAATAATGTTACATCACGGAAAATCAGTAATGACTTAGTTATTTGACAAAAAATTTCTTAAATATTTGATAATGCATTTGCTTAAATTAATTACAATGCGATCATTATTTGGACGTAACATTAAAAATTTGTACTCTTCTAATATTTTATCTGTTTTATCCATTTTAAATACAAAACAATGAGAAAGAAAAAGCAATTTATGGTATTGAATGTACGTATACACATTTACATTTAATATATTTATATCGGAAATCAAAGTGATATAATCTTACAAATAAAGACTATTTTAAACACTACTTAGCCCTAAATTACATTTACTGTCTCATAAATATTTCTGTCTAAAATGATTTGTATATAAAGGAAATAAACAATATATCTGTGTTATACAATAAAATAGTTATTTACGCAAGTTATGATGACAAAGGATCGTATTCGTTGGAAGCTTTCCTTATGAAGGAATTAGTTTCGAAAACAATCTCAAAAAAAAAAAAAAAAAAAAAAAAAAAAAAAAAAAAAAAAAAAAAAAAAAAAAAAAAAAAAACAAGTAGATAAAAATGTAATAAATATAAGATATACGATAATCATTCTCTTTATCGACTAAATTTTTGGTGGAATTAAAGGATTTGTTTTTTTGCGAGGTGAAGTTTGGAATAACTAAAACACATTTGATATAAACGCGTTTGCAATACATTGAACAAAAAGAAACAAAGAAACAATCGAGTTTAATATAAAGACGATTACTAACAATAGTGCATTGGAAATTAAGTAACATGTTTTTACTGTATTATTTGAATGAATACGAACTATCTAATTCATAGTAAGTAATCATTATATATAAATTAAAGAAAATTAAATTAGAGTTAACATTTTAGAATCACAAAAAATAAATATTAATTAGCACAAAAATAAACAGAATGTCATGAACAAGAATTTGAACAATAATAGCAAAACAAAAATTTTAAGTGAAATTACAATTCATATTTAAGATATCTTATATAAAACTTATAGTAGCAATTTTTAAAAAATATGTTTACTGATCAAAATAAATGTTAAAATTAATTTCAACTGAACTTCATGTTACATGTAAAACCAATAGTATCTAATTACAAATTTAATTTACAAAAATGATTTCATCAAAGTATAATATTTTTTCTTTTATATAATAGTATTTTTTTTTATAGATTCAATGAATTTTAATTTATTATTGAATGCAAATTATGTAAATATTTCATTAAAAAAAACCGAAATCAGTATTAGACAAATTGTTCTGATTATAAAGAAGATTAAGAAAAGTTAATTAATTTGTTTTCTTTCTGATAATTAGTACAATTTTTTGAAAACACAGGCACTTGCCTTATATTATGCCAAACGAATGATCAGTATTAATATAGTGTAAACTGATATTTTATGATAAAGTGTATTTAAATATGTTCATTTTGAAAAAAACTCTACGAATGATCACGCAGTTTCAATCTTTCTTTCATGTCATTAATCACAATGTATTTTTAATGATAGTGTACCATCATATAAAGCACACAAATTTATTATTCATTTCTTTCTTTTTTTCTTTTTTTTTTTTTAATGTTTATCATTTTTAATAAAAATAATTCTAAGTACCTTGTATAAAATACATTAACCAATGTACGTACATATGTATACATATATATATAATATATATACGTATATATATAATTTTTATTACGAAAACAAAAAAACAAATGAAATTCATACTTCATCTCATAATACAGAAAACACACTATCGTTAGAAATTCACTGCATTCCCGCGTATCCCGGAGCAATAATCAAAGAGATTATTGAACCTTTTTGTATCTGTACAAAAATATATGTGTGTACACATAATGTCTTATCGATTCTTTGACTTACAGTCTGTTTTAAATGAAAACGTAACATGTTAATCGTTGATGATGCATATTAGTTTAATTATTTTCTTATCATTATAATAAAATGAATTCTGTTAACAGAATTAATAGAACAATCATTATCTTTTAACGATCACTAATAATAGATTCGTTAACAAAATTCATATCATGCTAACACCGACGATACACATGGTATGTTTCGATATGCAAATATTTAAAACACACTGTATATGTCGTGTCATCCCATACATAACATACATTTATAGTTTTAGTTTATGTAAAAACTCAATGATCAATTATCTGGTTTTTTTTTAACAAGTAATTATACAAAATTTCTTGTACTGCTAGCACAATTTCATAAACTCACAATAAAGATATCTTTTTTACATAAAGATATCTATATAAAGATATCTTTTTTTCTTGGTATATCGTGCGAAAAATCATATTAATAGAGAGAGACACGCATATAACATTTTTGCACGAAAGTAAAATGGACTATATATATAAAAAAAAAGAAAAAAAGAAAAGAAAAAAAAAAAGAAAAAAAAAAAAGAAAAAAAAAAGAAAAAAGAAAAAGAAAAAAGAAAAATCAACATTACATTAAAAAATAACTAAAAAACGTAGATATCAACTAATACATGAAACATGGTTTTGTACCAGAGTTAACATTAGATACACAAATTACATCGCATAATTTATTCACTTCAATAATAGTGATATATTTCTTACTTTTTCAATTTTGTTTTATCAAGAATGAGATCCATATTTATAACATTTACAACATTTATAAAACGATTTATTACGGAATATACTTATCATTATATATATAGTATAAGTTTTTATAACGTTTAGAGATTTTATAATACTTTAATGTACAAAATAATAAGTAAGCTTTAATTATACTACATTGATGCATTACATCATGTGAATGTGAATGTTAATAATGCAGGAATTAATGTAGGATAGTTAGTAATCAGTTTTAAATATTTATAACTCAAATTAATGTTGAGTGTATAAAATGAAATTATGAGCATACCAAAGTATAAATCATCAACATATTAAATATTACGAAATGTAATATAGTCACAGAAAAATTAAAACAAGTATTTTTATATGTTAACCAGTTGAAATTATAAAATTAATGTTTTACAATACTACAAGTAGATTTTACATTATATAATGTATATTTTTTAGGCCATTCGGAAGTTTTTCACTGATATCAATCATATCACAATATAAAACATTTGTCTAAGTATTCATGACAAAAAATGAATGTGATATAAAATGAAAATCAGATAACTTGCAACTTACAAATTACATAAGTTGTACACTCTGGTCCAAAATCCAATAAATTCCAATTAAATTGTTTCAAGAAGATAGATATGCTATGTATCTGCGTGTCAATTCTTTCTTTATACAAATTGTAACTTATTTCTACGTTTCAATCTAATTTCTTATGTATATATGTATAATATCCGTATCTTAATACACACATATCTCAGTCTATCTGTACATACTATTTTAGCGCAAAAGAAGTTCTCTTGCACCATTACAATAAAAAGCCGATACAAAAACCGACGGAATCTTCCTTTAAATAGAAATAATCTGAGATGACTTTTCTTTGTCACATATTTATCGCCATCGCTAATTTTTCTCTCAACATAGATCGCCCAAATCATTAGGTCAAATTATACTCTTCTTTCCTTCCCTTAGTTTTTCTATATCTTTTCATATTTTACATATGAAAAGTATACATTCACACTATCATATTATATAAATAATGTTAACGCATATCATTATTACTTAACAGTCATTGGTCTCTGTATTTTCTTTTCCATCAACAATCGCAGCACGAGATAAGAAGTAAAAATTATAATGGGATGCAAAATATCTATTTTCTAAAACCTCATATAAACCACAAAGTAGTATATCACGGTTCATCCGCGATACCTGTTCTGTATAATATGTAATACGATTTAGAAGATTTGTTTTCAATTGGAATCGTGTACTTAATTCATAATTAACATATTATTCTGGATAAAAGCAAGCAGGTTTTAATGTTATAAATTAACATTAAATATCAATGCATGAAATTAATTTTTCTTGAGTATAAATGTATTGTGCTTGAACAATAAATCTTGATAAATATCTGTTTTATCTTAGAAAAATAAAATACAATGCAATATAATACATACAAAAAATGATAGCTTTGCAAAGCATATCAAATCAAAATAAAAAAATAATATTCATAGTCGTAAAGATTACAATCCGACTGCATTATAATACTTTATCTCCAATATCCGCTCGCAATAGTAATCAAACGGCATCTGATAATCTGCAGTACCAACTGACTGAACGATGATTGTAGGTAACATTAATTGTCGGACTGTGTAAATTCCCAGTCTAAATGACTTGAAATTGATAAACATCCTAGCCTTGTACAGAGCTAACAAGGCAAAGTAGACTAGTAAGTCCTGACGAAGGATGTGGTTTCTTGAATGTCTGCTTCACTATCTGTGCCCTGGTATCCCTGAGATTGAGAAAGGGAAAGAAGTGCATCCAGGCCTAATGATTCAGCTAGGGGATCTGGCGCTCTTGACTACAGTATAGACAACACAAAAGAAATATTGCACTAAAACTATATCATACACTACTTAGCAAATAAAAAAACTTAAAACATCAAATAACTGAAATCAAAAATTGGGAAATAATTAAAATTCTGAATAATCAAAATACTACATAAAGAGAAGATTAATAAGACCACTAAGCAGCTAAAAATGTTTCCTACTTTATACAATACTAATGAACATGAATAAACTTATTTAATATAAAAGTTATAACGATTCCAAACATATCAATATAAACTTACCACTGAGCTATGCTCTGCCTCCTTACAATTACTACATATGTAATCATCCTCCTCTGCAATTTCTGTACGATCTAATCCAACACAGTGCATATGAAACCAACCTTCACAGCCGCCATCACACTGTACCCAATCAACTTCTCTACCTACATAAATATAAATATATAAAACACTATATAATATATAGAATATATAGGATATAATAATTATATTATTATATTTTTATTATATTTATATTAAAATATTTTCCTACCGCCAGGTCGCAAACAATTGACAGCCGCACAATCATCTTCTTCATCTGAAGTATCCTGTTTAGTTTTTTTTCTATTACCACCTCTTTTCTTTGGACCTTCTTCACCTTCTTTGCGTTTCATCTAAAATTTATATTGAAATCAAAGTAAAATTCAATTTTCATTTTATTTAAAAATAATATTAAAAATATTATTCATAAATCTTAATTTAAGATAAATTATATTTATAAATTTAAATACTTTTCGAGGTCCACGTTTTATAGGCACTGGAGAACCTGCCGATTTTTTTTCCTTCTGTAGTCCTTTGCGTTTAGCTAAATTTTTCTCTTCCATTTTTTGTCTTCCAAGTTTTTTCAGTAATTCAAATTCATCGGATTTTCTTTTTCTTCCGCGTTTTTTAACATCTTTTATATCTTGATTCAAATTAGTTTGAACTTCTTCATATGATGCATATTTTCGAACTGTACTCGGACTATTTGTATGACTTAATATACGCCAAATATGTTGCGTTTCATCAAGTGCAACTTCTAATAAATCGCCTTCCATCATTAATTCTTCTAAACGTAACCTTGCTGTTTGTGAAAGTACAACAGCAACTTCTGTTGTATCGTTTGATTGCGTTTTACGTTGAATTTTGGATACTGAAAAATAAAATATAAATATTATGAATCTTCGTTTACATTATTTAATTTTTATTATGATTAAGAACTTACTATAAGAATATGCATGTTCGTTACTGTTAAATGTACTACAACTTGGTTCATCATCATCAATAGTAACAACATCATCATCATCATCCTGAAATATATGATATTATATATTCAATTACATATAAAATATATATACCTTAGATATCGTGCTATATTCTAATATATAATATTATACAAAGACGACTAAACATACCGCAGTACTAAGTGCACTATCATCTGAATGTACACCACTAAGCGGTGCTATTGCTTGTACTCTCTGATGTAATTCAGGATTATTTGCTGCTTTTTTTAATTCACTGCTGATGATCTTTTCTGTCTTTTCTCTTGCTGCTGCTTCTACTAATTTTTGTGATAGCACAGATAATTTTGCTAATGCTGATGAGATTTCATCCGTAGCTAATGCTTGTCGGGCTCGATCCTATTCGATGTATGTATACTATGTATATTATGTATATCATTACATATTATAATATGATTCATTAATCTTAATTATTATGCGAAACTCACCTGCCAATTCATTGCACGTTCCGTTAAACATTGTAATGCCTCACCTTCTGGTAAACGAATCGGAATTTTTTGGAGGCTAACTAAAAGAGCCAAAATTGTTTCTAACCGTGGTCGCCGTGAACGTAAACAACACGGACATAAAAATTTAATTTCCCTTGACATTGGAAATTTTCCTTTATACGATGTCTTTGGCAAAGGTACACAATTTGCTAAAATTATAACAATATATTTCAATTAAAAATTATAATTAAATTCAATTATTTAATATCTATATTTATTATAAAGAAAAAATATTACTTACAATGAAACCAATCTTTACAAAGCTCACATTGAAGCATGAGTCCAAACCTTGGTCGACGACAAACGCAATATCTTGAATCATCTATTTCAGTTTTCATTAAATTTCTTTCTCTCAAATTTCGCATTGCTTCCATTTCACGTTGTTCAGCTAATTTAAACGCAGCTACAATGGTTGCCGAATCATTGGAATCATCCAATTTTGTATCACAGACAAAGACAGGTCCTACAGAATCTTCATTTTTATTTTTCTTAGCTTTTAATGCTTGTATACCAACTCCAATTCGTGGTGACAAAGCTTCCATTAAAGTATAATGTGAATTTTTCCTTAGGAATGTTCGTGCTGTTCTTTCTTTCCAAGTTTTTGCTTGTGAAAGTGTAGATTCTAAAATAGGAAGAGCATCTAGATGCAATGGAATATTTCTGCCTTTTTTAATTTGATCATCTAATGTATTGTAATATGGAAAATTATCTCTTGCTTGTATTTCTTCCATCATTTTTGTCCAATTTTTTGCTTTATTCAGTGTATCTTGAAGAACATCTAAACTTGGTAAATAAGCTTCCACCTTATCAGCTTCATGGATAAATTCTTCAAGAGATGCAATAGTTTGTCTATTTTTTGTATGAAGATATAACTTTGCTTTCTCTTCCCAATTATCAATTGCAAGCATTAATGCTTGCAAGTCTGAAAGAGTATTTTCTATATTTAAGTTAGGAGGCATTGTCATACCCTTTTCAATTAATTTTGCTAAATCATCACGATGTATAGATTTTGGATCTTCTTGAATAGATTTTACTTCCTCAAGCCATTGTATTTGTGCTAATTTCTTTAAATTATATAAATTAAAACAGATATTTAATTATAAAATATATAAAATAAGAATTTATATTTTTAAAAAAGTAAATATATTAATATATTACTTACATGTTTTAAACGTATAAGTTGAGGTAGTTCAATACAAATAGAATCTCCAAAGTCAATGCATTTTTCTAACTGTTCAATATTACAATCATCTTTACATTCTAATTCTTCTGCTTCCTTTTGAAATTGTAATACTTGATCAAGTATAAATTTTATCCCATCAGATTCTTTAAGTTCACAACATAAATTTGTTATTTCTTTATAGAAAAGAGTTAATTCTTCTACTGTAAGCTTGTATTTAGTTTCAACGGATTGTCTGGTTCTATAAAAATATAAAAGAGTTATAAAAGAGTTCAAATAATTTTATTTAATACAAATAATAACATTTATCATGAATAGAAATTAAAAAGCTTCATAATACCTGGTACGTTGTTTATTATTCAAAAGTTGTTGTGCAACACTTGCACACTTTTCAGCATCCTGCACAGCAGTTGTTAAAGCTGTAAGCAATTCACTTTCTGGAAATTTTTTACTTTCTGCTTCATTTAGAAGTTCTTTTAATTCATTTAATTCAATTTTATCATTTTTTTTATCAGGATCCATTGCCTCTTTTACTTTTGTTACCCATGAGTCAAATGACTCTGCTTTTAATTTTAATTTTTGTAGCATAATTGGTAATTCGTCTAAAGTATAACGATAACGTAATGTATGTTTTTCTGGAGGACAATCACAAAGTTCTGTGAAATGTCTTAAACAAACTAATTGAGAACTTTGGCATGAACATGTAACTGCACTTAAAAAACAAGTTGTTTTGCACGCTTCACACTGTCTCTCATCATCCGGCAAAAGTTCAAATGCTTCTCGTTCTGCTTCTGTTACACCCTGAAAAATATAGTTTTTAACACAAACATCATTTATAAAACAATTCGTCATTCTTACATTTTAAAAAAAAATATTAAAAATATTACGCGGAATGAGATTAACAATGAAACACATGTATCCATCTGTGGGCAAATAAACTAAGATAAAAAAAATTTTTGCAAATATACAATTTATTTAAAAATGATAACTAATATTTTTCAATAAAATTTAAAAAAAATTATAAAACTTTTTAAATGAAAATATAATGAAAAAATATAATGCCTGTTTAGCATCATGGCAAAACTTTAAAAACATAACCTCTATTCACCAATGAAAGTTATATAATCAAGATCAGAGACACACCAAATAGGTATCAACAAGTCAAGGTTGATAACTAAAGAACGATCGCACTAAAAAAGTATTTTAAAGATAGGACTGCAAGCTAACCAAAAATAACAAAATATGAAGTCATTAACGACGATTATAATGTCGACAGTGAAACTACGATATCCAATGGTTGGTAATATCAACCGCATACACGTCTTTCACCGCGTGTGCCCGCATGGTTACAATTATGTGTGTGCCAACGTATGCATGTAATGTATGTATAAGTTTGTGAGGGAATGTTTCAGCATATACTATACTATTTGACCTAAATATATTAGTTTTTACATTTAAAATTATAATCTAAGTAAAAAAATAAATTTGATACTAATATTTAAATATTTATGATAAAAAATTTTTAAATTTTAATAAATAAAAAATAAAATGCTTACAATAATTAATAACATAATTACATATATTAATTATAATTTATGTATATAATATATAGATATTTCATTTTAAATATACATTTCTAATATATATAACAAAGTTAAAAAACATTCAATTATTATCTAAAAAATGTAATAAATATTAATATACTTACCCATTCCAGCAAATTTTTTCGTAGCTTTTTCTCATCATCTACCATTTGAAGCATATCATGATAAGTTGCAGTTGCAATTCCTATATCTAATGAATCTGGATCCAATGACATTTTGCATACTAATTCATCATGAGAAAATACACAAAATCGTCTTAAATTCGAATAATGCGTTATACATTCTCGTCCAATTTTAAGCTATTAAACAAAATATATAGATATAAACAGTATAAACTAAATATAAATTTATATATATATATATATATATTATTACTATAAAAACTTAGAATGATAATATACCCAATCAGCGGGAGCAAAATTTACAGCTTCAGCAAAATTGTATCCTTGATTAAAACCTGCATGATATGCTCTTGGAAATGTCACTACAAATTCCCCTGCATGTTGATCAGTCCTGAATACTGGAACACCTAAAAAACCAAATATAAATATTAATGATTAATTAATATAATATTTCATAATAACAAAACAAACAAATAAGAATAATTTTGTATTACCTTCATTTGTTAAAATATTTGGATTCATGATAGTAACCAATTGATGAAGTAAATCAGGTTGACTATGAAACAATTCTGGTGCAGCTGATTTCATTGATTGTTCAAATCTTTCTGCTTGAGAACCAGGTACACCATACCATGTTTTTGGTTCTCCCCAATGTAAATAATTAATGGAGTAACTCCAATGGTCCTCATTATGCCAACAAAAAGTTGCAAAACACATTCCAACATACATCCATGGTACTTTCATACCACTAATATCAGCATTAATGTGACCTAAGACACTTCCACGTAAAACAGGTAAATTATTTAAGTTCCATGAAGATTCAGCATATTCTTGATCACATGTAAATAAATTAACGCTAGTTTTTGTTGGAAATCCAGATCCATGATCCATTGTATGTAAATCTGCTCCATATTCAACCGTTACATCTTCATCAATTGAAGAAACTATTCGCCAAAATTCTTTTTCTACTAATGATGTTGGCACCATCTAAAAAAATATAAAATAAATATAAAATATAAAATATAAAATATTTACAATCATATTATATTTTTTTGTGCTTTAGATGACATACATGTACAGGCATATTAAAATAATCGCTTTTAAATTGATCAGCCATTTCTCCAAATTGTTGAAGAGTATATTCTCTTTGTGCTTGTTCAAATCCAAATGCTTCCATTGGCTTAGAAACTTCTTCAGCAACACATTTTGGACATCTCCAATCACCTTTTGGTATTTCTGTCAATGGTGGCATAAGACAAAAAGTATGATAACTATCATCACATCCATCACATAAAAGCATGTTTTCTTCATTGTCACCTCTTCCACAATTATGACATATGTATTTTGCCAACTATAAAAATATATATATAAAAATATATATATAAATTGAAAAAAAAATAATTTTTATAAATATAAATCATAATCAAATAATGTATAATATGTTACTTACTGGATCAACTTCATAAACAAGTTTTACACCTCTAGTTTTATTAGATTTTTTTCCTTCTTTGGTATTAAATCCAGCCATTTTTGGACCAGCTCCATAAAATTGTAATTTTTTAAGTTCTTTACTATTATCTTTATCATCATATTGTTTATTTTTAATTCCATCTTTACAATCATTATCAGAATCACATTCTTCTTTACAATCTTCTTGTTTAATAGATACTTCCTGTTTTTCTTCTTGACCACTAAATCTTTTTGACCGACGTGAGAATTTCTCAGTTGGAGGTTTAATTTGTTGACGTGATATAATTCCATGTGGTTTATAATCTCGATCTTTTTTCTCATTCACATTAGAATCTGGTTCAATTTTCTGTATAATTTAACATACAAAAAACATGTACATTGATTTAAAAAAACAATTTATAACAAAAAAAAACTTACTATATCTGTCAATGTCTTTCCTTGTTTAAAGACATCAAATGGATATAAAATACGTTCATAATGATTTTTTAGAATACTTCCAACACTGCGTCCAGAAGGATAACCCAATTTATTTGCAATTTTTGCCCATCTTCTTTCCCTCGTTACTGTATCAATTCCACCTAAAAATAATATTTAATTAATATATCAATATTTCAATTAAATATAAAGAATTAAATAAACAAACCTTCATCAGTGACTATCTTATGTAAAGAATATAAATCAAGAGCTTTGCGTTCAACAAGAGGAATTTTTAAAGATGAACCTTGAAGTTCCCAAAATTTTGCAATTTGATCCAAAAAATTAAGCTTTATCCTAGTCTTTGCCTCTAATTCATTTAGTCTTTGTATTCTTGGAACGAATTTGAATTTATCAACATCAACAGCAAATGGTGGCTGCCAATTCTAAAGAAGAAAGAAAAGAAATTTATTTCCATATATTGTTTCTTTTTACTTGTACAAAATATATTAATATTAGATATAAAATCATAATAGTAATATAGTATTATTACATAGAATTAAGAATTAGTAAATAATATAATAATAATAATATAAAGTCATAATAAATTAATAGCAAATATATAAAAATAATTAATAAAATAAATTTAATGTAGTACATAAAACAAAAGTGTATATATCTTTTATTTATTTTTTTATAATTTTAATATTTTTAAACATATGTTATAAATTTATAATTTTTAATGTATAATATATTAAATTTAAATATCTAAATTAATATAAAAAAGAACACAAATAATATATCTCGCGAATTAAGTATATATATAATAATACTTATAAGTCTTCAGATTTAATTAGCTTAACAAAATATAAATTTGTAATATGCAATATAGTAATAAAAATATTACAAATTACAAATTTTCTATTGATATTCGTGTAACATAAAAAAACAAAAAAAAAAATTACTATGTTTTATTTTATTTATTATTCTAAAATATTAAGAACTTATTGATGAATATAGTATAACATAAATATATATGTCTAAATAATCGATAAATGCTTTCGTAGCTTCATCTCTTCCGTGACGCAATACCATTGTAAGATCTGTTGACTTTTTAAAAACACATAATATAAAATACGTAAAGCGGTCAAAATAAAGATGCAACCAAGTTCGATGCAATTAAATAATATTTATAACTATTGTATTTACTATAACATGTAATTATACCAATATAATAAACAATAAAATATATTATTAATGATGCATTTTGCTACATTTCAAATTGAAAATACGTAAATACTACAAAGATTTTCTCCATATATGACGACCGTTTAATGCCGTGACCATAGTTATTTCCGTAATGGCGTCATCCCGTTACAAAATATGAATTTTTTTAAAGAGTAATGGAAAAGATAAATAGATTAACATTCGATTAAGGCTGTCAGATAGATTTAAAAAAGCCGGTTTGTCAACAAAAAGTAACTATTTTATTTCAAAGAAAATCAATTTTATAAGAATTAACAAAATATGTTCGATAAAAAGAAAAATATTATCAGTAAAAATAATAAATCTATCCTTATTAGAATAACAAAAATATACTAAAAATTTAAATGTCACTTTATTAAAAAATTGAAAATATTGTAATACTCCATATTTAAAATTTTGATATGAATTTATAAAATTTAATATCTTCAAATCACTTAAATAAAAAAATTCAAATCAAAATTAAATTTTGATTCATAATTAAAAATACTAATTTTAAATATATAAAAATAAATTTTTATGATGCACTTAAAATGCATAATGATTGTATAATTTTTATAATACTAAATTTATATATAATTTTTAAATAATTATTTAAATTCGCGTTATATGATCATTAATAAAATAATCAATATGTATTGGAATTTTGTATTGAAATTATTAATAATTCTTAATAAGTTTATTATTTTACTATTTATAATTAGAGCATAATTTTAGAACTTATATTGTAAAATTTTTCTTTATATATGTGAAATCAAAATGGTGGCTCAAATCAATTCTAATGATGATATGAATCAAACGAATAATTTACGAAAATTAGTTAAATTAAAAAATTAAAATTCACAAAAAGTCAATATTACCTTAAATAGATAGCGAAAAAATTTTAATAATATTGCGCATTGCTTTTCATCTTGTAAAACATGAAAATTTGCTAAGACAAAAAAGAATTATATAAAATGAAAGAGATCAAACTATATAGAAGTTTCTATAAAACTTGCAATATGATAAAACTTAAAAATATTTATTTATATAAAAACTTCTCATCTTACTCATACTTTTAAAAAAAAGTAGTAATAACTTTTGAGTGCATATCAAATATATCAATATATAACGATAACGCAATTGTCTTAGGAATATTAATCACAAATGCTAGTAATTATCATAGCGCTTTCTCCGTCGTTGTCATGAATATCGTACAGAATTCCGGAAAGGTTTCAAGACATTTTGCTAAGGTGACATTGTTTCGATTGTCTCGGCCATTTTACATAGCGTACCTTCTAGCTATAACGATATTAATGTCGCAATGAAACGAGTATCTAACGTATTTTATTTCCGAATTTTTTGTTTTCTAATAATTCCAATTATCATTCCCAATTTTAATGTCTCAGTTGAAACAATATTGATATGCTTGAAATATCGGTACAAATATTAATATACTAGTATACAGAACAAAATAAAAATCCCTCGAGATAACACATCGGAGTCTTTTCTTCCCTTTTGATCATATTATCTTGTCTTGTGTCGACAAACATAAAAACATCATAACTTTTGCCAAACTCTACCTTTTCAACATGAACACAAAAAAGAACAATTATTAATATTTACATAAAAATATGTTATAGTTAAGAAATTAATTTTAATCAATAAATAATTTTTTTTAAATAAATACATGTTACGTAGGAACTCATTTATTTTGTGATGTCACAGTTGTGATGTTGTATGGAAGCGTCATAGTACGTAAACGAGGTCGTATGTGCATATCTGCACGTTTGTCAATTATAAAAAATATCAAGTTATTAATTTACTTTAATTTTACTTTCAAGTAAATACATATACAATGTGCCCTTCTATAATAATGTAAAGAAAAGAGAAAGCGTAAAGAAAAAAAATAGATATAGACATTATAAAAGAATCTACTCACAGGCGGCGGTTTGATCTTACAAATGCCAGACTTCTCTGCGATCGGTCGTATTTTTGCGATGTAGCCAAGGGGGTCGTGAAACTCCTCAATACTCGGTTCGAAGACCGGCGCTTCTGGCGGTATGATGAACTCGAAGTCCGAATCACCACGATCACAAGCCATGTCTTGGGTGCAACGATAAGTCCCGAAAAAATCTTCACAACCGAAGTTCGTGTCGAACCTCGATACCATGACTTGAATACTCGACACAGCTTGGACGCGGATAGGTGGCCCTCACGCACCTAACGCGGGTGAGGACCTCGCGTCAGGTTTAACACTGTTACTCAGTCACCGGCTGCGAGAATTTATTTGGAAATGTGCTTCGATTAACCATCTTTATGAACTGCATTTGTGTACCTCGTGAGAAGCAGTTGACAATGTATGGATGCAATACGCACGAAATGCACAATACACACTTTCCACGGTATCACGCGGAGCCTCGCACACGAGCAACTGTCCTATTCCTTGCTTCATATACCTCTTCTTCCCTTGTACCTACTTCAGTATAATACAATAGTGGCGCCACCTTGCATCAAATGGATCACTAGCTTTTCATTTACTTTTTTTATATAAAATTAATATCATAGATATATATAATAATATATATAAATAATTATTTATACAAAAAATTCTTAAGAATTTATATGAAAACACATTAAAATCAATTCATTAATAATAATGTTTTTGATAAAATATTATATTTAAATTGTAAAAAAAGCATAGACTAAAATTATAAGTATGAATGATGAACAAAAACGAAAATTCCCTATGAAATGTTAATATATATTGTTATTATATAATCAAACTAATTATTAATTCTTGATTTATAAGTTTATAAACAAAAAAATCGTAATTACTTTATATATTTAAAATTAATTACAAATATAAATATAATAAATATAATTTTATTCTAATTTACACAATAAATTGTTAATTTAAAATATTAAAATTGTTAACATTTATATTATTATTTAAATATCAAATCAATAAAAATATATATTGTGTATATATATATATATATATATATATATACACTCATATATTCCATATAAATTTTTTCCATCAAAGTAATATATAAATTATTATTATTAAATGTATAATTTTAATACAAATATTTATAATTATTATTTTAAAAAATCAAAATTAATATAAATCTTTATTACATCATATAATTTAAATTTACCGCTGTTACATATAAGATAAGAAGACATGCTATCTAGCAATATAGTACTTACTTCAAACGTGTCAAAATCTCTCGAGATTTGTAACGTTTCACATCGAAGAACATAAATTACGTAAGTTGCATGAAAACAATTATTTCTTTTGACATAACTTTATGATTTTTATAACAATAATATTTAATAATTAATTCAAATAAATAAATCTATTTTTATAAATTATCTATCTCTATATTTATGATGATTTTTTTAATATTACTTATTCTGTTTTTTGGTTATGTTTTTTTTATATTCTAAAATATTAATATAATTCTTTTTCAGAATTTTGTGAAAATGGGATTGAAGTTTGGAAATCTTAAAAAACTAAGTGGTATTACATTTTTTCGCCTTAGTCCACATGAACAAAGAGCTTTTGCTGGAGTAGGTGAAGCTACTGGTAGAATGATAAAACGTCTCAGATCAAATATTTTAGTTGCTGGACCTTGTAAGAATTTTTTATTAATTATTTGATTAAATATATAACTTATCAGATTATAATAGTATTAAATTAATGATATATTATAATTAATGATATATTCTTATTAAAATATTTTATTTTATATTGCAGTTTTCCTTTTAAGTTATGTCATAATGGAATGGGCTACTGAAGAAAACCATAAAATGCACCGTAAAAATCCAAAAGACTATGAAAATGATGTATAAATATTCTAAACTTTAAATTAGTACTATCTATGTATTTATGTTTAATTTAATATATATATATATATATGTATATAATTAGCATTAAAATGAAATTCGTTAACTCTTTATAAAAATACGATTTATTTAATTTAAATTCTTTTTATAACAGATAAATTAATTAACTAAATATTTATTAATTATATTTTTACAATATTAATTCTTCTGAATAATTTTAAAATATATTTTGATTTTGAATTTTGAATTGATTAAATTTTATTCAATTGTGATACATGTAATTTTAGTTATATTTCATTAGTTTTTAATTAAAATGAATATTCTAAAATCTTTTTTTAAAATTGAAATAATAGATAAAAATTTATACTAAATATTTTTATATAATTATTGTTAAATTTGAACATTTAAATATTTCAATATGTAACATTAATCTTAACATTAATACATTGTTGAAAACAAAAAGATTATTATAAGTTTATATTTTTATTCTATATAGTTTTTAAATTTTTCTTATGTTATAATAGTTTTATTGATATAAATGTTTTTTCCAAGTTAACTTCACATGATTGAATCTATATGTATATACGATATATAATATAATATACGTAATTTCCTTTATTTTTTAATTTATATTTTATTTATTGAAACTTACTTCATTAAATGTATTGAATATGAAAATATATTTGCATATATTTCAAAAATTCATAATAGAAGAAAAAAATTATACTTTACTAATCAATTATAACTAATTTTTAATTTATCATTAGGGAAATTTGTTATTTTTTATTGAATTGTAAATTTATTTCATTTCATAGTTTTTTTTTTTTATAGTTTTGGTAATTATGTTTTGTAATTTTTATTTTTAATTTATTTTATCATAATAATTCAAAATATTAATATTTGTATAAATATATTAATTATTTGTTATAATCAGTCAATTGTATTTCAATTACAATATCTTGTTTAATCATAAGAAATATCTAATTCCGTTAGATCTAACCGCCATATTGTGCAAGTATGATTTGACCAATGAAGAAGTTTGAATCAGGAATGCACCTGGGCAAAACAGGTAAGAAGCAAACAAGCAAAGAGCAATCAGGTAGTCGTTCAGATATTTCCAGTCGAGTATGATCGGCACATAACTCTTTGTCAAAAGCTTCTCCTTCTTCTCTTTCTCTTTCTTTTTCTGTTTTATGTGCATATTGTGAAAATTTGTATATAGGTAAGTAAGAGCAGTGTGAAATTGTTTCGTACGCATTTACGTATCGCGTGAGTTGTGATTTTTTTATACGGATTTGTCTCATAAGGATCTCAAACTCCAAAACAGAGAGTCAACGGATTCGGTGAAACGCTGCTGTCAAGGTATTTATGGAAATGATTTCTTGACTGGAGTCATTGTACCGAGTACACCGACGTGGATTTCTCCCCGCGGAGAATTGTCCGTCGCGGTCACACCTGTTGCTGTATGCTTCAATGATAATCGCACATGAACATATCTATATATGATTTGTGTGGCCTCTGTATGATTCAGATTTAATTTTCAATTAATTTCAAATTTTCATTCTTAAAGAAAATCCTATTAACAATATAATTGAATTTCTTTTAATTAGCACTTATTTATATTTTAATGGACGAAATTAATTTCATGAAAAAAAATTTTCGATCGTTGTACTCGGCAACATATATCTCTGAGAAAGAATTAAATACAATTTTATTTTTATTATTTTTATTATTATATTTTATTTTTATTATTTAATTGTGATTAAATATTTAATTGTAATTAAATAGAAATTTGAAAAATTTTTACCGTAAAATTATACAGATAAATAATATTAATATGAGACAGTAAATTCATCTGAAGTTTTAGTTATTGTGCTTAAAAGAAATATTTATGCAAATGACACTTTGAAGTCACGGTGAATATATAGAATATGATTGCTTCGTAATGTTAAGTACACGAACATTACAAAGGCTAATAAGATTTTGATTCGCTATGTATGATTTTTTTACACAAATATGCATCGTATGCAATCAAATCATATTGAACGCGTTATCACTGTCACGTTCAATCGTGATGATTCATTGTTTTGGCATTGTTTTAATTTTTTTTTTAAATTATTTTTCAATTTAAAATCAAATTTTGAACATTTGATATGTTTTTAATGGATTAATAATTTAATAAAACACTAAATATAATTTTATATAAATTAATATATTTTTTTTTATTTATTAAAATTATAATAGAATCAGATTATGAAAATGAGAAAGAAATAAATTAAATATTTCTTCATTATTTTAAGGAGATTCCTCGTCCATGACATTTTCAATGAAAATGATCTCTCAACTTAAATAAATATATTGTTTATCGCTAATTGATAATGTTTTCAAGTTTTAAAAACAATTGTTTTTAAATTATATTTATGTTAAATATCTTGTCTTATACAAAATTTTTTATCGATCATGTAGCTAATGCAATTGCAGGAGTTATTTCGCAAGCTTCTACGGTTTTCATTCGTGAATAATATGAATATGTAATTTACGTCCTTTTTTATAAATATAAATTCGCTTCAATAGATTAGAGTATATGATTCTAATTATATTTTATATTTATAGAATTAAAAAAAAATATCATATAATTACAAATAATTGAATTATATATGGAAATATTTAAAAAGTATTAAATTTGAAATATTAAGATAATTTTAACCTCTTAATGATACACACGAAACATTGAAAATGTCGATTAATACTGACTATATGGCAATCACCTGTAAATTACACCTACGAAATACCTACGTAGTCCATTATGAGCGTCATGACATAAATTGCAAATATTTACCGTACTGCGTGCATCGATATTGCATTGAATGACCTTCGATACTCTGAGAAAAAGTCGTATTCATATAATCTTTTACAATTCATGAACAACAGAACACACTAAATATTCCAAGAAATACTAATCACATATCAATCTTTTAAAATTAAGCTTTACATAATATTGTTTATGAACATTATTTTTCATTCATAATATAAATAAAATAGATTTATAATTTTCTATTTTTTATAATAAATTTTTTATAATCATCTATGATAATTTATAAATAATCTTTTTTTATAAAAAACAAAAAACATTATATACATATAAAATGAACTTTTATGTGATGTTGCACGCTGAATTCAATGAAATAATGTGGAAGCTATGAATATAATTTTTTTGATCATTATATTTTTACGATACATTATATTATCGATAAGCACCATGTCGCAATTTAATTATCTTCGATTTAGAAGGATAATATAAAATGTTCGAAAGTTATCTAAAAATTCTGATCTCGATAACGCATATAAGAATATCACTTTTAATTGTCATTGAAAATATAGTTTATAATATTTCTTTCATAACAGTGTAGAAAATTTTGATAGTCATTAAATAGCTGAATTAGAATTAGATTTCGATTAATCGAGATTAATCTTTTAGCTATGGATGCAAGTAAGTGAAAAGTTCATTCGCTCAGTCCATTCACTGTAAAACTTGTTCGCGACCGGCGGATCAGTAGGTATGCGAGGCACATTGGCAACTTTCTTTCCACTTTTTCAATACTCGTACCGCAGTACGTCCGCGATATGTTTACTTTCAACAAACATTTATCTATCATGCCTTCACAAATTGGTATTTTTTCAAAAACTTCGATTACTTCCTACTTATTTCGATTCTCGATGAATACGAGATGACGAATTTGGTCCATTGATAGAAATTTTATAAATTTTTTATGAATTTTTTTTCATTAATCTATTGTTAAACTGTGATTAGAATAAAGATAATATTAGGATTATTAAATATTACTATTTAAAGTTTCATTAAATTAATTCAATTTGTTTTAATTTTATAAATTGATCAATGTAACAAATATTTTGTTTTATTGTAGTTAATAGTTAATAGTTAATAATATAAATACTTACATTAAATACATTTTGAATCTTTATTAAAATGTTTTGAAGTTTTTAATATTGTATCATTCATATTTATTATATATATAACAATTATTTTTTTTTATCATTATATATAAAATAATTAAAAAATAATTCTTTAAAGAGATTTTAAACTATATTTATTTTATTATAATATTTCATATTTATTACTTTATTCTTCATTTATAAAAATCCATTCATTTTCTTCTTCCAATAACTTTATATATGTATTCAATCTCTATATATTTTAAAAAAATTATTTAAGAAATTGATAGCAAATATTAAATTAAATATATATTATATATTGACAATAATTTCCATATATACTTTTTCTTTCATTATTCATTCTTAATTATTCAAATCTCACGAAATGATTTTAATTTCTCAAGAAAAGTGAACAACCTTTAGTATGATATTCCATGCACTGGCGAATGAAGGGAATACGAATAAAGTATTTGTTTTTCATGCTATAATAAATTGGGAAGACATGCATTTTATGATATTGCTTATAACTTTACACTAACTATACACTAATATTATATTAACGACAACATAAATTCTTCTCCTTTTTCGTGTGCTCAAACTTTAATTCTAACCTAAAAGACAACGTAAATTGCGTTTGATGTGAAAAGAAGAGAAATATCGTAGTAGAAAACAATGATTTTATAGCTTGAATTTTCCAACTTCCACTCTTTCTTGGTCAATCACGTGACACTGTTCTTATATGGCAATCGTAAATTAATTTCAAACAATTAATTTTATCGCGTCATTTTTATGGAATCGAGTTTTATGGTGCTGACTATACGCCATCGAGAATTCGCCCCACGGTATGCAACCAGAGAGATGCGATTACCTTGTGCGCGCGCACAAGTATGTACTCGAGAAGAAAACGCGAGAATGTCAGACTCCGTCCCTCTCCCATGTCATTTGGACTTCGCACTGCAAATCAGTTTATATCGCGCATGCTCATTTCCAAATCAGATAAATAATATTTTTGCATAATTTTGTTGCATTACAATACAAATTATATATTTGGTTGTGCATTTGATACTTTTTTTGAAAAATGTACAAAAACTTTATAATGTGGGAGTATAAAAGAAGGATGAATAATTTATTCTAATATAGTATCATAATAGATTATAAATATATATATTTATAATATTATTTATAATATATATTTATAATCTATTATGATACTATATTGTTCATTGTATCTAGAATTTTTGAAAACTAGTTTGAAAATTAAATGTTTTATAAATCCTAAATTAAATAGATAATCATTTCATTATTTTTCGTAAATATTTGGTTTATTTAAAAATATATTATATCAATTCGACGAATGATTATAGTAATTATTGTAACAATTATATTAAAAAAATTATTTTTTCAATTATGTATTAGGATGCATTATTATTTATAATAAAAACTTTAGTTGATTTCTATCTAAGTATTCAGTATTCTTTTTTCAAATAAAACTTTTAATATATCTTTTTTCAAAATTATTTTCGATATTTTCATTAGACAATTATCAGATAAGTGTTCCAAACATGGCGTTCACCTAGAATACAACTGCCTTACGGTAGAATTCCATCTTAGACAACGAAGAAGAAGGTATCAGAAGGTTGAATGCCATTTCCGTCAAGTACGGTCAAGGACGTGATTACTTCAGCGCATTCCTGGGATGAATTTTTCTTTCAGGGCGTGTCCACATCCATAAGCAATTATACTTGTATACTTGTCGCAGAATCGTAAATGTCCAAGTCTCATAACATGCTTTTCTTATCTTTTCTTATCCCTTATTCGTATATCAATTGCAATGGCATTCGAATTTTAAAGGAATACCTGATCGGTGAATTTTTGCTTTTTTTCTTGATCGACCACCATTGACACACCCGGAAATTTACATAATTTAATCCACAATCATAGATGGCGATAAGAATTTCCATTTCTATTGCTACGATTCTTAGTAAGACCAACATCAATGGAATCTCGTTGTCTATCTTCAATAATAATAAATGATCGTTAATGTTAAGTAAATTGTAGATAAAACACTTTATTTTCTATTTTTCAGTCCATAAATGCTTGCTTGTTCCATAAATTATTAACACTTTTAATAGGACTCGGGAATTTTATTACGAATTTTATTAAGATTATTAACAATAATCTTTTTTAAAATTATATTTTGGCTCCATATTTTTAATTTTTTATAAATATTTTCATAAAGAATATTATTGGATTATCAAATCTTATTTTCTCGATAAACCGTTAGTTTTATTCTAACTATATCTTTTCTATTCATGTTTGTATTTCGTGCTAAATTACGGTCTTATAGAAAATTTTTTGAATTTTATACAATTATAAATTTTCTTCAACTTAAATTACTTAAATATAGATTAGAATATTCCTTTAAGTTACTTAAGGGACTATTACTATAAAGTACTATTATATTACTATAAAGTACTATTATATTCTTTTAAGTACTATTACAAACTTATTTCCCACGAAGAAGAGTTTTATTATAAAAAACGGGAATAATTCAAAATAAATGGTTTAAAAAAATTTTATATTTTCTTTTAACATATTATATATTAAATTTTACATATTATATATTATATACAATATTCTTCTCTTCTAGCTTATTATTAGTTTTTTCTTCCATGAAAAATTTTCAAGATTTTTATAAAAAGTTCAAATATTCAAGAATTTCAGAATATTTTCTATTGCTAAATATAAAATAGCAGATTTGAATAAAAATCAATAGAAATCTGGAATTCGAAATGTCATCGAGGAACGACCGGATCGTGGTCTCGAAATGCATTGAAATATGTATATACATATATATACACACCTTCAATTCTAAAACTTATAAACGAAACCCACACTCACCTTCCTTCCTTTTCCCTTCCCTTTTCAATGTGATTGCTATTAGGTCGTTGTTACGACACTTTTACATCGCTGTTACGACTCTAAGAAGAACGAATTGCTTCATCGTTTCTATGCTCCGAGGTTCTAAATCGAGCTTATAATCAACTCGAATCATCGATATATCGAATCACCTTGCGCTTGCGCTGCTTCATCGAGCGTTATATTCATATGTGCATATATTCATTGCGATAGCAATAATCATGCGCGAAAAATTGTTCCATGTCTTTAATAAAGATATTTAGGCAAGATAATTAGATTTATCAAATCTCGTCCGTTTAAACATTGAAAAAGATATATGATAAAGAGATTCTAGAAAAAATAGAAACGAAGTATTAAAAAAAGAAATATAAATAAAAGAGATGGAAGAAGGGTCTCGATCTCGAGGAAACCCGACAAACGTTCCCACCGTCGATGATACAATCAATTTTTATCCAGTCACGTATCTCACGTTACGCAACGCCATTAACTGATCGCGATATAATTCTACGACCCAAATCCGTCCACACGTAAAATTATATACGTTTGAAATGAAATTGGACCACTAAACAAAACGCCCTCGTTCTTCAACTAGGTAGGTTTTACATTCATTTTCGGTATTCTTATTTAGATCGCGATTCCGACTATAATTTATAATATGTGAGTATATTCGTTTAATGTTTAAAGTTTAACGAGGTTAAGAATTTCGAAATACGAGTAAAAATTAATAAGCAATTTGAATTGAAAATAATTTATTCGATAAGAATATATGGATGTACGAAAATAATAAAAATAAAAATGGGAGATGAAAATAAATCTTTTTATTTATTTATTTATTTATTTTTTTTTTTTTTTACGTTGTTTGCAGATCTTCAACTTTCAGGAATTAGATAAATAATGTTACACTTGATAGGAATATGTAACAATGCTCTTTTCCGTTATGCGGATTCTCAACATACTTAATCCCAACGACAGGCACGCACAGTGAAAGCATTCACTGAACGGACGACATTTATCCACCCGGTAAGAACCGGGCGCCGTTTCCACATTCAGATTTCGAATATTAATTACCATCTCATTGCTTTTACCATAGTTTCATTACGTTCAAAGAGAGAGAAAAACCGAAAAGATTACCGGGAATATATTTTATATTTGGTACACATATACTGATCGGTCAGCCGTGTCTCAATCCTTCGTTGTTGATCAAAGTGTCTTCTTGTTAAGAAGATTTAACATTTGAAATTGTTGTTTATGACCAAACATCTGAAAATCTGATTAATGAGTAAATTAGAAGTAATTTGATGAATGTTAGAAATTTCTAGAAACAGAAACTATATAACTAAGTCTTTTTAATTTAATAATAATTTTAAACAAATATTATCTTTATTTATTAATTAAACTTTAAAACTATTTTTTATTAATTTTATAAAATTACAGAATCCAAAAAATAAAAATATGATTTTTATTTAAAAAAGGATAAAATATTAATTTATCTATTAATTTACATTAATGTAAGAATTTTGATCTATTTTTCAATATATTTTTAATATATATTATAATATATTATATTTTTTATATTATTTCGATATCTAAAAAAAGATTTTTAAATATATATATATATATATAAAACGATGGAAAATAGTAAGTCGCAATTACACAAGATAGTTCACTATACTAGTCTAGGCATCAGTACGATTCAATGTTCTTACTGATTACCTGGTATAAATCATGCGGTCTAAAACAAGCACGTTTCTCACATGTGGAAAGGCATGTGAGGAATTTATACGCCATCCACATCGTATAACGATTAAATATCTTCTATGATTCTTCTAGTTGCCTTTTAAGAACAACTATCCTATTTTGTCAAATGAATCGTTAAAATATCTCATTATTCAACATTCTGATGCGAATTTTATCGAACGATGCCTTGAAAAGTAAACGTCTCTCTTGTTAGAAAATTTACAACCTAAAAAGAAGGAAATATCCTGTCAGACCTGCATCGATAGGAGCTTTTATACCTGGTTCAAACTTCCTGCTTGTACCCGTATGGATGCGAAACGTTCGCACTCGTGTAACGAGGCGTCAAATCAAATAAATTTCTCTTGGAGCAAATTCAAAATTTCACATTCCTTGCATATAACTATGCAAAAAATAAATCGTTTTTATAATTTCTTTCTTTGCTACTATTATTTTATTTGATTAATAAGGATATAAAAAATATTGTATAACGTATGTTTAGAAAATTAGTACAAGATAATACAAATAACAGAATATAACATAAAAACTTAATAAAATAACGAAATGTTAGGAATGTTGATCAAGAAATAGAAATAGACGCAATAGAATCTTGACTTAAAATTCATTCATATAATTTTCATCATAAAAATTTTTTTGTATATAATTAGAAATCATACATAATTTTACATAATTGGAATATAAAAGGACAAGGAAAAAATTATACACGAAAGGGAAGAGTAATGAAAAGATTTTTTCATTGAATGAAAAATCTTTTTACTTTACTTTATTATCATCTTAATTTTTTCTTGAATTTTTCAATAGATACATATCGATATTTCCATTTTTATGTATATCCCTTGGCGCCACACAATCCGTGAAACGCATTTCTACAAAAGTGTTTGTCAATGAATAATATTTATTAATCCATTGTATCCGCGGGATCTCACCTTCGGACGTTAAGGTTCGATAAATGGAAGGAACGCAAAAGGAATTCTCGACATGTCTGGCGAGCGAATTAGGCTCATTGGAATTTCACTTTGGTTACAAGCAGGCTTTCATGCCGCCAAGTATGGTCCTCATGACCCGGTAGCCGGATACGATACGCGACGTGCGAGTATCGCCCGTCTTCATCATTAAGTTATTAAACCAATACACTTAACGAACTTCTATGATTTTCGTCTTTGTTTCTTAGTGAATTAACTAATAAAAAATTGCGTTAAAAACAGATTTATGATTTTTTAACGCACAAGATATTTTTGCCAAACTTATAAAATTATAATAGAATTGAAATCGTAAAAATTTGTTCAAGTTGAGATGTCTGTTGTTTGTTACAGATAAAGGGTGAACGATTATCTGATCACGATGCCGTATTACAATAGTGGACATAGTCCTTCCACCTATAATAAAGGTAACAATAACACATTATTGAATTTTTTTTTTCATTAATAACAATAGAATGAAATGACAAATAGAATGATTCTTGTTAATAGGTTATCTTAATTATTTATTATAATTTTGCTTTACGTTTTGTATATAGACTTGAATATTCGCAATTTATTATAAAATTAACCAAAACGTTTGGTTGATGATCAGTATTATTAATAAAATAATTAATGTATTAGACGGAGGGTCGAGTGGTCCATCGAGCACATCTGGTGGCCGTGTGAGTAGTTCCGAGCCGACATACATGATGGAGCATTTGGCCACGTTCACGGTCACGAAGGAAACCGGTATTGTTTATCCAGCGGACGGTATGCGGCGACTTTTGCAATTGGAGAAGAGTAACGGCATCTGGAGTCAAAAGATGCAGCTCCGTCTGGAACGGAACTGGGTACTGATTATGGACAATGAGACAGGGGTAAAGATCCTCTTACAAATACATAAGAGAAATTCTGCACAAATTCTTTTTTTTTTTTTCTTTCTATTAAAAAAGAGAAAAGAAACGTAGCTTATGATATTTATAGCGATGAACGATGAAATACGAAGTGGAACATTTGTGAAATTACATTGCGTACAATTTAAGGCAATTTCACTTAATGCATCGTTGATAAATTCGTATGCAGGCCGTCATGGAGCGTTTCCCAGCCTCGTTGATACAGGAACCGACCGCGTTCACGTCGAGGGATCCTATGGAGATGTATAACAACATTCTCGTCTTCACAGTGGCGGATGACAGTGGTTCCGGTCAACGAGCAGAAATGCATATATTCCAGTGTCAAAGTGTCTCGGCACAAGATCTCGTCGAGGATCTGAAGATGCTGCAAATGGGTAAACTGGTACCAGGTGGTTCGCCAAGAGGTCCAAGAGGACGTATTCCACCGCCTCCCACTTTACCACCGCCAGAACCACCCTTAAACGGGGTTAATGTCCGAGAACAAGTATCTGCATTTAGTGCTAACAATGGTATGTCCTTTCGTATTTTTTCTTTTTTTTTTATCCACCTTTTTTTATTTGTAAATAAAATTGAATATTTTATGAAATATAAATCTATAAGATGGAATAATTTAATTTATCTCTGTTTTTCGAAACGTAGCCGATAGTCAAAATGATATATCTCGTGAGGAGAACAATGACGAAGTGTCCTCGACATCTTCCGAAAAATATGAACGCGACGTGACGATCCTGAATCATTGTTTCGATGATATTGAAAAATTTATCGCGCGTCTGCAATATGCGGCGGCCGCTTCTAAAGAATTGGAACGTCGAAGGCGCAATCGAAAGTCGAAGAAAAGAAATCTCGGTGACGGAATGCTGACAATGAGAGCCAAACCACCACCAGAGATGGAATTCATCGATATCTTTCAAAAATTTAAGCTGTCGTTTAATTTGCTGGCTAAGTTGAAGGCTCATATTCACGACCCCAACGCTCCTGAACTAGTGCATTTTCTCTTTACGCCGCTTGCTTTGATCGTGGACGCATCTCACGATACTAATTACGATCCTAACTTGCCAAGCAAAGTTGTATCACCGTTATTGACTAGAGAAGCGGTAAATTTGTTGATTAACTGCGTCACAAGTAAAGAGACGGAGCTTTGGCATTCATTGGGCGATACGTGGTTAATACCACGCGATCAATGGAAAGGTCACGTTCCCCCCTATCACCCTATCTTCATGGATGGTTGGTCCCCTGAGTATCCAATACCAGAAGACAGAGACCACGATCATCTTGCTTCGTTATTGAACGCTGACAAACAGAAGAGGGACGAGCTCCCTGAACAACAGAACGATTCGTATTATAATCATCGAGAAGTTGACGAATCTCATTATAGCAGCGATTATTTAGAGTACGAGAGCAGAGAAGAGCGTGCCGGTAACGAATATTTTGATAGAAATTACGGTACCGGTTCAGAGTTGTATGGTAGAGAAGAAAGAGTCGTCGATCAAACGAGAGCGCATAGCGATATATCCGTAGACTCGATCGAAAGAACACCGAGAACTGCTGGTATGGAAAGAGCTCAGGAAGCTTGGTTAGACGACTTAGTGGCTAGACACGCGAAAATCGTGCAAGTTACTTATCCGAGGACGGCAAACAACGATAAAGAATTGACAGTTGTTAGAGGTGAATACCTAGAGATTCTCGATGATAGCAGGAAATGGTGGAAGGCAAGAAATTCCAGAGGCCAGGTTGCCCATGTGCCACATACTATTGTTACACCTCACAATCCTTCTCATTCTAACGACAACGATGTTTTCAACAATCCTTTGTACACGAGTCGATATCCGAGGCAGGGGCACAGCTATAATTACGAGGTGAGATTCACTGCCTGAATGCCTTCTAGAACCTTCATCTGTCTTAAAGGAAAATAATTATGTAAAGATGATTGCAAAGATTTGGTTGAAGAAACAGTAATTACTGTGAAACTGTGTCATTGACTATAACAATAGTTATTGATTCTGATAATTATTTATGAACTAATAACATTAAATAATTTATTAACTATCTTCTCTGAAATCATCTTCATTAAAATATTATTTTACAATAATAAAAATTATTTAAGGATTATTAAGTATTTTATGGATTATTAATTATATTAATTATTTTAGGATTCTGAAATCGAAAGGACCAGCACAAGTCCAGGACCTGAAGCCACTCATCGAACTCATGCGATTCCACCTCCCGCACCTGCAGATTGGGTGAGAAAAGAAAGACTTGGGAAAAAAGGTGAATTCCGGTATTTTTAAGCTATCTAGTGATTCAGAATTGTTTAGTTTTGTACGTTGCTTGAGGGATCGGAGAGGAATTGAATCAATAGGATAACTTTTAAGTTGTGGTCGCTGATATCAGAAGACAAAATAGATTATTCAATAGACTATTTAAGAAAATGCAGTCAAAATGCTTGAAGTTTTTACAATTCGTGTTTATATGATTGAAACTATTTAAGATATATTTCTTGATGACTTCGATTATGAGATAAAGCATGTTACGAAAATGATCAACGTATATTAGCACCACAGCATTTATTGTGTCTTCAATCCTTGTACGTTTTGTTTTCTAAGCGTTCTTCAATTTTTTTTTTCTTTTTGATGAATACTGTGTTTTTTCTACTTGTATATATTATATAAATATGAAGAAATATGTGAGTAATATCTAGATCGAATCCACCAATAATTATTGCAATAAAGCAAAGTAGAGAAATTATATTTGTTATAAAATGCGTTGGTTTTTCAAGTTCTTCGATCTTATCCAAAGTTTTCTTTTTATAATTTATATTAATGACTTTGATTCAAGAATATTAGGAAGAACTTTAAGAAAAACTCATCGCTATGCATTATATAGATATTAGTTCTTTTTTTCTTTTCTGAAGCCTTTAAACCAATTAACAATAAGGCGGTATCTTATCAAATATAAGTTTGCAATCAAAAATAGAATTGCAACTCAGGAAATAGGATGGAACATATTTTATTATTAAAATCAATGAACAAAATAATTTGATATTTTATGAATAAGTTGCAAATCTTATTCTTTATATTTGTTTAAAACAATCTAACTCATATAACAGTCAATCAGAAGTGTTCGAGTTTATTTTAATATCGTACCTTTTTTTCTTTATAGTGATTATAGGAATGACTATCATACTTTTTATATTTATCGACTAACCAAATCTTAGTATATATATATATATACTTATATATACCTATATATACTTAACAGAAGAAAAAAAACAAAGAATAACATGTATAGTTTTATATTAAAAATATTGTAAAAGCGTGAAGTTAACATATTGAACTGGTAAAAATTATAAATGCAACATTCGTGCGTTTCCGTTGGAGAAATCGTGGTGAAGTCATTGTGTCCGTCCATTATTATCAAATATTCGGCTTCACTATAAGAAAAAGCTTGTCTGTCGAATTAAAGCTGTTGATAAAAATTATATCTTCCTTCGGTAATAACAGAAAATGTTACACGTTGAACGATTCTTATTCATCAACATTGTGATTCATTCTTTTCTTTTTTTATCAATGGCTTTAATCATCGGTACAAAACTCTTTCTCTCGATGCTTTTATTTACGTGACGTTGCATGTGTCTGTATGCATCAGTGTGAATAAGCTTGTACAAATATATTGTGAAACATCGAGGAAGAAGAATCGTTGAATTTTTGCGATTCCCCTTCTATGAATGGTCAGATAAGAAGAATTGAATTCTAGAAACGGCGACATAATACAATTGCATATGATGAGAGAGAGAGAGAGAGAGAAAGAGAGAGAAAGAATATTAGAAAATAACTTAATTTTTATTATCTTTATTGCGAGATGCCGAGAAATCCCGCGACTGTTGATTTATATTATTGAAGAGTGAATACAAACGAGCGATGCGATATTTTCGCATTTTTAAATATAATATAGATAAAGTATGGGACATTATTGCAATTTTACAATCGCAACATTACTCGACTGTATAAATTTTTTCTCGCTTGCCAAAGTTGAGTTACTCTTCAAAATTTTTTTCTAAAATATTATGACAAGTTGTTTTGCTACTACTTTTTTTTTTGATAATACATAATTCAAATGCTTGATTCCAAAAATATATAATTGATTTGAAATAAGTAACTTGACATTGGTTCTTGCACATTTGTCCGTCATAGTTAGTTTTTCAGCGCCGTAATAATTAGAGAAAGAGAGTAAAAAGCACCGAGCGAACTCTGCGTATCGACGAATTCACGTTACTTTTTTATTGTTTTGTGGTATAGATAATCGAGAGCTATAAACAATTACATGCAATTAATGCAAGCATTATCGATTCGTTCTCGAACGACCGGATTATTTATACATAGAAATCAATGATAGAGCTATTCTCGACGATACGATACTAACTAGTCTATCAGGGACTTATTAAAATGAGTTCACAGGAAACATGTTCAACGATGTTTATAAATTGGATCTTCTAAATTCTTCTTCGCACTTTCAGTCTCTTTAGAGTTATTCTTGTAATTGTATTGCGATAATCTACCACCATGCGAGTAATATAAATCGTGAAATTCTTCCACGAGGGACACTTTGCAATTAATAGTAAAAATATGATGCACGATCACGTAATCTATAATTTTATACATACTTCTTGATCGAGCGAAATCTAATTTTTCTTCTTTTTTAACTCTTTTATCTGTTTTGTGTCCATGGAATGGGGATTACGATCCGTCCAATATTTTTGTTGCACTGTAATTTATGTACATCACTTGATTAATAAATATACTCGGTTACAGATTGTATTTGTCTTTATGCATAAGTATACTCGTCCTATTTTAAATATTTAAAATCGTTGGTTGAAGAATAAATTATTGTATTTGTAAATTCGTTAGTGCATTCGTTGCATTTGCTTAAAGTGTGCTTCTTAATGTGATCGTCTATTGAGAAAGTGTTTAGTGATTTTAATCTTCAAAAATGTTGGGGTAAGTTTGTTTAAATAGATGTCTTAATGTCTGTAAAATTAAGCATTTTAATATATACATTTTTGTATATATATATATATTTGCAACATATATAACATCGATTATTAATAATATTGTCAATATTAATTATATTGCAGATGAATCTAACGAAGAAACGACGTCTATCGGTAGTAACAAAGTAATATTTGCAATTAAACCTAACATCAATGAAAAAATATCATCCATCAATGAAGATCAGAAATCAAAATCCAATGAAATGACAGAGGTAGTTGAAATTCACGCACCACCTCCGGACGTACGTGAAGAAATCGCGAAGGAAATGTCGTCATCATTAATATCAACAATTACTCCACCACCACCTCCACCGCCTCCTTTAGAAAGTCAGATATCTGTTTCTTCGAATAATTCATGCAAATCAGCTACATTGAAGAGTAATCATACAATTAGCGGTAATATACACTTTTATAATGCCCAAAGTTGTTTGATGCATGATGTATTGTTTTTTTTTAGGGCTGAAAACCGAGAAACAAGTGCAAGAGGAACTGAAACAAGTATTAATGATATTTCGTGAGAAGAAAGAGTATTATGGCAAGAGTATAGATCGTGAGCCTGTCTTGGATCAATATTCCACTCCTAGAGAAGTGCAAAAATGGCTTACATTTAAAGGATATTCAGAAAAGTATTTCTTAAATTCAAAAAAAAAAAAATTTAATTTGAAAATTTTTAAATTTAAATTTAATAATTAAATTTGTTTTTCAGAATTTGTAAACAATTAAGAGACATGGCTGGTTCAGAAGTATTTGATTTAACAAAAAGACAATTGGAACAATATTGTGGTATCGCGGAAGGTGCCAAACTTTTCAATCAAATTTTATTAGCACGAAATGAAAATAAGGTAAATAACAAAATTGAAATATTTTAAGCATAGAATTTTAATTTTCTTATCTTTTCTTATTTATAGACGAAGAGTTCTCGAACATCGGAATTGAAACAAATATTAGAAAAAGCTAGACACAAAGTTGAGGAACAATGAAGCATTTTCTATCAAATACTCTATAAATATATAATAAAAATTATACATATCTTTCAAGTGTATGTATTAACAAACATATACATCAAGAAATTTAATATCAAATTGCATTTATTATCGAATAATAATCATATTATGATACTATTTTCCTTTATGAAACTCTGTGATTAGTTTGTAAATTAAGAGCAATATATTTAACACTATATCTACTATATTTATAGATAAATATATTTACAAACTAAATACTTAAATGAGATTTTTCAATTATTATTTTTTTTTATATAATAATATATTATAAAAATATATATTATAAATATTTCTGTTATAATAGCAATAAGAGAATGCGTTTTAAATATTGTGAAAAATACTTATTACTAAATAACGAAGTGATATTTTCATAAAAGTCATTAATAGAAAATCAAAAATATTCATTTAATATTGATGTCAAATTTTTATTTCAAGCGATCACATACATTGTAACAGACATAAATAGGTACTCTAGCTGTATCATTTATTATATTGATAAACTATACATTTCTTTCGAATACTCGACTCGAAGTCACACAATTGTGAACACATTGATAATTATATTTTTATAGAGATAAATCTGTTGTAAAGCCCTTGCATATTTATCATTTAAATAATTCTCATACAAAACTTTTATATTGGTAAATGGAATACAACGATACACGTATTGAATACCGTAATATAAAATCTTTAATACAACGAATGTAACATGCACAATAACAATGTTAAGTCTTAATAAATGTTAATAGTCTAAAAACTGTAAAAACAAATGGAGACAACACTTTTCCATTAAACCATATAATAATTGAACAAGGTCAAATCTCAATCGTTTCTCAATTAATCAGGTTTCAAGCAGTCTTATATAATCACATATATTCAATTATGTAATTATTACTAGAAAACAACAATATATCTTGAGAAAAAGCTTCATAATAGAATTGTTTTTAATAAAATAATTATAAATTATTTCAAAATATATGAACTGTGTTGCTTTCTATGATTCTTAATAACTTATTGTAACTGATTCTATGCATGTGTAGAAACTTTTAGAAATGTTTCAATATAAAATCTACATTAAAAAACTCTTAGACATATTTTTCTAAATGCGATCTAAAAATGTCTCGTTCTAAAAATGTATCACGACAGTTATTCGCGACAATTTTGCAATTATAACTTACGATGGTAACCAAAGTTTTTGGTCGTTTACGAGTAGCTCAGACAAGCCTTATAATTATAAAATTTCAAATTCATTCATTTTACACAATAATAATTACGTAATAAATATTTATTATGCGATAATTACTGTTTAGTATCATTTATTCTTAACATTATTATTATTATTAAGATTATTATCATTAATTTTACTTTCGTAGACGCATGTGTCTTAAGGATTTAATAAAATCAACAATAGATATTTTTTCAATGACAAAATTAAAAAAAAAGATTAATAATTTTCATTTCAACACGTTAAAAATCGGAATGTAGGGTTCATGCTATTAAGGAAGTAAAAAAAATTTTTTTGTTCACACAATATAAGACTTGAATAATTAAATTAAATAATACTCAATGAAATTTCCACATGAAATTTTATAAATTTTGAAAATCATAAGCAAACAAGTATGCATTCTTATCAAATACATCAAATACATCATTACATCTTCCTTTTGGTATAATGGTTGTTAATTTATAAATTTAGCATCCTTGACTATGTTATCTATTTATGAATTTGTGCGTATTTCAATTTAATTTTTACAAGCTATCATTGTTGAACTTTATCATTTCTCCATTTAAATTTTGTAAATTTTAAAAAATGTCAACATTTTTAGAGCAGAAGAATTCCGCTCCATATCTTTGGAATAAAAATTTTAATGCCAAATATTTGATTCTAAGATACATCTGTTTCCATATTATCACGATTTTTATCATTTGAACTTTTTTAAACCCGCAAATTCTATGACAATAAAAATACAGTGAAAAGATAAAAAAAATTATCTGTTTTTCATTCGGTTGCAATTATTCGGTTTAACTTACTGTTAGACTGTTTTATATGATAATTAAGTTATCAATTTCTAATAAATATTCAAACATAACTGTATATAATTTATAATACAATTATTTTAATCCTTTGCGAAAGAACAACTGTTTAAATTCTTTGAATCGTTAAATTAAGGATAATATAATATTTACAATCATTATAATTAATAATATAATTAACCGAAACGTAACATTAAACTGTGATAGAAAATAGAACAATTATTGTATTGGGCTGATTTCTTAAAATTAATGGTACAGTGTTTGATTCTAGGACTAACGATAGTGTATAAAATATATAATATAATATAATATACCCGTGAGATAATTGCATACCAGATAAACCTTGATCGAGAGCGAAAACATTTTTATATGTAATATGTACACCGGGCATATAATGTTTACGTTATTGTATAATGTCAATGATGAAATTGATGATGATCACTGTACACCGGTGTTATATAAATTATTAAAAATATGATACGAAACCAAAGTTAATAATAACTGATTAATGAATGTTAAACATGTACAACTTATAATTGGTGACTAATAATCGTTCATTAATAATGATCGATTTAATAATAAACATTATTAAATATCTAAGTTATTTTGAAATGATTTTGAATATTACAGATGCGAATACATTTTTGGAGTAATATAGTTACGCAATAAATAACTTGCTCATAAGCTTGACCTTGGAATTATCAGAAATACGTATATCAAATATTTTTTACGACTTTACAAAACATAAATTTATTTTTTTGATTATCTTCATAAAAGAAATAAATAATTTTTCTATTAAATATAGACATAATATCCACGTCAAAATTAATACGTAATTCTGTTATTCCATATATGTAATACATAATAAAACAATATACTATACAAATAAATGATATAAGTTTGCAACAGTCGATTAAGGTATTCATTAAGAACGATAACATAAATCTTTGATCGGCTAGAAACTTAACAAATATATCTATTGCACGAAAGATAAAGTCAAGTGCGGATCATCAACCGCGTAAACGATCCAAGGTCAAAGAATGAAGCATACGTACATAGAGAGCGGGCAATGAAGCGATAATGAAGCTAAAAATAGTGTGATACGTGAAAATATATTCTACTGACCGGTGGCATCCGAATCCTCCTTTGATGGAACAGACCTTAATCGATTGAGAACATATCAATTGAAAACGAAACTTATCGATAATGATTGAATGAATAGCGAACCTGAAAGCGAGTTGATAGAAAACTGTCAAGAAAAATAAAATTGTGTTTTTTGTACACACGAATGAAAGAAAAATGATGAAAGAAGAAACATTTCGTCCTTATTTCCTCTGTAAAGAAAGATCCCTAAAGATATGCAAAGCAGATCTTGAAAATCTGTCTTTCATAAATTACCAAAAACCTCCCGCACTACGACCACCAGGTGGATTGTTCACGCGGATACAAGCTCTTCTTGCTTCCTCGACATCCTCTGCGAACATACAATTTTTTCAATATTGCCTCTATCTCTATTTTAAAAGAAAAAATTTTCTAATTACATACCACTAATAGAAAAAGTAGAGTCTTGCAAATTTCTCTGTCCTTCTAATCGTGGACCTTTCGATGATGGTGTAACCACAGCAGAATCAGGTAGTGTTGGCATACAATCGGGTACTGAAATCTTTGGTTTCGGACTTTCGTAAGTACCGTTTGTTTGATGACTCTTCGCGAGTGCTTCAGCTGCCGCTCTTGCTTCCTCTTTGGCCTTCGCGATAGCGGCATCCTCCTCGGCAAACTTCTTCGCCTCGGCTTCGGTTCGTGCTACACCGCGTGGTTTCTGAACAAATAATAATGATTCTAATTAAAGACGATAATTTTTAAATTACAAATGATTATTCATTATTCGTTAGAGATTTTTACAAATATTGAACGTTACGAAATATTAAGAGAAATATACTTTTTCTCTGTCTTCAATCATATCATATACATAAGTAGCATGGCTTGGAGTCTCGACGAACTTTCCGAATCCATGAACAGCTTTTAGTTCGCACTCATCCACGCAAACACGACCTTCCACTATAACATACTCAGGTACCCCATGAACTTCCATACCCTGAAATAAATAAAATTAGACAAAGTCAAACTTATTGGCAGAGAAAAAAGAATCATTTCGATCAAAACTAATGTATAACGTAGCATGTACTACGAGCACTGATAAAATTTTCTTTATCACAACGATGTTGGCTTGATTGAACTTCCTGTGGGTCAGGGTAAGATAAATAGAAAATATGTACCTCCTGCGACTCAATATCGAGGCAACAAAGGCTTTATTAAAGGCTTAATATTGGCCAGACCTTACCTCGAAGATGTTGAAGTCAACGGCCTGGACATGCGTTTGAGCGGAAATCGTACGCTTCCTGTTAGGGTCCCAGACAACTATATCAGCGTCTGAGCCGACCGCTATCACTCCCTTTCGTGGATAAAGGTTGAAGATCTTTGCAGCGTTGGTGCTGGTCACTGCCACGAACCTCGTAGGGTCCATTATTCCAGCGTGCACCCCTTTCTCCCATACAACCGACATCCTATCTTCGACACCATTTACGCCATTGGGAATCTTCGAGAAATCATCCTTGCCTAGAGCCTTTTGTTCGGCGTTGAAGGTACAGTTATCGCTACCGGTAACTTGAAGACCGTCTCTGACGAAATAGAAAATCGTTGAAGTAGATGATTTATTAAAATTTTGAGAAATTGATATCTTAAAAAAGCAGAGATCTATAGCAGAAGAACGAAAGGATACCTTGACATCTGTTAAGCTAGAAGAATTTTATAATATGTAGCTATATGTATTATAATATTATGTGATGTAATCGATTTATCGAGTAAAATTGAATGCTGACCGTAGAATGATCTTTAAACGAGTTTTCCTCTGCCCATTTAATTAAGTTTAATACCAGATGCGAGATAAAAATGACTTCCCACGCGGTGTCTATTAAAATTAAGTTCAGTTAGCCTTATATCATGCGTGCCAATTTGTTGCTGTAATTTATCATTGTCATTTGAATTCTTTACGCTTTCCAAACGCATACGAGTAACCCAACAGCGTGAAAATTGTTTTATCTCGTATGCTTATCCATTTACAGTTTTTCTGCATTAAGTTTCCATATAGAGTAGAAATAAGTTAATTATCAACTCGAACGTAACGATATTTGAAAGGAGATAAGAACATAAGAAACTGTTGAATGAATCTCCACTTTGCTATATCTTTTATTTCATTAGTTGATTTGTCGATTACGTTATTAAAATAACAGTTTATAATAATAAAAAAAAAAAAAAAACAAATAATCATCGATTAGATAAATCGTGCTCATATCGAAAAAAAATTATCTTCTTAAAGTTTATTTTAGATTCTCTACATTAGTAACTTACTAACGACTATCTTCTTAATTAAAGTGATCCAAGAGTTCAGATTTTTTTTTTTTACTTACTGTGCTAAGTGTTCGATTAGATAGGCAGGTGTTGTAGAATCAGGTCTCAATGGTGGACTAGTAACGTAACGTCTGGCTTTTTCGATATCTTTCCCATATTGCTCGCTACCATCGATACCCACGGTACTTGCGAGAGTTTCTCCAAACAAGACAACACCCTCCGACTTTTTCGAGGATACAACATCAGCAGCAGATTTGCTCGACAATGCCGTTACGTACAGTGGGCAATTCACCTAAACGCGATATTATCTTGTCTCGTTTATCCTGGCATCGATTTTATTGATTATAAATGTGATCACAGCCGAAAAAAAAAAAAGAAGGATTTTCTCTCGTTATTCAAATTATCTTGGATTTATTATCTTTCAGAATAAAATACTATTATTTTCAGCCGTGTTCACGATATCATGACTAACTACAGTTTAGAGGTAACTACAAATTGAGCTACATTACTTTTATAATACCGAGGAAGAGAATCGTGCCAGCTGTACAACGATGATTTAAAATGTAAAAGAAATAGGGCAAAGGAAAAGTAATATCGAACTGCAGTTACGATCAGTGTGCATGCACGAGAATTTCGACGGAACATCTAAATATAATTTCTGATGCATGCAATATCGAGGAGCTATAATTATACTTTAATGCTTATCTATTGATGTATTTTAATACTCTTTAATATTTATAAATTGTTGCAACAATTTGGAATAAATTAATAAAAATAATAGAAATTATTTTCGAAATTCTATATAAAATACGTAAAATTCTATAGATAAACCTCAATAGAAATTACAATATTCGGTATTCAAGATAATACGTGACTTCATATATCTTGCAAATTCCAGATTTCTTAAGCTCCATGAGATTTCATGCATCCTCTTAAAAACTCAAAAATTAAAGAATATAATAAGGATTTTTTTAAATCCTTTAGTGTAGAAAAATATAAATTTCACAAAAAAGCTCTTTTATGAAGTTAAAATTGTTTCTTTAAAATTTTAATGAGTTTAGAATGATCTTTATGCAATCTCATAGAATTTCTGTACGATTATAAATATTTTATATCTTTGTTGCAACGCTGAAATTAATTTGTATAATTAAATTAAAAAATATATATAAATTATCATTTCTAAGATTTTAATCTATATTTTTATGAACTAAAAAATAACGTGTAATTTTTTAATCATTTTTCGGTCAGCGAAATATCAGTGATATTTTTTCAAAACTAAAAGTGTACTTATTAACAAAATTCATTTCTATTTCTATTTAACGTAAGCTATTTTTTTTCATTCACTTGTAAAATAAAACATATAAAAAAACTACATATAATAATAATAATAATAATATCATGGCAACTCGACATATAGGTACACTATTCTCTGGATGTCAAAGTCACCTTAATCAAAATTTATGGTGGCTTCGACTCACTTGGCCAACATATTCAACAATGCACGTGGTGTATCTGGGTCTGGTCTTAGAGGTGGACTCAAGACATGCGCTGCAGCGTGTTTCCAGCATTTGTGCGCGTAGTTGGTACCATCTGTGCCAATTGCAGCTGCCAAGGTTTCGCCGAAGATGCACGAATTGCCACGCTTACGCGCAGCATCCACCGCTTCTGCGGCGCTACGACTCATCACATGCACTACATATAGTGGACAATTGACCTAAGCATGCAGAATTTTGATCGATTTATGCTTTAGTGTCCTTAAAAATAATGAAACTTCCTTTCGTAAAAGTATAATGAATTGTTTTGAATTTTTAAGCTGAAACAAAACAATAAAGTATCTTCTTTTTTTAATAAGATCATATAAAAACTATTTATAATACTTCTTTATATCTTTTAACGATAAAAAAGATAATTACTTTGAACTGAATTAAAAGTATCATTCATTCCAAATTAAAACTATAATCACAGAAAGCGTATATCCATTAATAAGCAATTCTTCAAAGTACTATGATACATTGATTTATAAAGTAGCAGTGCTTGAAAAGATAAACACAAGCGTACTTATAAATATGATCATCTATAAATCTTCTCCAGACTCGTTTTCCTTACCTGATTAGCTATAACACACGCTCTGTTCACAGCTTCTGCCTCTACTTCCTCAGGACGCGACATTTCGTGACCTTCGGGTCCCGTGACTCCAGCATCGAGCAATCGTTTCGTGTTCTAAAATAATTTCTACCTAAATTTCTCTGAAGATTTATGTAATATATATCGTAAATATATCTATGCGTCTATTTTCATCAGATGGAACACCAAACATGGTAGCAGTTGTTAAAACGTTCCAACATAACGTATCGCTCGCTTATTTCAAGGATAAATTATGTATAACGATCACGACATAAATCACGACGAGTCTCCTACCTCCGCAATAATGTCGCCATTTTCTGCATGAACCATAGCAATAGCACCGAGCTCCTTACACGCTTTGAACGTCTCAATTAATTCTGGATCCCTGATCATATATAGATCACGATAGGCCATGAACATTTTGAAGCTATTGACACCGTGATCCTTCACCAACGTAGCCATTTCTTCTTTGACCTGCAATACAGAAAAACTATGATAGCTTAGAACGGAATAAGAATTATTTCAAACGGATAAACAGTCTGACAAGCGTTAACAAATAAGGAGTACATCGATTTGCATGCATCCGTACGCGATCCGATTGCGATTTCCTCACTCGATCGCTCGGTATTCCATTCACGATCGTGATTACAGTTACAAAGACGCTGTGGCAAAACAGCTGCAGTTCGTACCAGATTCGTACGATTTGCCAATTTGCCGCGAGATCGGTTTCACCATATTTAGGAACGGAGCGGAGTGGACTCGTCGCTCGATCTAGGCCGATGCTTTATGCTCGTTCCAAGTGTCTAAATCGTCTGTTGAACGATGCTGAACACCAAAAATCGATTCGATAATTTTCAAGCGTAATTTTTCCGCTCGTTTCAACGTCAATTTCAATTGACCGATTTGATCATTAGCATTTGATAAAAAGAACGATCGAAAGAGAGAGGGGAACGTAACGCGTTCTCCTACTAATTTCCGATAGTCATCTGTGAATTACGTAAATTCTATTTGCGATCTGAATACCAATTGTCAACACGCTATTTCATGATAATACACATTACGTTTAATTTTATAAAACGACGGCGATAAAATTAAAAGAGACACGCAAGAAAGGGGTCGGTCGTGCTTTCTTTTCCAGGAAGGACTCGTATTACGGTAATTATCTCATTCTGGGTGACTAAATAGAATAGAGAATAGCGTGTGAACTGTATCATAGTGATGTAGTCATCGCGTTTCAGAACGCGACTGCAGAATCTTTCAGATCCATCGTTCTAACGTTTCCTTTATATTAACATTGAACGAAACTAGGAGGAAGAGATCTTTCTTCTTGGACGTTCGTCACATTTGTTCAAAGGCTCACTTTTGAACTCCAGGACGTGATAGCGACGTGGAGCGAATAATCGCAGCAAACTTTCTGGTCGGCGCTCTCCCGGTACCTCTCGTACGCCTCTAAAATTGATTCGTCCTTCTTAGGGATGACAAAGTCGATGATCATCGTCGTACCACCGGCGACAGCTGCTTTCGTGCCCTGATAAAAATCGTCCACCGTCTTGGCGCCCATTAACTCCAATTCGAAATGGGTGTGCGGATCTATGCCACCGGGCATCACGTATTTTCCACGGGCGTCGATGATTCTCGTGCCACCTGGTATTATTAAATTACGACCCATTTGCCTGGAAATATAACGTTTCTTTATGTAATCGGAATGCAACGATGGAAATGAACGATTAAGCGCTCCTAAACCATTATTAGTACATACGATGAAAATCATATATACAATAATACAATAATACAATAATACAATAATACAAAATCATATATAAAATCATATATACAATCATTCAACTGGTCATTAATTTTTTCTTTAAAAGGAAAAACAGCAACAAAGTAATTAGACAATTTCTAATACAATTACACGGCTCTAGATAAACATTCAATATTAATAAAATTTTTAAAATCTTTTCAATAAGTTACATGTCACGCTTGTTTGACAAATTATACTATCATCGCGTTATCTTTTCATTGATAAAACGTTGTATCGCGTTTCGCTTGCGCAAAGTGGCGAATAAACACGCGAGCAGAATTTCGAATGAAACGTCGATCGTTCGTGTACATATATGTAAATCGAAAAATTTATTTGCTCACAAACCCTAATTTATCATCACCTTTGACTCGTGCAACAATTATAGCAGAATAAATGCCACGTTGGAGATTGGATATTGGAGATGGACAATCGAAACTCGACAAATTCCACGCGAAAACGATTTCGCGTTTAGTAACGTAATTATACATGTGCATGAAAATGAGAAAAGTTAATGTTTATGAATATATATATATATATATATATATATGTAATGACTCTTACTTTATGATACCATCTTCGATATAAACGTCGTTGTCCGTGATCCCATCGTCGTTTACCACCTTGCCGTTCTTAATCAACAGCCTGTTTTGCGCGCTCTGGAAACAGAACAGTGGATATCGTTTTACGCGGATCTTTTCAAAAAATAAAACCACAAGTTGTAATAATGCCGAATGCTATTGAATGCTAACCTTTGAGGAGATCTTACTGCACGTGCTTATTACGTATACATCATGTAAAATATAGTTTACTTATTCCTAATGTTAAAGTAAATATCAATTAGTTTCGCGCGAGTAGCACGTTATTATTTTTAATAATATTTTAGAATCGTGTTTTCTATATTTTATATATATATATATATAGATAATTTCTATTATTATTATAAAGCCATCAACATGGAGGGTACTTATAAATAGGGGAATCAAGCATCAATTTTCTAGTTGATATCAAACTTTTATAGGTCACTCGTCCACGAGAGACTTTTATTACGTAAATGAAAATATCCGATACACACAGATTTATCCAGAGGCGGATAGATAGATAAAAACGATATAGATACCATCGACTAAAAAGTCTTTGCCTCGAACAAAATTACTTCCCATTGAGAATTGGCCAAACCCCCCCGCGTACTGTCCTTGATATTCGTTTGCAACGTGCGTCGGATCCGACATCCGGTGCAGACGATTAACGTGCGTATATTGCCTCCATGCTATGGTATACCAATCAGTATATAATAGAAGTTACGCTTCACGCACTTCCGCCAATGCTGGATTTAGAGCAGTAAGTATTCGATGTGCCACGACTGATAAACGTAAGACTCCCTGTTTCGCGATACATCTTTCCATCCGAAGGAATACGGGTTTCTCTTCTTGTCGTGCAAACGTTCTCGACATGGAAAACGCGCGGTTTTTCGCTGATCCACTTCGGGCATTACCATACAATCACGATTTAAAAACTCGTGCTCGTCGTTTCCGGAATGAATAAAGAAATTCATCTATTTTCGCCACGAGAATATTTCTCACAATTTTTCTCTAGATTATGCTATTTTTAATTATTATTTATGATTGCATAAAATGTATAATTATTTTAAGATTCGTATTACTTATTTCGTGCATTGTATCTCTCGATCAATAACAAAGTTGTAAAAGATTCAAACATGCAATCTCGAATATCGAGTAACCCTTAAGAATCGGCAAATTATATAAACGAAACGAGAATCGTTAAGAATAAAGATCACGACCTCGTGTTAGGCCAAACAAAGAAGAGCAGACAAAATGTATAAATATTAGCGTGGATCATCTCACAGTGGGGCAAATTGAAAAGAATCCGCGGACTATATATAAAGAACTTTCGACAATCAACCCCTGAGGCATTCCCCATTCGTGGAAAGATAAAAGCGGTTAGGGGAGAAAGATCAGAGGGACGGTACAGTGAATGGTAGAGAGAAAAAAAAAAAAAAAAAAAAAAAAAAAGGACAATCTATCGTCGTCACAAGCACTACCTATGTTTTATAACCGATCCAGGGTCCACACCCTTCGCATTCGGTAATGCAACGCGTGCTGCAACAAACCCTTCACACGGACCCCGTTCTCTGTCCCGTGAAATCGCCTCGAACCCCTTCTGGTGAATCTAAACCACCGTGAACTGCCTTTCATGAAATTGATCCCAATCTGCCCCTCGCCCCTCGAAGTGTCGCTGGAAGGTGTACTTTGTTAAATCGAATCTCACCGTTGAAAAAACGAGGGTGGTGTCTATCGGATGTTCATGCGGATGTGAACAATTAAAAGGGCACGATCTTCTTTTCTCCGTAAGACGAGAATGGTTGGATATACAACCTTCGTTTTAAATCTGGATGGAAATGGAACGAATATCGGCGGCTAGTTGTCGTAATTCATGTGGGCAGAGAGACCTTGTCATCCTCATATGTATAGTTATTAGGCACGGGCGTGAACATGTGCGTTTCATGTGTTAGAGGATCCTCTGCTTGGATATTTTCAGCAGACGCACGCTTAAAATACGTTGCCCGTATGCCAGCATGATTTTTCAGAAATGAAATTCTATCGTACACTCTGAGGCAAGGTTAATATCGATTCGCGTCATTTCGTGAATTTATTATTTATATTATATCATATAAAATATATCTTTTGTCCTATAGTTAAATATTTCAACGAGCATAGGTTGATCGTGCTTAACGATAAGTATTTTAATAATTTTGGCCCCGTTCCGGTTACACGATTCGATCCATTAATCCATCAAGTACTGTATATAGGCCATCAAAGTATTTTCAGTTTCGACACGCTTGTAATCAAACGTGTAGAGAAATATCTGATAAAGAACAAAAGCACGAAGCGTCGCAAAATCTTGTATCCCCGGCGCGGAACTACGCTCCTGGTAAAATCGATATCTCCGACATTTTCCGGCAGCGTAGCACGAATTCGTCTCAATGGGAACAAACATCGTCCAAATGGAAGATCTTATCGTTCAGATGAGTTTAGTTCAAGATTTAGTTCCGATTTAATCGGGGCCGCTATTCTTATCGGGCGAACTCGATGGAATCGTGTTTCCTTCTCTCGTTATTCCGTTCGAACACATTCTAATAAAGGCAAATTCGTATACAGTTGCGTGCACCGAGATGTTGTCGCTCGTTCCAGTGCTGGTCCAATTAAAAGGCGATTTCTTTGTTAATTACAGTATCGAGCCCATCATGCGATTAAGCCGTCGAGAAAAATGGTAATTGTCCGCTTTCACGAAGGGAAAATGATTTTCCTGCATTCATAAGGAGCGAAACTCGCCCGGTTTCTATAACTGATTTCTTCTTCTTCGTTGAAAACGAACTGGACACGTGAAGAGAGAAAATATCCACAGTGGCTGGCTCGTCGTGGTCCGAGAGGCCAGATATATACCGTGCTCGGTTTACTCGACAAACATTTGTCTTTTCCATCGTATAAACGAACTCTAAAGATGCGCAACATATTCGGTTTAATACATGTGATGTGACCAAACATCATAATTATACGTAACGTTACATAATATGCCGCATTTTCTCAATACTTTCTTAGAACGTTAAGAAAACACGAGGAATTCATGTTAAACTAACATAAATCATACTCAGCTTGTGGCCTTGCGTTCAGATATATTCGAGATATAAACTTGAAGATTATGTTGGAATCTATTTGGAAAATTAGAGAAAGTTATAAAAGCGATTTATTTATAGGTCGTATTAAATAGGAAAATGTTGATAAATATTAAATCAAACATAATATTTTCAGAAATTAACGTCTGAATGTTTACTATCATTCAAAGTTTTGAACGTAAGCACAAAAAATTGCAATAATACATCAAATGATATAATATACTCAGTACAATACGAATCATCTTTGCACCTGTATGAAATGAATGAAAAAGAGACAGGAAAAGAGTCAATACCGATCCGACAAACTGTTCCAATTTCCATCCGCGATTAACTGCCGCGAAAACGACTGTGGCTCGCACCTGGCTTCCCAGTGTCTATTTACGTTGTGAGAATAATACTGGTAATCTGCATTTCGGTTGACCGACTTCCATTCGACTAATTTTGCCATCAAGTTCTCGGTGAAACAAACAGACGACAATAAGTGTACTCATGTTCAACCACTTGTATATACTGAAAATACAAATGAAATTTTTAGAAGATACAAATACTTAAATCACATGGTAAAATTCTTAATCAACGTTGATATAATTGTTTTATATTTTATAATTTTTTTATAATATTAATTATAATATTAAAATATTATAATTAAAAATTAATAACATAAAAATTTTATAATTTAATATTTTTTATATTATATTTATTTCTTGCTAATCAATCAATATCTTCCTTTATTCTTAATAATTGTTTAATAATTTTATTAATTTTTCATTTCTCTTTTACAAAAACTTTATCGTAACAAGTTTTTTCAAATTTATCCCTCGGAAAAACTATGTTAGAAAAACGGAAGATCCGATAGAATTGTATACATATAATCTATTGTATACATATGTAATTGTAATTGTATACATATAATATATTCGTATTCGTACATAAATCATTGAATCGAAATATTTTTGATATTTCCTCGAAAAAATCCATTCCACTTTTTCCAAGTAATCTATATCTTCTAACCGGGATAAAAGGCACTGGTAAAAATGCCAGTCAACACCCGCAGTTTATTTTTGCTCGCGGAAACCATTCTGGTCTCGCGAACAGCTCGCAGAGACATTTAACATGAAACGGAGGATCCGTGATTCTCTTGTGTATATATATATATATATATATATATACACATGCTTTTCGTTTGGCCGACGAGAGAGCGTACACTCGCTCGTAAAATCAAGCCCTATGTTTTTCCGACTTCAGGTTGTACGTAGTGTCGACGAACTATTGATTCGCCGGCGCAGCCCGTTTATACATCTCTGTCTCTCTAGCTTTTATAAACGTACCAGTGCCGTACGATTTTTCCAACTATGTACAAATCATCATCGAGAACCATCGTATTAATGTAAGTCTTCTATGTTCCTATTGATTTCATCATGTTCAAAAGAACAATCAGTCAATCTATCTGAAATAGTTTCGTTAATAAACTTTTACCGAATCGAAACATGCGATATTATTTGATGTCGTTAGAAAATCATTCATTGAATTGCTTATTAGTCGAGAAATTCTCATGAATTATATAAAATGGTGTAATCAGTGAAATTATTTGTAAAAAAGAACTTATTTACTTATGAATGGAAAGGGTATCGGTATTTATAACAAATGATTGTATACCGGGATATATTTTCTCGTTCCCATGCTTCGATTTTATGTTGAAAGTAATAATTAATATATATATAGAAAGAATACGTTTTAGCAAAATTATAATTAATTAAAAGATAATCTGTGTTATTTATATTTAAATATCCGTAATAATTAATAGTAATAAATAATTGAAAATTACTAATTATTGAAATATTAATTTTTAAAAAATAAATCTAGCTTCGATTACACAGTAAGGTATAAATATTTAATTTTTATTTATTTGCTAAAACACAATTTACGAAATAGAATAATTGATCGATGACAATATTATTAGAGAAATTTAATAAATTAAATTACAAATTCTTAATAATTTAATAATCATAAAATAGCAAAAATTATATTATTTATCATCTATGATTCTTGTCACTTCATGTCACTTCACAAACATGATAATTAGAAGAATAATGAATATAACCTATAAAAGAGAAAGAAAAAGAAAAAGAAATATTGCGAATACAAAGACATCCACTTTTATTGTTTCCAGATTAAATAGACGCATTGCATTATGCACAAACTTAACGTATATATACATTTATGTTTTTGTCGACATACAAGTTGGCTCCTTTTGCGAGATAGACCGGTGCCGAGCGCCAAGACGCTTGGATCAATAAGGCAGCAACCTTGCCATCGACGCGATAGTGCGACAAAACTTTCGGTTTTAATAGTGACGCAGAGATGCTTATATTCAAGAATTTATTATCTATTATAATATTTTGCACTTCTAAATATTATCCTATTTATTTTATATACTTTCGAGACCACACAATCATTTAATAATGCTTTTATTATTTAATTTTATAAAATGAAAAAATAAAATAGCGATTTATTAATATCAGAAATGAGAATAACCAAAATTATAAAATTTTTTTAAGATTTTATTATTATGTTATATTAAATAATAATTTTGCATTTATTTTGCATTTATTATCAAATTATTTATTTCTTTTTTTATATTGTTCTCTGTTAATTATAAATGGTTTGTTAAACTCGCTTTCGCTATCGATCGCAAGTTCAGTAACCTCATACATGGCGTATTCAAGTTAAAATTATAAATAATTAGAATTGTAAAGAAATTTGAATGGTTTTTGAGATTGAAACGGCATAAATGACATTTCTTTAAGAAAAAGTTGGGAAAATGAAAGAAAATATGCATATTATACACATAAATATTATAAATTAATTGTTACAAATAAAAACAGATTGATATAACATTTTAGATGAGAATTATTCTAGTGAAATCACGTCAACAATGTTGGATATAAGGATATTAATTTTATTATTATTATTTCAGAGATAATATTGATTTAAATTGCACACGATTCATGGATACTTATCATGGATATTTATAGATTGTTTTATAATTATATATTATATATTATATTTTATTTATTTTTTCGCGAACTAATTATTATTATTATTTAATTAATAGCCAATTAGTTCTATTTTTGATATTATACACAAAAAAATTTTTTTTATATAAATAAAGTATTATATCAAAGTAAGAATATTTTCGAATAATATGTTATTTTTATTTTTAAATATTATTATTTTGTCCGTTATAAAACATGTTATAAAACATACGACGCCAATGCTTTAATTAAAATTTAAATAGAAATTATTTTATCAAGATATATATAATAATTATATATATATATATATATATATATATGTATATAATTTATATAATTTTAATAAAATGATTCTAAAAATGTATAGGATTTTAGAATTCTTTGAATGTCAGAATCACACGTGATGCAAGTACAATTTAATACATAACACTAGATAAGCCGGTATTTGCTTCAATCATACTTACAAATAGAATATTTTTACGCAGTTTTTTTACGTAATAATATTATAATTTAAATACAAAGGAATGAACTTCATAAATCGATAGAAATATACATAATAGAAATAAAAAAAAGAATAAATGAACAACTAACTGACCTGCAGGTGAATAGGCACTTTCTTCACCGGCGTGCTCATTTTTGATTAAAGAAAGGATCACGTTGATTGAAAAGTGAAGTACACGATATTACTGATTACGCAGTATATTCTATATTAAGAGTTGCGTATATACACTATTTTTACTTGTGAAAAACGCCTCACTTGCGCAAAAATTTTCTTGAAGTGAAAATCAAAAAGAACAAGATCGAATCGAATTGAACAATCGAATACGACTGATGCTGAGTGCGCGTCGCAGGATGATAGTAAATTTTCCTCCCCACTTCGTTTGTTCGGTAAAGGTGGGGACCATCCCCACTATACACGATTGATCACATATCTATACATAATTTCATAAGATATATATTTTATACTTATATATCTTTTTATATTGATATTTTATATTTTATTAAATTACATAATATAATATTGAATTAATTCTAAATTATTCTTATCTTTTATCTTATTAATAAATAAATGCTAAAACATTTAATAATAATTTTATAGCAAATTAATTATTTGATGATATTTAAGATTATTAACTATAAAGTTCAAAGTTTAAATGATACATTTTAAAAAATATAAACTATATTTTAGTTAACAGACAAAATATTTGTAACGATTGAATTCATTCCCGCTTAAATAAAACGCGGTATTTCCGTTTAAATATGGCTATTCGTTTACACATGAATCACGATTTATCCGAAGAAAAACAAAATGTATTGCATTTAATGCCATGTAAAATTTATGGTGATGAATTTGCAAATGTTTCCTCTTATTTTACACCTTACATTCATAAAATGGATGACGAGCGTAAGTTCATTAAATTTGAATCTAGAATCAATAAATATATATATTTATGTATATATTTTTCAGAGAAAATATTACTTTAATTATATTAAAATAAAATATTTATGTAAGATTATATAAGATAAAATATAAGATATAAAGATAATTAAAATAAAGATCTTTCTACATAGATTATAATTCTTCATTTCGTGGATATCCACTTCAAGGGAAAAAAATAACAATACCTTTTGGATATAAAGGTATTATATTTTTTGAACGCAAAAAAACAGACATAGAAAATATAGAACGTAATTTATATTTAACGGGAACATTTTCACATTTTACTTATTGGAATTATGATAAATTACCATCTAAAAATGATGCTTTAAGAGCTGCAATAGATTGGATTGATATCGCTGAAGCAGTAAGTTATTTTATGTAAAAAATAAAAGTTTTTTTTATAATTGTAAAATATAATGAATATTTAATTAAAATATATTTCTTTCTTAGCTACATTCTACAGAATCATAACTGAAAACAAATGTTAACATAATATAAAAAATTCTTATATGTTTAATGAATTGTAAAAATTATTCTATTTTAATGTATAGATAAAAATAAATATTTTATATATTTTGTATATGTTGTAGTTTATTAACCATATTTTATATGAGTGAGCATATATTTTTGTCATACGTAACAGATATTTTAGTATCCCTTATTAATAGATAAATATCGCAAATGGTTTAGTTTAAGTAGGAAAGCTGTTTCAGAAATGTGCAGTCTTTTATAAGATAAATAGTAAATTTATAATTTATTTCATTATCTTTATAAATATATAAAAATTGCAATGAAGATGAAAGCATTTGCTATTTTTTGTTAACACTAAAGATTTTTTTTTTATTACATATATATATACTACTTAGTATAATATATCATAGTATTTTTAATACTGTTCATAATGACATCAAAGAAATAGATTATGATTTATAACATAATAATCAATATAATATAATTCTTTGTTAAAGTTAATATGACATTCATATATAGTTGTTTTTTTATGATCAATTCGTATAAAATTTATATAAAAGGTTTTTGCAAATCATTTAATATATAATATATATTGGCAGTTTTAAAATAAATATTTGCAAGAAATACATGCATAATTCCTACAAGGGATTTTTTATACATGCATATATATATATATATATATATATATATATATAACAATGGCAGTTACACATAAAATTTTTTTAAAATAAACAATAATTAATATTTAAAAATTAGAAATATTCAAAATATCAAATATTTATATCAAAAGATTTTAAATAAAGTTTTGTAATAAAATATATATTATAAAATTATTTTTAGAATAATAAAATTGTAAACGAAAATTATTACTATAGAAATACAATTTTTTTATATAATAAAATTATCTGATTCTTATTTACTTTGGTATACAAGTAATAAATCATTATAAAATGTGTTTTTACTATTAAGAATCATTTGATTAACCTACACAATCTATTTACAATCATATTTCTAATACCCAGCTAATCTAAAAATAGGTCCATCATATATCACTTCACTTCATTTTAGCAAAAGCACCCTAATATTTATTTATAAAATTAAAAAGTAAATAATATCTTTTTTTTTCTATAAAAAAAATTGATTATATTATTTTATCTAAAATTTTATGAAAAACTATTTAAGAAAGAAAAAATATTCTTATATCTACTATTATACTGTATCTTAGCCTCTTCTACAATTATTAAAACTAGATATACATAATAAATAATTTGTAATTCTTTCTACTATTGCACGGTTTTCATTTTGTACCCTGATTTTTAAGTATTATTTTTTAACATATTTAAAATTAAATATATTAAAAATTTAAAATAATAAAGAATATTTAATAATAAATATAAAAACTTATTTTAGATATTTTTAAATTAAAAAGTATATCTTAAACATCTGTTTCCTTCAATTCAATATTAAAAAAAAAGAATAAATCAAACTACTTTTATTATTATTGTATAATAAATGCTAACAAAAAAGTATTCATTATATTAAATTGTATTAAATGTGACTATATTAAATATTTTTTTAAATCTGTGCGTTTTAGAGATTATGTAAAAATTTCAATGTTCATATATAATATTGATTATGAAAATGTGCCTAATTCATTTGCTTGTTCTTGATGATATTTATTCTGATCTTGTTGTTGTTTAATAAATGCACTCAATCTGTTAAGTAAAAATTGTTTATCATGGCCTTCTAATACTAATTGATTTTTTAAAACTGTTACCATATGTTTGTTTGCTATCGATACAGCATAATAATAATATAAAAGTAAAGTAAGAATAACAAAAGCTGGTACACCAAATCCAGCAGTACTAAGAAAATATAAGATAGATTGAAGCCAATCAGGAAATTCTGCAAATGTCACAATTAATAATGACCATACAGACCTAAAACCTCTAAATGGTCCACAAGATTTTGATGGTAGAATTTCTGCAATAGAATAACCAACTGGTATTGTAGATAAAATAAAAGAAATTAATAAAATTAACATAAAAAATGCATTTAATTTACTTGCTCTATAAACTTTACTTGATGGAATACTGTTTACCAAACATGCAAACTTTTTTATATAAAATAACAAAAAAGTACCAATTATTGCAACTAATGGTAATAAAGGTGCAAAAAAGAAACCGAGCCAACAAACAGTTTGTAAATAAACAACATCTAACACATGCTTAGATAAATCAAATTCTTGTTCTCCGAAAAAACGTAATATTTTGTTCTCTGTATGTTTAGCTATTAGTGATCTAGGAAAATTAACAAAAAATGTCATGAAAAACTGAAGAGAAAGATCAGTGATATAGAGTTTGAAAAATTGTTGTCCTACAAATGTTTCCCAACATAATGGCCGCTTATTAGCAGTATTAGTACACTCATTATCCATTACTTCCGTTACAATTAATCTATAAAATGATGTGAGTAAAACAATCAAAGAAGAAAGTCGTAAAAAAACAGTTCGGAGAAGAGTTATGCTTATAACAAATGAAGGACTATAATTTTCTAAAGAAACTAAATATCGAAATAAAAACGGTATTGCAAGATTTAAAACAACAATACATATATATGGAAGAAACTCGAAAAATAAGTGAGCAATTCTATTTAAAGATAAATACTGCAAGTCATATGTTTGATTGATTTGTGTTGAAATTTGATCAAAAGAAAATTCAAATATATAGTAAATAAACATACCACATCCACATAATACTGTTAAAACTATTAAATTAATAAATAAACGCATAAAAAATAATTTTGTTGTTTCTTCTCTTGTTCGATTTTGTCTTTCTTCTTCTAATCTTTCAGCTTCTAAAAATGCTTTCATTTCATTATATAATGCTTTATGTTTTACTACTGCAGATTTTTCATTATGTATACAATAATCCCAACCACCAAAAACTAAATTACAATATTGATAAAATTGGCCTTCATTTTCAATTACCCTCTGTTTGAAACTTTTAGCAGCTGATTTAACAATAGCTATTAAACTAATAATAAATATACCAATAGTGGCAGAAATATAAGATAATGGTAAATTAAAAAATATACCAGAAGTATCATAAGTTATATGACTATATACACCATAAAATAATAAAGTGTATTCTAAGATACCAATGTCTGTTATGCTATTACTCTCTTGAGTTATATTTTGATATAATTCTGAACAGCAAGATATACTATTACTATTGTTAGAATTTATGCACAATTCTTCTTCTGGTATATCCAATAATATTACAGGTAATACAATAAATGAAAACATAATTGTAAATAAAAGTACATTAAGATACATTAACCACTTGATAAATAAAAAGTATGCAACTATTCCCATGCCAAAATTTCCACCAATTGTTTTAAGACTATCACTCCATAATTCCATTTTTGAATATGTTTCCTTCATTCTAATACGAAATTGTTGCCAAGCTTTTCTTCGTTGCCATTTTAATTGTTCGAAACCTTGTAATCTTAATTTTGTAGCACTCTGAAATATATATACAAATATATAATTTTTAATAAATTGTTTTTTGTTTATTAATATTATCATAAATATACTTGTAATTGATTTTTCAATTGTATTTTTTGTGCCATGCATACAGGCATAGCTTTAATTTGCATAATTTCTTCCCAAGTACGTTCTTCATTAGATAAATTTTCAGATAAGTCTGGTAACATAGAAACTGCTGCATCATGAATATTTGTTGACATACGTCTTGATGTTGTTGTACCACGAGATCTTGTACTAGTACGTCTTCTTAATGTTGTTTTTGTATCATTACGTATTCGTTTGGCAGTTGCTATGTAAAATATAAAATATACAATACTTTCTATTATATATACATTTTATTATTATTACTTACCAACACGAGACTTTTTACTTGGAAGTAAAGTCGCAATATGAGAAGGATCTCTTTGTAATGCTTGTTGTAAATCTGCTTCAATAGCTGCAGGATAACTTTCTTGATAAAATTCAGCACCAGCCTCTTCCCAACCTTGTCCTCTATCACAAGCACGTTTTTTTCGTTCTCCTCCTGACATTTTCTTTTTATAAATAATTATAATATATATATGTAGAATTTCCTTCAAGACCTTAGAAAAAAAAATAAAATAAAAATTATTTATATATTCTCTATTAGAATACTTTACATTTCTTAATTTATTATAAAAATATTTACAAATAATTTTTATTATTTTTATATACTTAGTTATTAATTATAATATATTTTTATAATATATTTTATAAATATTTTTATAAATATATTTTTATAAAATAATATATTTTTTAAATAAATAAACTATAATTTTTAAACAAACTATAATGAAATACAATGTTAATAATAAAGTATATGTACGTTCGATTATAAATACCTAATTATCATAAATATCTAAGATGAATCAATCAATCAAGTATTTTGTAAATGTGTCATTGCTTAATAGTAGATATCATTTTTTTATGCTGGTAGATAACAATATTCATGGAAAAAATAACACTTTTAATAGACAAAACACTGAACTTTATAACTTATCATTATATGACACATACATAGAGTGTGGTTGTAAATTGTGACGTAAGCTGCGCGAGAGATATTTAAATATTATATTAAATCAAACCAAAATTAAATTTAATATTCCAATATAATAAAATTTCTGATTTTTCCAAATGAATAAAATAAAATAAATATAATGATTTAATTGAAAAACGTACATCAACATTTTGTTTCCTCATATATTTAAACTCTTGTATTTATAAGTGATTTATGAAACAATCATGAACTATAAGGAATATAGAAGGTATTGCTCAAATCGCGGATAAAAAATTATAATTAAATAAATTTAAATTATCTTTTTTTTTATATATTTTCATATGTATAATAAAAATATTTAATTCTTTTTAATTGCAGACTAATTAATTGATAAACTTAAAAAAATCAAATTAAACTCAGTAATTATAATATATATGTATATATTTGGTAAATATTATACAATTAAATAATTTAAACAATAAATTTTGTTTTCTTACATATTACATTGTATAAATTAATTTCAACATATTCATTATTTCTTCATTATACAAAAGAATGCATATTTACAAAATTCAAACGAATACATAGCCAAAATTAATATTCAGAACACAAGAAAGTCTTATAAAACAGGATACAATGATTACTTTAATTCATATAAGAGTAAATTATTTATGTTTCTATGAATAATATCAATGTTTCTTATTCATTTTTAGTTTAGAATTAATATTTGCATTTTATAACTTATATAATGTCTAAAAACAATGTTAGATATATAAATTTTAAGCATTTAGTTTAGTTTGTTATATAGAAATTCATTGATATTAATTATTATGCTCTGTGATGCAAATATCTTTTACTATTAATATTACATTCATAATAAATACATTACATAAAATATTTTAATATTGTCGTCCTCCTTGACTTCCACCACGATTATATCCGCCACGTTGATAATTATCTATTCCTTGATTCCATCCTCCCTGAACTCTACCTCCTCTTCCTCGACCACTGGAACCTCCTCTTTGATATTGTTGTCCACTTTTATACTCGGATTGAGATGTAAATCCTATATTACCTGGATTACAATATCGATGACCATATCCTAAATATTAAAATACTTTATTTTAAGAAACAAACAACTTTTTTAATCAAACTCATTTATAACGTTTAAAATTTTGCAATTTTCATATCTTTATTATTGATTTATTAGATCCATTACCTCCATCTCTATTATCTCCACTATAACTATTATTTCCACCAGTTCCAAATCCACTTCCATATCCTCCTTGACCTCCTCCATATCCTCCTCCTTGTCCTGCTCCATATCCTCCTCCTTGTCCTACTCCATATCCTCCTCCTTGTCCTGTTCCATATCCTCCTCCTTGTCCTCCTCCATATCCTCCTCCATATCCTCCTCCTTGCCCTCCATACCCTCCTCCATAACCACCTCCTTGTTTTCCTCCTTGTCCACCATATCCACCACTATTAAGAGCAAAATTTGAACTTTGATGTCCACTATCTCCATGACCACTATATGAATTTCTATTATCATTGATATAAGTGGCATTAGAATTTTGAAAATTGCCTCTTCCACGACCACTGCCTCTATTACTTCCACTTCCTCGACCTCCACTAAAATAATATTTATAAAATGCATATATTTTCATCTTTTTGAATTAAATCATCTAAAATATTTCTTAATTTTTACTAACCTAGTTGAAGGTCCTGGTACCCTATCTTTTTGCCAAGGTGGCATTTCAGGTGGTGGTGGTTCTTGTTCATATGGTCTTCCACCTCTGTCTGGTACTTCTCCTATAATAACTTTATTAATTTCACTTTGAGTATTTTTTCTAACACTTGCATTGCTTGTTTTTTCCATTAATGCAATATCATCTCTTGCTGCTAATAAATCAGCAATTGTAATGTCTGGTTCTGCATTTAAAAATTTTCTAGTTTCTTCATAACGTCTATTTAATTCAGCCTCTTGAGCTTTAATTCTATCTGACCACTATTTTAAAAATAAAAAATATTTTTAAATTTTATAAAAACAATTTTATTTTAAAATTTATCATATGTACTTACTAGGAAAGATTGTACTGTTACATCAAGTCTTTTGAGCAACATATCACGGCGCACTCTGTACTCATCATGTAATTCTTGTTGTATATGTTGAAGGTCTTTCCAATCTGCTTCTGAGAATTCATGAGTAATTAATGGTTGTCCTACAAGTTCAGAAGGAGCTATTTTTAATACTTCAGTCAATTTATTCTCCAGTCTTGTAAAAAGCTTTTCTGAAGTAATATCATTTGGTGGTTTTTCAAAATTTAAAGCTATTAACATATCTTTAAGATCCTTAGCTGTATCACTCTCTTCCTATAAAAAATATATTCAAACTTATTTCGATAAAATTATGATATAGTTTAAATATTTTGATCCTACCTTAATGATGAAAACTTACAACAACAACAGCAGTGGAATTTAAATTTTTATGTTTTTTAAATTCTAATAATCTACAAGTTTTTAATTCTGCTCCCAAAAAATCTAATAAGATATATCTATCTTGTTCAGTTGTTAATCTTGTATTAACATTACCAGTCATTAATCTCTCATTCATACATCCTAATTCCTTAAGAAAACAGCTTAATTCTAATAAGAAAGAACTAGAATCATCTGGTGACACTATTGCATGAATAGTTTCATCCATATCATTTAGTAGTGCAATCTCATCTGCTAACCATGCTACAAGTTTTGTAAATTCTGGTGATTTTGGACCTTGTTTTAAGGCTTCTTTAAATTTATTAGGTTCTATCAGTTGACCATTATACCTATATAATAAAAAATTATATTAAATGATAAAGTTCAAAAATAAATAAAAATGTCAAATATATTGATGATGAAATATATTGAAATATATTGATGATTTTTTTCATTTTATTAAAATTACATAAAAACATGTAAAAGGAAATTTCTTTTAAATATTATATATGTTTAAATTTTAACCTAATAGCTATCATGATTTATATTTTGGAATCATACAAAAAAATAGAAAGAAATATTATATAAATTTCATAACATTAAACATAATCCCGAAATGAAAATTTTTTTTAATATTCCTTATAAAAAACAATTTATATTCACATACAAAAAAAAAGCAATATTATATTCAATATTATAACCTCCAATTACTTACCCAAGTTTTTCTATTCTCTCCAATAATTTAAGTTCCATTTTGACAAAATCTTTAATGAAATAAAATAAATAATTGTTATCAAAATATAAAATATTTTAATAAAATAAAAATAATCCGTACTTACAATAAAAATATCAACAAATTACACACAATACTTTCCTTTGCCGTATACGCTGTCAATGTCACCAAATTTTTTAATTTAGGGTATATAAGAAAGAATAAATAGATGTCGTATAAGTAATAACATACATAATGTATACTTTGTTTTTGCTTATTTGGTTTATGATAATTAAAATTACGGTAATTTGTCTACTTTTGTCAATTCAAATTATTTGCAAAAACCGAAATATTATCTTTGAACTGTTAGAAATGTCAAAAATATTTTAATTGAAAAATATTTTTTAAAGTAATTATATATATTATAACTATATTTTATAAATAATTTTAGATAATAAAATATATATATTTAATTTTATAAAATAATTAAATTATAAATTACATATATAGAGAGAAAGAGAAAGAGAGAGAGAAAGAAGAGAGAAGAGAGAAGAGAGAAGAGAGAAAGATTTCGACAATATTATAAAAATACAAAATTTATATTTTTATTTCAAAATAAAATATAATCTTAAAATAAAAAAAATTTCAATATATTAAAAAAAATAAAATAGTGTAATAAGAAAAATATAATTTAATACAATTTTATTTTGTAATAAAAAAAATGTTTTGAAATTATATCTAGAATAAGTAACTGTAAAATACAAAATAAAATATTTTAATAAATTTTATAAATTTGATATTGCCATAAATTTTTTACACATTTCATTAAAACGAAATAATTGTATAATACACTCAGAAATTTATTCATATATGTATTTTTACAAGTCATGTACAATAGTTCTAATTAATGATTATTTTGTATATATTCAAAAAGTTTTCATACGTGGAATAATTTAATTATTTTTAAATTTGCATTCTTTCTACACGGTTATTCTTCTTGTACACATTAAAATGCAGTCTTGTATTTTGGAGATGGAATATTTGATTAAAAATCCTAAAGCATATAATTATTCTTATTTCAGTCAATATTTATCTTTTTTAAATTATTTTATTTTTATTCAAATGCTGATTTTAAAAAAATAAATTAAATTTTGGATATTAACATTAAATAATCTATAGTTCATATTAGATTTTATAGATACATACCTTAGTTTTATAAAAATGTAAATTAAAATAAATTGGTAATATACAAGAATATAGAATATTTCATCTTAATTCCAAATTTCATTAACTTTTATTCCAATCATTATTAACATTTTATTATATTTATAATTTATTATTTTTTAATTTATTATCTTTACATTATACATACGAATTGCAAATACTATTAAAAGATCTACAAAGGGGAATGATAAATAAAGTTACACTATAATTATAAAAGTAAAAATATGTAGATTTTTAGTATATTATGTAAAGTATACTTACAAAGTTAATTTTTAGGTATGCATAATGAACATTATACATACAATTAATATATACAAATATTTTAATTTGTTAACAACTCCAAAATAATCATGGCAAATATTGTTCTTAACTTTAATTTAGGAACAATCATTGCCATGTATGTAATAATTTATTAATACTGGCATATTTTTAAATCTTAATAACTTTCATTCATATTGCCAGTAACTTTACATTTATACTTGCAATATTTTACATTATTATTATTTATACATAATTAATAATTATCATGACAATATGACAATGTTTCATTTTAATAAACACTATTGAATTTTACACCTGTATTTAAGTACATGGATATAATAAAAAAAAATTATAAAATCATATTAAACAATTATTAAACAAACTAATGAATTTATTTATAAATTTTGATCAAAAAATACAATTAAATATTTTAATATCTCTGACATAAAATATTAATTCAATTGTTAAGAACAAAAAACAATATATTCATATAAACTTTATATTCATTTAAACTCATATATTCATTTAAACTTTCATAATTATAGTTTTAAAAATCAAAAATTTTCATTTTTCATATTATGTATTTTTTCAATATATTTTTTAATAAAAATCTTTATATCGCATTTTGATTTGTTTGTAAATTTCATATAAATTTAGTAATGTAAAAAAGTATATATATATATATATCTAATAATGCACATCAGAATCAAACTTACATAATTCTATTTGACTGGCAAATTGTACATTCAACTTTTATGTATAGATATAAATATTACTCTAGTAATATACATTTAAATTTATTTCCAATGGTGCTTTGGCAAATATATTTTCATAGCACCATAAAAAGTGCAATTTCATTGTGAAGCATTTAATTTTAGCTAATCTTTGTACTACTTCAATCTATTTATACTTCAACTATGAAATGCAAATATAATTCTTGTGTAAAATTTTAATAATAATTTCAAATAAACGAAATTTTGCTAATTATAATAAATAAAAAATTTTTGTTTGCAATTTTTTAATATTATTCTAAATATTCAGTACTACAAAAGACAGTAGCATAATTCAGTCGTTTATCAAAATGAAATTAATAAAATTTTGTATTACTTTTTGACTGATAAATCAGATGATAATAAACTTTTATTCTTACAATTTGTACATCAATCTAGTGATCAATAAAGTGAAATTTTGAATCTCATACAAGTAATTAGTTATCTACATTTCCTTCATAGAAGGATTCACATTTTTCTAACAAACGTAGAACTGGATTTATGTTATAAGGAAACAAAGCTTTTGAGACTAATCTATCAATTGCTAAACGAAGTCTTATCAATATTGTCATGGTATCATCTAGTTCTCTTCCACAACAAGAAACAAATTCTGTCCAATTTCTTTTAACATATTTTAAAAATCGCAATAAGTATAATAAGAAACAAGTCTCATTACTAACAAGTAAATCTAATAAGACATCTGGATCATGTGATACAGCATGTATAAATTGTATAAAAGTTAAAGTTGGACTAAGCATATGACCAAGATCATTTTGTGGAGGTCCTCTATAAAATAAACCAACAGCTACATCTAAACAACATACCATGCCTTCAATCAAAAAATCATCTTGATCATGAAACATTTGTACAACCCACTGTGATAAAGGCATTTCAGGATGAAATGGCATTAAAGTTTTAACGCACTGGTCAAGTTGTCGTAAAACTTCTCTAATACTTCTTTCAATAACTGCCATATCAGCATCAAGATCTTCTGCTTCAGAACCCAAAGAAGAGTCACTAGAATCGCTACGTGTCTCTTTAACAGTCACAGCAACACTTTTTAAAACTAAAAGTATTATCTTTTGTAGAAGGGGACGATCACCTTCACCAGAACCTCCTCCAAATCTTCCAGAACCATATCTATATGGTAAGGCATCCAATAATCTCCAATCTTTAACAGCTCTTACAATCAAATGTGCAAGAGAACAAGGTTCATCTGGTAATACATCTTGTAATGCCAAAGTACTTCCATAACACAATACTTCATTAAATAATCCAAGAAGATGTCTCCAAATTACACCAGGAACATTGGCATTTAAAAGTACAACAAGGTTGTCTAATTGAGAATAAAAAAGTTTGGTATCAATAACAGATAAGTTGGCTTTAACAGAAATAATAGATTCCCATAAATCAAGAAATGTAATAACAGCTGATTCATGTTGAGGTGTATATGAACTTAAAATAGCATCAAATTTTGATACTAATATAGTCCATTTAGATTCTAATGCTTTGACACACATTGCTTTTACTGGTGTACTGTCAAAACTTTCTGCATCTGAAATTGATATTGTATTACAGTTTGATGGTGATACTATATTGTCTGTGTCTTCAAAAGGATGAATACTGCAGTCCTTGTGTTCCACAACTCTTTTTACAACATCCAATGTAAATAGCATTTGGCTTGGAGAATGAGTATTCACTAAAGATTGCGTTAATCTTTCTAACCATGCTGTGTCAATATTTTCTTTTGTTATAATAAAAAATGATGCAAGAACTCTGCTAGCCGCAAATGATATAAATTTATTTGTTGTACATGATAGGTCGATTATTTGATCTATAATGCTATGCTCGTTTCGCGCCAGCGCATCACAAACATCTACAACTCTTCTGCACATAACACCTCTAATGTTTTGTTTAATGGCTAAATCAAATAAAAGCTGTAAAGCACTTATAAATTCCAAAGTTTGATCAGGTTCCCATTCTGATAATAATGAAGATCTGAAAGTACCATCTGCAGCTTCCACTGTTGCACTAGTAAATGGTTTACGCAAACTACTTTCTGGTATATTACATAAGCATTGTGCCAATAGACTATTTTGTAATTGCTCAATATCTGATAATGTATCTTTTTCAATTTCATTGTTTTCAATACGTTGTTTTTTCTTTGCTGGCTCCTCCATTGTGTTATTAGGAGGACAATAATAAAAATGGAGCCATTTAGAAATATAGCCAACATCAGCTTATTATATATACAAAAATCATAAATATATCAGTAAATACAATATACCTATATTGACAAAATAAAAGATAATAAAGTAAATTTATTTAACGTACCAACTATTCAAATTATATTTATTTTATTTTATTATATTCTATTCTTCTTAAAAATATGAAAAAAAATTTGTAAATACAAAATAAAACTGTTATTGAAAGATAGATAATTTAAATGTTGTTTATTAAAGAATTTTTTATGAATTGCTATAATAATATCAAAATAAAAAGAGAAAATAATATTAAAACTTACGGAAGTTATTGATTTCTATTTTCAGTATTCTTTTAAAGTTACACCGTATTCTACTATTTTAACAGTGTAAATATATTATTGTTTGTGCTCGAAGAATTTCTTTTGACTAGGAAGTGACAGAGCACTCGACAACTTTGCTCTGTTGCCACGTATACGTGCTACCGAGTAAAAATAAGAAATACGGATTTATATTGTTTAGTCGTAAATGCATTCCAATTAAACAGTTCATATCTCACGTCGAGTGGTAAAATGTTAACTCGATAATGCATAAGACACGAATTCTTCGTGTTTATTACGCATTTTTCGGATGGCATCATGCAGAGCTGCGTAACACAGTAGCTCCTCCTCGCACATTCCACAATGTACTGAGTACGAATTATTATAATTACTTGAATAATAGCTTCTAAATTATTGTTAAACCTTATTAAATATTCTTTAAATATCTTTTTAAAAATTTTTCTTAATAAAAGTAACCAAAATCAAAAAGTCGTATAATAAATATACGAGATGATCGGCAACTCTGCATCGATTGCAGCGCTCAAAAATTTATATACATTCTTACTTATCATATAATTTCTATAATTTTAATAATTTATATAATGTAAAATTATAAATAAAAAATATTATATTTCATAATTATATCAATAAAAAAATTATGTAATTCTAATAAAAATCAAAAAGATTTTACTATAATATTATTAATATTCATTATTCTATCACGTATAGATGCTTAAATTCATTATTTTATGATTATATTTACATTAAAAGATTTAAGATTCTTTTATTATTAAATTAAAATAAAATGCATATTATTATCAAAAAATTTATTACAAAATATTAAAAAGTGTTCTTATATTAGAAAATAAAAGATTGCGTTCCAAAGATTTTGAAATTAAATTTTTAAATATGATTGGTCACAAATAATACCGATGTTATATCTTATAATATCAAATTTTTTATATTAAAAATAAAATTTTAAAAATTAAAAGATTTATATTTTTATTTTATTTTTTTAGATACAATTAGCTCATTAATTATTAACTTTATTTGTAAGAAATATTTATATTTAATTATAATTGTTTATAAAACTATTTAAAAAAGAAAAACAAATTATATAAATAATTTGATAATTTCGATATAATAAAATTGTTATTATTAATTCATTTTATATTCTTCGATAAAAAATTTTCAAATAGTAAATCTATCTATATTCTGAGTTATCATAGGTATTTTCAATGACGTAGGACTGCCATATTTTTTTCTATATGAGGCCTACTAGGGGGTCAACCAAATTGTTGGGGGTTTGGAGGTGGCCATGCAAGATGTTTTGTGATAAACGAATGGTGCGCATAATAAACAATTAAACCAATATTATAGCGTGACGCGTTGTTTCAGCAGATATGTTTGAATCATTTGAGCAAATAGTTCGAATCGACAAAGAAAAAGCCTTTCACTCAAAACATCTTTCTCACATGCGATAGGAATTTTACGTCACAAATTTGATCGGAATGAGAGTGTAGTGCCGCGACGAGGTTATACTAGAAATTGGGACAATGGGCTTAAATATTTATGTACGTTTCATTTTATAATTATTTCATTAAATAAGTACTGTATAGTTCTATTATACAGATACCGATTTCTTCTACAATACGAGTTGTCTTGGTGATTTTGTTGAACTCGTTAATTGCGAATGCGGTGCCCTACCCCGTTGCACTATTTTTGTCTACGTTTTATTTACACGTATTTCTCTTGTTGCGTATTTTCTTCGCCAAATATTTTGGCTATCTTTATAGCAGTTACGTAATTTCCGATGTGAGTAATTCCGACACCATGGCCGATGATGAATTAAATGAAACTCGATTGTTTTACACATAGTGGTGTATGGATATATATACCATGCTAAGTTAAAGGGAATTGATTTTTGACATTCTTTGCATAAGGATAAAAGCTCAAAGCGTACTAATCATGTACCGATAACATAGTCGGAAAATAATTGCTGTATGATTGTAAACAAAATTAATATTTAAACAGTGAAAGTGAATCTATTTAGATATGTCTAGTGGAAATTATCTTTTTAAGGTAAATGAATATATACTTATATTTATATTTTTAAATAATTTTTCTATATTTACAGATGTAAAAATATATTATAACATAAATTTTTTAAATATTTTAATATTTTATTTATAATATTATTTAATTTAAAAAATGATGTTTTAACTAAATATAATTATGTATAATCAGATATTAATTTCAATAAATATTTCTATTGTATATTTTATATTTATGTTTAAAATATTTGTCAAATTATTAATATTCATATGATTATATTTATAATATGAAAAAAACTTATTCAATTAAATAAAAAAGAAGAAAGATTTAATTAAATAACAAATATGTTATAATACTTGTTTTATGTATGTTATAATATGTATTATAACATATATATATAATATGTATTTATTAATTTCAATTAAAACAAAAAATATATAATATAATTATTAATTATACATTAAATGTTATATAAAAATTTAATATTTTAGGATAGACATCACATCATAATGTGGTGGTTTGAGATATTATTGAATCATATTATTAAAAATGACAGAAGTAGTGTCCAAAAATTTTGGTAAAGGACAACTTATGCGAAAAAGAGACATGTCAGATTCGCAGCATCAATATAATCAACCTCCTCCTGATATTATGCCAAAAGGACTTGCAATCAATGGTATATTTTCAAATATATAAAAAATGATTTTATAATATATATATTATAGATAAAAAAATATTGAGAGAATTAAATAAAATTGCTTTTATAGGCATAGGAGGAAGGTTACGCCAATTGGAATCTCTTTTTATTGGTGGTCCTGTTCAAGGAGAAGGAAGAATAGGACATACATTTTCTATTGAGACACTTATTGATATTTTACTTGTCTTATATGATGAATGTTGTAATTCTTCCTTAAGGCGTGAAAAGACTGTCTCAGATTTTATTGAATTTGGTACATTATATATACATAACATATTTTGAAAGAATAATAAATTTCTTGTTAATAAAATTTATGTTTTTATAGTAAAACCAGTGGCTACTTGCATAAAGAGTTTGCAATTGGCACGAGAAGATTTTGAAATAGTAAAAGTTATTGGTAGAGGTGCATTTGGTGAAGTATGTGTTGTGAGAATGCGTGGTTCAGATAAAGTATTTGCAATGAAAATTTTGAATAAATGGGAAATGTTAAAGCGTGCAGAAACTGCATACTTTAGAGAAGAGAGAGATGTATTGGTATATGGTGATCGTAGATGGATCACAAATCTTCATTATGCCTTTCAAGATGACAATAATTTGGTAATATTTATATAAACATTATTAATAAAAATTATTAATATTTATAAATTTAAAAATATCTTTTAAATAATCATATGCAGTACTTGGTCATGGATTATTACTGTGGTGGAGATTTGTTAACACTGTTGAGCAAATTTGAAGATCGCCTTCCTGAAGATATGGCACGTTTTTATATAGCTGAAATGGTTCTGGCTATTGGGTCCATACATGATTTACGTTATGTACACCGTGATATTAAACCTGATAATGTTTTATTAGATGCAAATGGTCATATTAGATTAGCAGATTTTGGATCTTGTTTACGATTATTTGAAGATGGAACTGCACAAAGTAATGTTGCTGTTGGTACACCAGATTATATTTCCCCAGAAATCTTAAGGGTAAAATTATATTTTTATATTATTTTTAAACATTATTTTTATAATTTCTATATTGTATAGTATTAATTAATGTTTTACCAATTCATAAATGTTAAAAAAAATGTATTAAAATTCTTATAGGCAATGGAAGATGGACAAGGACAATATGGACCTGAATGTGACTGGTGGTCTTTAGGAGTATGTATGTATGAAATGTTATATGGAGAAACACCTTTCTATGCAGAATCTCTAGTCGAAACTTATGGAAAAATTATGAACCATAAGGTTATTAAATAATTTAAACTATTTATAATGCAATAATATAATAATAATATTTATAGTAATGATCTTAATTATTATATGTATATATTAAATACTCTAATATATATTTTATTTAATTTCAGAATTGCTTTGATTTTCCAGCAGATGATATATATGAAGTTTCTGAAGAAGCTAAAGATTTAATGAGAAAATTAATATGTAGTTCGGAATTTAGATTAGGTCAAAATGGAATTGACGATTTTAAGGTATTAATATATTTAATACAAATATATATATTATAGTAATTAAGATATTTAATATAAATATATAATATTAATAAATTATTTAAAAATATAATATGATAATAATAAGTAAAAAATTACATTTCATAAAATACTTCTTACGTTTTTATAAAAATTCTTTAGTACTAATAATAAGACTCATAATTATATAAAAACAGAAACATCCATGGTTTGAAGGAGTAAATTGGGATACTCTTAGAGACAGTACTGCACCTTATATTCCTGAAGTTTCTTCACCAACTGATACATCAAATTTTGATGTTGATGATACAGATGTTCGTAGTTCTGATGCTGTTCCACCAGCAGCAAATTCTGCGTTTTCTGCATTACATTTACCATTCGTTGGTTTTACTTTTACTCAAGGAAGGCAAGTAAAATTTATTATTTTTTTATATTTATTATAAAAAAGAAGTATTTGATATAATTTTATATATTTATAAATTAACAGTTGCATATCAGATCTTGGTTGTTTATCTGCTATAACTCAGAAAGATAAACGTATGCAGATGCTAGAGGAAGAAAATGCACAACTAATACAAACACTTGATGATTTAAAAAAACAAATTAATATGAATCATTCTTCTCCTGGTATATCACCAGATTCTAATAATGCAACAAGAAAACTTCAGGATGAAATAAATACACTTACTAAACGCAACTGTGGTATATATATATATATATATATATTTTTTTTTTTAATATTATTATAAATATATGAATGATTAATATTGTTATTGTTTTATATTTATATTTTTAGAATTGGAATCACAATTAAAATCCATGGAAATTCCCCGTGAATTACGTAATTTAGATAACGGTGATATAACAAAATTACGAGAATTAGAAAAATTAGTACGTTCTCTTCGATTAGAAAAAGAAGAAGCTATTAAAGATAAATTAGATGCACAAGAAAAACTTAAACTTCAAGATAAAGAATTAAAAGATGCATTAACACAACGTAAATTAGCAATGGCTGAATATACTGAAGTTACAGATAAATTATCCGAATTAAGACAACAGAAACAAAAATTATCTAGACAAGTTAGAGATAAAGAAGAAGAATTAGAAGTTGTAATGCAAAAAGTTGATAGTTTGCGACATGATATTAGAAAAGCTGAAAAGTTACGAAGAGAATTAGAAAATCGAGTTGAAGAGGCTATGGCTGAAACAAGTAAAGAAAGAAAATTAAGAGAACGTAGTGAAGAATATTGTAAGCAAATGCAAGAAGAAACAGAAAAAATTAGACAAAGATCTATGGGAAATGATGCAGGTGCAAATCATGCATTAGCAACACAAGAGATTAATAGGTTAAAAGCAGAAGTTGAAAAACTTGAAGTTCAATACAATGAAAATTTAAATCAACAGCAAAGTAGGTTCAATCTTGAAATTCGTAGTCTTCAAGAACAATTACATGAAACTGAAACAAGAAGAGATTTGCTGGAAAGAGAAGTTCAATTAACGAAAGAAAAATTAGATACTGCAAGATTAGAAAATATTACTGATAGCGAGGAAACTATAAACGAATTAAATAGACGTCATGAAAGAGAAAAAATTATGCTAGTCGAAGAAAATAAAAAACTTATGTTAGAACTTAACACTCTTACTGATAGTGTTAACAGAATACAAGGTGAAAGGCGACAATTAGAAGAAGAATATGAAGAACTAAGAAATAAAAAGGAAGCCATTGCACAATGGGAAGCTCAGATTACTGAAATTATTCAATGGGTATCTGATGAAAAAGATGCTAGAGGATACTTGCAGGTTTGTCCTTTTTAGAAAGTGTATTTTTTTAATTACATGTATTGAAAATTGTTTAATTATATATTAAAAAAATTTTAGGCATTAGCTACGAAAATGACTGAAGAATTAGAATTTTTAAAACATTCTGGTGGTGTGGGTGGTGTAGGAAGTGGATCTACAATGGCGGATAAAAATTGGCGAAATCGTAGATCACAGAAACTTGATAAAATGGAACTTTTGAATTTACAAAGTTCTTTACAAAGCGAAATACAAGCTAAACAAGCAATATCTGAAGAGCTTACAAAAACGCGTTCAGATTTAATTGCTGCTCAAAAGTAATTATCTTTAAAATAAATTTTGATAATAAAAATTAATGTAATAGTAATAGCAAATTAATGTAATAAAATTTTTTGTCTAATTGTTATTAATATAATTTAATAATTCTATATCATTATTTATTTAGGGAATTAAGAGACTTTAGACAGCGATTCGATACACTCACACATGAAATAAAACGTAAAGAAATGCAAATAAAAGAATTACAAGCAAGGCTTGACACAGGCGATGGCTGTAAGTATATTTCATTTAATACTGTTACAAAAACAAATTTCTTAAAAATCTTATTGTTACGTTTTTATAAAAATTCTGTATCAACTATTATTATACAAACTGCTGCAATACATGCTATGTATGTAATTTGTAAATCTTTTAATCTTTCTTATACAGTGTTTAGACGATAATATATTTATTCATTGTTTTATTTTGCAAACTTATTGTTCTTGTTTATTCTAAGTTCTTCGTGGCACGAATTATATTTTAAATATAATTAAATGTTGATAATAAATAGGTGCAGAATTTTATTTATTTATTAGATAAATAGATATATATTTATATATTGAATATACAATACAATATGTGATTTAAAAATGTTTTTATATAAATGTGTTTTTTAGTAATTCAATTTGCATGCATATAGTAAAAATCAAATATAATCAAAAATTATTATAAAATATATAACAGGAATCATATATAGCATTCATACTTCTATCAACATAAAATTTTAAAATTTGCTTATTAACTCTTTTTTTCTAATAAAAATAAATATCAATTAACATAAATAATAAAAGTTTGTTGTGAAGATGCATGGATGAAATACATGATTCTTTATAGTCGCATATTTATGCATAAATTTATAATTATGTAGAATGTTTCTTATATTATAACTAAAATTACAAGCCATTATAAAGCTATAATTATGATTTAATAATTTTTTTCAATTTTAATAGAAAAATATAAAAATTTTAATATATAATTAAATATTATTTATTTTCCTACATAATTTGCATTAGTTTAATTAATGGCTTGATATTAAATTGTATGAGTCAGTGTGTGATTATCTTTTTCATTTTCTTAATATTTTTTATAAATGTTAGAAGTTTTGGTGTGTATTTCTAAATTTATATTTAAATGTACTTTAAAACATAATTATAAATATAAATATAATGCACACAGATATATAATTAAAAATATGAATTTTTTTTAACAATGTCATAAAAAATTGAATATACTTTCAAAATATGTTAAATATGATAAATATTATATACAAATATGAATTGAGTATGTATATTCTCTTTTTAAATTATTATTGATTTTTTTTGTTTTAATATTTTATTTTATATAAGATATTTTATATTGTATATGATATACTTAAGAATTTCTATATTTATAATTGATATAAATCTATTGCCAATACTTATTTTACCAATAATAGAGATCGTTACTATTTGGATAGCTATCCAGCATAGTAATTCGGTTCTCCGGTACGGTATGCGATTCTGATTTCTAGACTACAAAGTACCTCTGTTTATTGGCGTAACGAGCTGTGTCTGGGGCCTCTTGTTGCTCATCTTCAAACTGTATTTGTGACAGCTGTCCTATCCAGCAAAACGTCAAGAAAATCTCCAAACATCGTTAGCACCAAATCCCAACGCATCATCGTACATCAGCCATCGTCACCCCTACCAGTAATGCGTGCTCCCCGCGTCACGACATGTCGCTTATTAACTAGATTCGTTCCCGTCAACACATTCATCAGTCAGAATGCCGTCGACATCATATCGCCACCTGGTAAATGAAGTGGCAACAAAACGCGATTTTGATTGACTAGTCAACTGGGATGCTAATTACAAAACATAGTGCTATGTTTTTTTAATAGATAATATTATGTAATATTATATTTAATATATATTGAAATATTTTCTTATAATGTAATATTATAAAACATTAAATGTTTTTTTTTTTTTTTTTTTTTTTTTTTAAAAAAAGATATATTACTCTTATTTAAAACATAGCTCTGTGTTAAGTTTAGAGATAATGTCAATTATCTTGAAAATCTATTATGTGTTTCCTGTTATGTTGAAAATAATCATCTCTTGATTAAGAATAGTGTTAGTAGTCTTTCATCATTTTAGGTGATGGTTGTCCTTTGTTAATTTTAGTAGCTGATAATCAGTTTTGTAATTAAATGATTAACAGGTATGTTGTGTCTAAATGTTTTCGCCTTTAGATTGTTTAATCTGATTGATTTTTTGATATATTTTACTACATGCTTGCTATTCTTGCTGATGAACAATCATTTTATCTGCATAATAATGATTACTATTTTAACAAATTTGTGTGGTGCGAATTGGAGTGCAGTGATTATATTAAAATATTGAAAAAAAAAATATTGTAAAAAAAATATTATATTGATTGAATATTATATTGAAAAAAAAAATATTATAAAAAAAATATTATATTGATTTTTTATAAAGAAAAATATCTATTTTCTAGAAAAAAAACATAATTTTTTACTTTTATATTTTTTATATCTTAATAATTATAGATAAAAATATTACAGATATTTCTATTTTTAATAATATAACATTAAAAATAATTTTAACATTCTATAATTAAAATATTTTTTATATTAATTTATAATATAATCTTTTTATATTTTAGTTTTAGAACGTCCTACATCTCAAATGTCATATTTGGAACATTTTTTGAAAGAAACCGCAAGTAGTACACGTCATGGAAGTGCAGATAGTGTGGAAGCTGATATTGAGGATAATCGTGCACCGAGTATTTCCAGTAGTAAAAGCAATTTATCTGAACTTAGTATTGTAAGTATAATTATAAGTAAAATTAAATATTTTTTGAAATTTAATATATATTATAATAATATATATTAATAATATATATTAAATTTTAGGATCCAACATCACCATTATCCCATGAGCTTCTCAATAAATCATCAACATCTCATGGACAAACCAATCTTCAACCAAAACCAAAATCTCATCAATTTTTAGTAAGAACATTTTCAACACCTACAAAATGTAATCATTGTACTTCACTGATGGTAGGTTTAACGAGACAAGGAGTAGTATGTGAAGTATGTGGTTTTGCATGTCATATGCCTTGTTGTGATAAAGTTCCACCAATGTGCCCAGTACCACATGATCAAAGTAAGTTTTTTAGGAAATCATTTCATATAATTCAAATATTTGAAGAAATTTTTTAATTTAAAAAAATTTAATACTTTAAATACTTAAAAAGATGAAAATAATTTTTTTCAGCAAAACGACCATTAGGTATTGATCCTACACGAGGAATAGGTACAGCATATGAAGGATATGTTAAAGTGCCAAAAATGGGTGGAGTAAAAAAGGGTTGGGTTCGTCAATTCGTGGTGGTTTGCGATTTTAAATTATTTCTTTATGATATTTCACCAGATCGTAATGCATTACCATCTGTTTATGTGTCTCAAGTCTTGGATATGCGTGATGAAGAATTTAGCGTTAGTTCCGTTCGAGATTCAGATGTCATACATGCTACAAAAAAAGATATTCCATGCATATTTAGGGTAATTTCTAAAATGTTTCATTGCCATAATTTTTTAATATTTTATTTTCTTTATGACTTATTTTTATTTTATATTTTTTTAGATAACAACATCTTTGCTAGAACCACCTGGTTTAAGAAATCATACGTTAATGCTTGCAGACACTGAAAGTGAAAAAACAAAATGGGTAGTTGCTTTAAGTGAATTGCATAGAATACTAAAAAAAAATAATCTTCCTAATACAACGGTAAATACAATACAACAATATATTTATATATTTATTATATTAAAAAAAATATCGATTAATTATATTTATCAATGATTTTATTATTTTTTATTTTATAGATTTTTAGAGCAAAAGAATTATTAGATAATACATTGGCACTCATTAAAAATGTGATGTCAGGAGCTATTATTGATCCAGATCGTCTAGTCATTGGTACAGAAGAAGGTCTCTTCTGTTTAGATTTAGATCGTAGCGGTATGTTTTATTTTATATATATATATAAGAATTATATTATTATGATTAATTTGTATGTTATATTTAAAAGAAATTGCAAGAGTAGGGGAAGGCAAGAAAATATATTTACTGGAATATGTAACAGAAGAACAATTAATAGTAGTTTTAAGTGGAAAACAACGTCATGTACGGCTGGTTCCAGTACGTGCATTAGATGGAGATGAAGTTGAATGGATTAAAGTTGCAGAAACTAAAGGATGCATAACTTTAACGACAGGCATAGTCCGTCGAAGTCCATTAACTTATTGTTTGTGTGTTGCCATAAAGAAACAGGTAAGACATGTGTTATGTGTATGTAATATTAATATAATTTCTATTTTGGTAATTTTTTTTTTTTTTTTTGATTCAGAATACATCACAAATCATTATTTATGAAATTACACGTACGAAAACACGTCATAAACGTATACGTGAATTGATGTTATCATGTCACGCACAAACTTTACAAATTCTTTCTGAAGGTCGTTTCTGTGTTGGGTATCCTTCTGGATTTTCTATCTACAGCATCTTAGGAGACCATCATCCTATTTGTAAATAAATTTTATTTTAAATTAGTTTCTTCTTTTTTGATATATTTGATTTAAATTTTTCATTTTATATTTTAGCATTGGTCCATTCTGAGAATACTCTCTTAGGTTTTCTTACATATAGTGCTGTGGATGCTTTACGTTGTATTGAATTGCCACGTGGTGAATTTTTATTAGTCTTCCATACATTGGCAGTTTATGTTGACAGCCAAGGTAGAAAGAGTAGAGATCGTGAAATTATGTATCCTGCTGTTCCAACAGCAGTTAGTAAGTATATTTCATATAATATAGAATATATAAAATATATTAAAATAAAATCATAATTTTATATTTGTATTATAGGTTATTGTGAAGGCTATTTATTAGTGTATAGTGAGACTCATATCGATGTGTTTGATTGTACAACTGGAGACTGGTTGCAAACACTTAATGTAAAACGAGCACGACCACTAAATACTTCAGGTTCTCTGACCTCTTGTATCATTAATGATATGCCACATGTTATTTTTTTGAGTAATTTACATCAACGTTAGTATATTTTATTAATTTAATAACAACAAATATGTATGATTAAATATAAGGTATAATTAATATAATATTCGGTTTAATATAATTAGGAGAACTACTTAATTTAACACCATTAGATCCAACTGGTAGACAAATGACAAAACCGCGAAGAAGATTTTCATTAAGAGAAGGAAATAGGGCTATTCGTCCCACTGATAGACGTTCCAAAATGATATCCGCTCCGACAAATTTTAATCATATTAGTCATATGGGTCCAGGTAATGGAATACAGGTAAGTTCAAATTTCAATTTTGTTTATATATATGAATTTTATATTTTATAAAATATATATATACATATGTATCTATGTCTATATTAGATTCAACGGTTGTTAGACTTGCCTACTACACTCGAAACAGCTGATCAACAACATACCGGTCATCACAGTAGTTCTCATCTTCATAGCAGCCAACAAAGAGTAAGAATTAAATTATATTTTTAAATATTTTTTTTTAAAGACATTTTAAAAAATCAGATTTTTCAAATAAAAGAATCAATTTCATTTATTTATTGAATATGTACATATATATTTTTTGTCTAGTTATATAGTCCTGCAATTCAAACATCAAGTAAACCAGCACCATTGCCTCCTAGGCACCCACCTTCTGATACTCGACGTCTTAGTTCTCATATATCTAGAAATTCTGGATATTCGCCACATAATGGTATAAATATATGAAATTACATATAATTATATTATATGTAATTATATAATATATAATTATATATATAATATATAAATTATATAATTACATATAATTACATATATATTAGTTTTTATATATAAATTTATAAATTTATAGACATATTTATATTTTATTTTAGGTTCAACATCATCACGTAGAGGACCGGCACCGCCAAGACCAACTGCTACTCCACCTTCATTACCACGTACTCCTGTGGACCAAGTGGATTCGGAATCTGTGCATCTACGATCGCATACTCCACTTTCTCTTGGTAGCATTGCATCTTTACATGATAAGGTAATTTTTTTCTTTATGAAAAATATGAATCAAACATAAAAAGATAAATAGTAAACATTTAAAATGTTTTATTAAAAAATTAAAAAAATTTTGATAAATATGTGAAATTTTTTACTAATATAGGAACACACTTCTGGTGGAAGTCCTAGACATTCAATAGCTTCAAATAACAGTTCAAATCCATCGACACCTCCAAGTCCTGCTCATGATCATGGTTCATCTTCATATGATTCATAAAAATTAATTTAATATTTTTCTCAACATTAATAACTTACTGTAATCATATACACTATTTGAACAATAAGATTACAGTATCTATGATAACATTTTTACACAGAATGATATTCATATTTGATTTTTAGCTAGAAAGTTATCGCATTTCTTTTCTTTTTTTTATTCTGTGCAATAAATTTTCTTAACTTTGTGCATTATGTTTATTATATTATAAATATCTAACAAAAGGCATAATACTCGTATACATATACAAATGAATTGAAAAGTTGCACTGTTTTAATTATTTAGTTCAGTACAAAAATTTGATAAATATATTAACATTAATATATATTAGCTTGTGGTACTATTATCGCAATAACTTTCTGGTTTTCAAGAACTTATATATAATAAGTTATATACTTAACAAAGCAATTTAAAGTTAATGTAATGATAAATTATTGTAAATAATTTATGTTTGAAAATCATTGAAAATCATCTTTAAGATGCCATATATTACCGAAGTAGGCTGAGTCATTTTAATTTTATTTTTTTTTTATTTTTGAATTTTAACGCAGATATTTTGCATAATTTTAATTTTTTATCTTCAACTAATTGCTTTTAAATTAATAAAAATCTAAATCTCAGTCAAATTACTTAGCAATAAAAAATGAATCTAATTAATCTATTGTAGCTATTTTTAAATCTAGCTATAGTATGTTTGAAGTAAATTATACAATTAATCATTCTTAGTAAAAAATTAATTCAGTAAAATAAGTCGATCTGATGCCTTGATATGATTAAATATTTTCAATTATGTCATAATGCAGTAAGGTGCATCATTTTATTCAGCATGTGAATAGTAGAATTAATCGTGCAATGTATTTGAAACTCCTGCTAATAATTATATTTAAAAAAGCGAATATATACTTTTACATGATGTATAAGTATTATATTTGTAACACTAAAAGAACAATGATGAATATTAATTCGTCCTTACTGCAATGAAAATTGATTTTTCTCTTATAAATTTTCTGTTTTTTATTATAATTAATGCAACAAGTATTAGTATGAAAATATGGATTTGTTTTTTAAAAAATGTATATATTTAAAATTTGATCAATTATATTTGAAAGTGCAATGCATAATGACTGAGAATAGAATTGAAAATGAAAAATAAAAATAATAAAAAATCGTTTATTTTGATTAAAAATTTCTATTCATTTTGCAACAGTTTCAAGAAAATGCTAAAAAGATTATATAATATTGCAATATTGTTATTTTTATATTAAAAAAATTAAAAGCAAATGAAAAAACAAATTATTTTGAAATTTTTCAGAAAATATTATTTAATAATTAATCAGTTACAGTTTTTTATAATTATAAAATTAAAACAAAACAAATGAAATTACAATAAAAATGAGAATAAAGTAGCGAATTTTGTATGTTTTAATGTATAAAATATATACATTTTTCATGTACATTTATAAAAATTTGCTAACTATATTAAAAGAAAAAAAAAAGAGTTGGTAGAATAAATTAATTCTATGCAAATAGTTAATATATAAAATGATATCTAATAATCAATCCCAAGTTGTTCCATTATTATTCAAAAAATAATGGAGATTGAGAATACTTCTTTATCTTTATATCTTTAAAATTTATGTCATATAGTAAAGATTTAATAACTACAGTATCAATTCAATTTTTAAGTACATGAAAATTACCTGTAAAAAATAATTCTGAATCATGCATTTAAATTTGGATATATTTATAATGAATTTTAATAAAAAAGATTTTAAAAATGTCAAAAAGTTTATGAAATGAAAAATATTACAATAAAAAATATGCTACATTCCGAGCAATTCTTTCTCATTTTCATAAAATATTGAAAAATTTACAATACATAAAAAATTAAAATTCCAACTCTTTAAAAGATCATCATTAAAGACATAGTTAGCATAATATAACTATACATGAGTATAATATTAAAAAAAATTTGAAACATCTTCATCACATTTGTGTAATGGTAAGATATGGAAATATAATTACAAATAAAATATATATCGACTGCAATAGGTTTGACATTCTTATATTAAAAATATAGAAGAAACCGTTGATAGAAGAAAAAGTGTTAATGTTATCAAATAAAGAATGTAATAGTACAGGTATTACTATCCGTACTGGAATAAAATAAAGTTTGAAAATGAGTTCTAGAACTATTCTAGAAATAATACCGTATGTTTATAAATTGTAGCAACGTATGTATTATTGTACTTACCAACAGAATTCAATAATTTGCCTATTATTCGCCATTGTTACTTAAAGGTTCTAAAATCAAAGTATCTGTTTTTTATATTACTTAGTATTTGAATCGAATTTGTCTATAGATAGAACATATGAAAAAATAGTCACTTTGTATAGCATTGATTTTATATTTTTGTAAATAATTCAATTTCTAAGTAAGATTTTGGATATATATCAACTTGATTTTAGATCCTTTAAATCTTCAATTTTTTTCTTTTTTTTTTTTTTTTTTTTAGTATGCACATATATGATATTAAAATTTTGAGTATCTTCTTTTGTAAATTTTTCGCTATAATTATGCTTTTTTTTTACGCATAATCAAAATGTACGACTGGCATTCTGCACGAAAATAGAATGATTATATATATACATATATAGATTGTATGATTCAATAGTTTTACTTTTTTACGAGTTGTTAGAATATTTTATGTAACAATTAATATTGATTTATGTATCCCATTGGTTTAGTACCAGTGCATGTAATGACCTGATTATTAATCTTTTTTAGCAACTTAGTTTAATATATTCTATATTATGAATTTATTTATAACTAATATGTGCATTATTTACGATATTTATTAAAAGCAATTACAAGCATTTGAATAAAGAATTGTATTTCATTGTATATTATAAAGCGCATAAATTATAATTATATTAGTAAAAAAGAAGATTAAATTTTTGTTTTTGTAAAATAATCAGTAATTCAATATAAATATTTTTTTTTTATAGATTTTTCTTCTTAAAATAAGAATGAAGAAAAAATATATTTTGTTTCATAAATTCATAATTCGCTAAGTTATTAAAAAATAATTTAATTTCCTTGTATAAAAAAAATGTATTAATAAACATAATATATAAGTATATAAAAATATATTTACTAATGGTTTAAAAAATATTAGATTAGATTTAGGCATTATTATAATTAAAAAAACGGAATAATGGTTATTAGAATATTTATTATTTGAAAAAAAATCATTAACAGTAAGAAGAAAATTCCTACTGAAACAATAAATTGAATATTATTATAAAAAAGATTATTTAAAAAGATACATAAGCTTTTGTACTTATATTGTATATTGTGCTTTATATATTTCATTATTTTAATATGCTATTCTCATTTCTATATTGCATAAGTAATTCATTTCATAACTTTGTATTAATATACTTATCAATAAGGAATATAAAACATAAAATGCTCTAATCTATAAAATGTTAATAATAAATAATTATATTTAATTTCTTCTTTCCCAATTATAATTCATATATATCAAAAAAAAATTTTTATTATATTATACAGAAGCACACAAATTAATATATAATAATAATGTATTATATATGTATACAATGTTTGTATACATATATAATACAAATATATGTATATATAATTATCTAATATTAATTTATACATAAATGTGTGTGTGTATATAAATTAGCATTAAATAATTTTATTAAAAATTAATTTAATTTTAAATTTAAAAATTTTTTTCTATAACATGATTATGTAAGTAAATGGTGATTAATGATTTTACTCAGATTTGTTATATAAAGTAACAAAAGCATTATTTTAAATATAATTTATCTTTTATAATTGTTTATCTAAATTTTTTTAAATAATTCATTAAAAGATATTCACATGATAACATTAAATATAACATATTTATGATTGGTAACATTTATAAGTTGTATGTAGCATATGAATTTTTAATGTTAGTTATTAAAACAGAATTAACGCAAAGTTATAATTGGCACTAATTGTTACTTGATTCTTGTATTACATTTTACAAATATAATACATTCAACAAAATTTTTTTGTACTTATTCAAATAACTTTATGAATTTTTCTTTTTTTTTTTTTAACATTTAACATTATAAACTTGGTGTCAACAATAGTTTTAGTAACATCAGTAATGTTTTATGTATTATGGATATTTAAAAAGAAATTATTATATGAATTTTAAATATTGCAAAAACTTCTGAAATTATAATATAATAATTCTATTATTCTATGTTGTGCAAAATTTAAGAGCACCTTTATGATATCCATATGATGCAAAATTGTTTGACTCAAAATATTTGAATTATAAAATTATAAGTATTAAATTCAAATAGTTCTTTTAAAAATATATTAGAAAACTTCTTGAAGTAAATTTTCACATACATAAAAAATAAATTATTTGTAATTTGATTATTTATTACATGAATGCAAATATTAAATTCATTTTTAATTTAAATTTCCTAACAATATTAATGGCAGCTGTACAGGGAGGTGTCGCATGTATATGTATAGTATAAATAATTATAATGTCAAAATCAGGTTATTGAATTTTTACAAAAACATCACTGAATATTTCTAAAATATAATTTGAGAAAATTGCATATTACAAGTATTAATTTTTAAATACAATTCAAAATAAAAATTATTATGTATAAAATCTTAGCAAAAAATTTTTTTAAAAATTAAGGTGATTAATTAATAAATAAATAGTTCCAGTCTCTTCATGCCTTTGATTTATACATAATTATCTATTAAGTATATATCTATTAAATTTCGATCATATGATACAACAAAGAACACACGCGACATTGTAAACTGCCGTCCAAAATTTAAAAGACGACATGTTGCAAGAAAGGCATTTTTTCAGTATTATTAAATCACCACAGGAATTCTAGAGTACAATATCAAATTTGTACCTCATCTTGACGGTTTTGTTTCTCAGATTCCATAATTTGGGCGATACAGTTACTGTCATAATAAACTTCCTTTGCGCATAAATTCTCTAAATGGTATAACTCCTACGGCATTTTAGATCTCTTCGTCTTAAAAAATTGGCCGAATGTTACAAGGAAGTATCAGATGACGTACTTTCAGAAGATGTACTTTCATGACTGACTTGATTCAAAGAGTGTTGAAGTGCATCGGGTGTTAGCCATTCCTTTGGTAGACAACGCTGAAGGAATGGTACGCAAGAACTAAAATATGCAAGACGATTTACCCAACCTGGTATTTCTTGACCACATAAAATCTGTAATTTAAAATGAAAATATGATATTAGCATTCTATCAATTATAAAATAATTATATATTTTTATATACATACAAGTGTAAGTTGACTACTAAAATGATTACAATTTTTATTCATTAAATGATAACGATCACCCCTAAAATCTTTTCCTAATTCAGTAACAATTCTTGTTACATCTTCTTCTGTGAAATCTGTATATCCAATATGTACCGATTGTCTATAATGAAAAATAAATTTATTCTTCTTTTAAAATAAATTGAATATATTCTTGCTGAAATAATATCCTTACCTATATCTAAACTGTTCTCCTAATTCTTCAGCAACTCTTGGTGTAATTTCAAAAATTCCAGAAATTGGTTTAGAATGACCTCCGTATGCATATTCTAATTAAATTAGTTCATATGATTCAATTTTAGAACATAAAAAATTCAATATAAAATTTAAAAAATTTATAAAAATATTTTACAAATATACCTGTTCCATAAATTTCAACACCTGAATGAAACACACCTAATCCAATTGGTGTAGTATATTCATTTATCCAATACTAAAATAAAAAATTTATTTCAAGATATACATGATAATTTAAAAAAATCAAATACTTTACCATATCATAAACATTGAGAATTATTGGCTCTCTAGCCATTTTTGGTATTAATTCTTCGTTGTCTTGTGGATAACCCAGACAACTGGGAAAGGACAAATTGCAGCTAAGACCTGATGAAAACATCATAGATATCTGTACTTCAAGAGATGAACAGCAGCACTACTTATGTTCCAATTATGCACCTAATAAGCAAATATATTTGCTATATACTGGATCTACTCTAAGCAAATAGCCACTGAATTACTATAAAATTAAAAAATAATTATAATTATTTATATATATAAAAATTAAAAATAATTATAATATGAAATATCTTATATTTTATGATTATTTATAATTCTCAAATAATTATTTAATTATATCTACATTTCATTTTAATAACATAAAAATATAAAAAATATGTATTTATAAATTATTTGGTAATAAGATATGACTTCATGCGTATAAGTAATATTATTAATTCTAAATAAAATTATATAAGAATATGCAAAATGCATAGCAATAAATATATTTTTCTAATTGCAATTCATTATAAAAACAAAATATTAAAATTAACATATTATTTTTTACAAATACTAATAACAATGCTAATCTTAAAATATAAACAAATGATATTATGAATTAGATTCATAATTTCAAGCTACTTTGTTACTACTAATAAAAAATAAAGATATTAAAAAAATTTATTGACAATATAAATGACAATGGATAAAAAATTAAAAATGATTATATTTTATAAAAGAAGAATATAGAGAAGAATTATAAAAGAAGAACTATAATATTATATGAATCTTTAGGTTAGAAGTTTTGTTAAGTGATAGCTTATAGTGAATTGTTACCTAAAAATATCAAAATTTTACATTTAATACAACTACATTTCTTTATAATTTGTCATAAAATAATAGAGTAGAAAAAATAATCTCCACGTCTTCTTGAAAGAATTATTAATATTAAATAATATATGAATACATTATATGATTTTAAGTGAATATGTCCACAATAAATTATCGATTTTTTTAATTTTGATAATAAAATTATTCTTATAAAAATTTAATAACATTAACTTAATAGTTGAAATTCGTAACGGTTACTTGCAAATAGCATACATTATGTCAGTAAGAAGTCTCTCTTCACTGAAAGTGTGCTAAATGATGGACAAAAATTCTTTTTAAAAGATCTAATTGTATGTTTTAAATATTTATTATTTATTTTATGTCACAAACTTAATTAATTGCACATAATAGTCACTAATATTAAATATTTTTCAAAAGAATTTACACAAATTGTTTATAATTAGAAACGAATAAAATTTGTCTAGGGATATCATATAATTTTCTCTAGATGAATATCAAATATTAAATAATTATTAAAAGATTTCTTTTATATCAAAAATTATAAAACATTAGCAAAATATTAAATATTTTATAATTTTTTTATTATATTTATTATTTTTCAGTTTAATTTTCTAGTAATAGTAAATATAGTAACAAAGAAATATATTGTAATATGGAAAATAAAATAATTAAAAAATTAAAAATATAATAGAATAAATATATTATTTTTTTAGAAATGTAATTAAATTATTTATAACTACATATATATACATATTTTTTGAATGAAAAAAGAAAATTTAATTAATTAAAAATTAATTAATTTATAATTTAATAGAACAAATATATAAAAATATAAAAATTTAATTTTTAAGAAATTTAATAAAATAATTATTTAATATTAATATTAACTTTTATTTTTAAAGTTAAATTATTTATTTACAATAATCTAGGATAATAATAAGTATATTCAGAAATTTTTCTCTCTTTTAAAAATAATTAAAAATTTTGTCTTAACATAAATTTTATATTTTTCTAATTAAATATATTTTATTTTGTGTAAAAATGCATGAAAATTTTATTTTTAATATAGAATAAATATGATTTATAATAAATGCTATTCTAATGTTATTTCTAGTTTGATATAAGAAAATAAATTACATTTTATTATTGAGAGCAATCTATGAAATAAAAGATTATTATATGAAATACACATAATATATATATTCTTCTTTTTATTAATTTTTCATGTTCTCTATATAATTGTTTATATTTTCTATTTTTAAATGAATAAATGAATGCCATATTTATTATAAATAATTTAGTATAAATATGAAATATATATGAAATATATCAAATATGTTATTATAAAAACAATATTTAAATTCTGTATTTCATATAAATAATGTTTACAATTATTTTATTTTATTGTGTTATACTAAGAAAATATTTTTTAAATTTAAAATATATAATTCAAATTTATTATATTAATTAATTAATTAATTAATTAAAATTATCTTTTTTTATAAAATAAATTTTTGTAAATTAATATATTTGTTTAATAAACCTATAATCTAATAATCTCGTAAATTTAATAAATTTTTAACTTCTTCATGCAAATGAAGTAATATCACAATTTATGTTTTTATAGAATTTAATAATTTTTTCTTATTTAATAGTTATATATATTAAACTGTGAAAAATTTAGCAATTTTAATTATTTATGTTTGACATTTAATATTACAATGTATATGTGTGTTTGAACATGTATGTGAATACATGAATATATTGTGAAATATTTATCAATATCAATTTTTAAAACGAATTATATTAAATATTATTAACATATAAAATTTATCATACTAATTTTTCTTATAAAAATTTATATTTATACAAGTAAAAAATCTTATAAAGCTTATTATTGTATACATAATTTTGCAAATCATAAATATTTAAATATTTAAAGTATATTATAAACTATATAAGGTACATGTAAAATTTTTGCCAATTACAAAATATAAGCCTAACTAAATCCTTAATAAGTAAATGTATTTGTACCTACATAATGTACAATATATGTTTATAAATATATAAACAAAGAAAAACTGTAACTAAGTTATTTTTAATACACATATGTTTTAGAATCCACAATAATTGTGTAAGTCCAAATATTCACACTTATTATACATGTGTATACATCAATATAAAGTATTTAAAATATGAGTGCTTCATGATAATTGAGTAGGGTTATACAACATATTTTTTAAATACCAAATATGTAGTTTTAACTAATGTGAACAAGATTTATAATTTAATAGAACAAATATATAAAAATATAAAAATTTATAATTGTCAGAGTGTATAAGTAACAAAAATGTTCAAATAATGAAAATTATTTCTAGTATATCAAATGAACTTTTTAAAGAAAACTTTGTAATATTATTCGAGCAAACATTTCAATTATTATTTCAAATTTAAATTTATATTTCTAATATTTGAAAAATAACTATGTATCATAATCTTCATCCAGAGTAGCAGTGTGAGCAAAATTTGATGTTGGTTGATTATTTGTATTTACAGTTGATGTATTTGTACTTAAATTCATAGGATTAACTTCTGTATAAAAATTAGGTTGACTAATTTGAAATGATGCAGGCACAGATATTTGAAATTTTGGAACTTGAGAGATAGTTGTATTTTTAACCATTTCATTAACAGCACCTGAATTATATATTCCTATTCCTTCATTATCTTTTGAATTTTTATGTTCTATATTTATTTCAGTAGTTAATCCCATTTGCTGCTTCTGAACTCTATAAAAATATAATTCATTTAAGATTTACAAACATCAAATGAGTTATTTAATATTTACCCTATATCTGAATGCTGTATTGTAGATGTATTTGATATATTTGTATTTGTATTTATTGGAGCTGGTGTTAATGGTGGTGTAGGCACTTCTTCATCAGGTCCTGATACATCTGGTAAAGATTTTACTAAATCTTTTAAAAAATCAAAGCGACTTTCTGATAAAATACATTGTTTCCTATAAATAAATTTAATTTAAAAATGATTAATGAACAAATTCAAATATACAACATCAAATAATCAAATTAATTAATTTGATTATTAATTTATTATAATTAATTATAAATTTTAAAAAATCTTACTTACATATGAGATGGACTTAAAGTTTTGGCATTTTTGGCACTTGTGATTTCCATGGTTTTTGTAAGTAATGAATGTACAAATAATTCTAATGTTCTAGGTATATAAATAGTTAAGAAATTTATTTTCAAAATAAAGATATTATAATCGCTTAAAGATCTATAACATAAACAACAAAAATATTAGATTATATAAATACATTAATTAAAATTATTTTTATTGTTAATTTAAAAAGGATATAAATTATAATTGGCACTGCTTGTGCAACTTTTCCAACTTCTTCATCAGTCTGCATAATTTTTTTTATTCTACCCTAAGTGCATTTGTAAAGATAGGTTAGGCATATATATTAAAAATTATTATATATAACTCTTTTTTATTTTGTATTTCTTCATAATTTAAATATGGTTATACAAATAAATTACAATTGTTTTTATTAAAATTATAAACATGTAATTTATATGAAGTGTCAATATCGTCGTGAAAAATTTTTCCAAACTGTGTAGAGTAATTCAATACTCACTGCTGGAAAACGTGCATTATATTTTTTCTTTTTACTTGGCATTATCACAAAACTATTAGTTTCTCACACTATTATTCGATTTGTAAATTATGTTTAAATAAAATAAAGAATAAAACTTTAGAAAAAAAAACGTTTATATTGTATTAGCAACAATCGAGGTGTTCCGAAACTTGACAGGTATCTGTATAATCTGTATTTTCAATAAACCATAAAATATTTTATGTTCGTAAATATAATACTTGACACATACAGAACAGCAAATATTAAATACTACTATGTGTTCTAAAAATATTTTAAAATGATATATAATTTACAATTGTAATAAATGAATTACTTGTAATTAATTGTAATTAATGAAGTATATATTTTTTTTTATTTATTATAATAATGATAATATATTTTTTAAAATAATTTATATTTATTGATTATATATAAAACTATTAAAGATATAATAATGGAAGATGATTATTTCTGTAACTTGTTTTAAGTTCAAATCATGATGTTAAGCTTGACAACATCGCTTTTTCTAGTATAAAAGTCTTATTTTTAATATTATGAATAAATAAAAAAAAAAATAAAATGTAAAAAATTAATTATAAATATACATAATAAATATACATAATCATATAATATATATTCAATCTAAATATTATAAATATTATAATTGTAATAAATCAAAATATATCAATTTTTATATAATTATATATCAATTTTTATGTAATAAAAGAAGTATATAAATTTTTAAAAAAAATTATAGTAATACTTATTTAATATTATTTAAAGTTTTTACATTTTACATTTTATTTTTGCATTAAACAAATATTAATATAAATTAAAATTTTTATATTAATAAATTAAAATTTTTTTTTAAGTATAATTTTTAAAACTGAATAATCAAACATAAAATCAAATTAGTATTTATAATTGAAAAAGAAACAAGATTTCTAATAGATTTCTATTAGATGAATAAATTAAATAAAAATGAATATCAAAAAAAATTTATAAGAAAAGTTATTATTAATAAAATATTTGCAAATATAAAAATCAAAAAATAACGTTATTAATTAAAACTTTAAGATTTATAAAATCTGAAAATCTGAAAAAGAAAGTTATATGTACAATATGAGTCATAGTGTATAATTACTACTACTATATTACCATTACTATTACTAATTACTTTACTACTAATTAATACTAATTACTAATTAATTTACTACTAATATTAATACTGCTATTACTGTAACTACTTTTTAAATAAATTATTTATAAAAAATATAATGCTATATATAAAAAATTAAATCAATTAATATAAATGTAGAAAATACTTATGTTATATTACTAAATTATAATCGTTTTATTGCATTTTTATTTATATAATTTACGATATATATTAATATAAATATTTCATAAAATCGCGAAAAAGCGCGGAAATAAAAAATAGTAATTTCTTGATTCTATCCAAATGAAAATTCAAACATTGTTGCCAAATTTACTTTCATAGCTTAAAGTAGACTAGTAATTCTTATAGTTATTTTTACAGAATAATATAATTTTAGGAACGATTATTTTTTTATAAATTAAATTTAAAACTTTATCAAATTGTCGTTAAAATTAATTTTTTTTATTAATTTGTTTTTAGCTATATTATATAATATAAAGTTTTATATTTGTATTATATTATTTTATTATATTATTTAAACAATTTTGTGTAAATTTATGTAATAATTTTTACTTATATATTAAATGAATAATATTATAAAGATATATTCTTAATTATAGTTATATTCTTAATTTATAATTATAAAAATACATTTTAATCTGAAATTGACAATTTCAATTAATAAGTTGGATTTTATAATGGCAAATTTAAATGATGAGAGAATTGTCGTTTTAATAGATATGGATTGTTTCTTTTGTCAAGTTGAAACAAAACTTCAACCACAATATGCTGGAAAACCCCTTGCTGTTGTGCAATATAATCAATGGCAATTCGGAGGGTAAAATATAATGTTTAATATAAATTATGATTAAATAATTGAATTTTAAATAATAATAATTGATAATATTTTTGAAACAGAATAATTGCTGTTAATTATGAAGCAAGAGAATATGGTGTTACAAGACACATGAGAGGAGAAGAGGCTAAAGAAAAATGTCCTGATCTTATTTTAGTTAGTGTACCGTGCCTTCGTGGAAAAGCTGATATATCAAGGTACATAAAAAATTATAAATTTAAAGTTTAAAGTTTTTATAGAATATACAAATTTAAAAAATTTTATATATCCATACAGATATAGAAGTGCTGGTCGTGAAGTTATTAATGTTATAAAAGAACATTGTAATATTATAGAGCGAGCTAGTGTGGATGAAGCATATTTAGATATTACTGATATGGTTCATAAAAAAATGTCCACAAATTTAAATTTTTCAGATTTAGCAACACAACTTCCAAACACATTTGTAGTAGGATATTCAGAAATTGGAAAGAATGATGAAGGTAAAAATATATATATATTTTTATGACTACATATAAATAAATAAATATATATATATATATTTATAAATATGTATATATTGATAATATATAATATGGATTTTTAGAAGAAAGAAGCAAAGGCACAAAAATTTGGATAAAAAATGTTTTTGAAGAATTTGAAGATATAGAAGCACAAAAACTTGCAATAGCAGGATTAATAGTTGAAAAAATAAGAGCTGATATATTTGATAAAATAGGTTTCAAATGTTCTGCAGGTATTGCACAAAATAAGGTAAAAAAAAATATTATTTTATATATTATATTATATATTATAATATGTTATAATATGTTAAATGAAAAATATGTTGAATGTTAATATTGTATTTAATTAATTAGAAGAAATATATTACTATTTTATATTTTTAGATATTAGCTAAATTGGCATGTGGATTACATAAACCAAATCAACAAACAATATTACCTGCAGCTGCAATATTAACATTATATTCAACATTACCAATAAAAAAAGTTAGGAATCTTGGTGGCAAATTAGGAGATATTGTTATTGAATCTTTGAATTGTAATGTTATGAGTGACTTATTGCAATATTCATTACAATATTTACAAAAACGTTTTGATGAGAAAACAGGGTGCGTTTGTAATTTTTTTTAATTATAACTTTGATAAAAAAATAATTGTACAATATCTACTTTAAAATATTATATTATGTTAATTCATTTATTTAGATTGTGGTTATATAATATTGCTAGAGGCATAGATAATGAACCCGTTAGTGTACGATTGGTATCAAAATCAATTGGAGCATGTAAAAAATTTCCAGGAAAACAAGCTATAACTTCATTGAATATGGTAATGTAAACTGAAAACTGCACAAACAAAAATAGTGAATAATTTTTTTTACATAATATGTAAAATTTTTTTTACAGTTAAAACATTGGATTAGTGAATTATCGGCAGAAATTTGTGAACGTCTCGAACAAGATCTTATGGAAAATGAACGACGTGCAACATTAGTTACAATATGTTATCATTATTATCAAAACAAGACTACAGTATCTCAATCACGTTCATATACTTTAAATTCATATAAACCAAAAAATATGACAATTCGTTGTATGAATATTGTGTCTAAATCAACGCAATGTCCAATTGCATATTTAGGTATATCAGCTAGTAAATTTATAACAGTTAAAGGTAGTGAAAATTTTCGAAATTTCTTTAAATCAAATAATTCAGAATATCATCAGAAAAATGTTCAAATAAAAAATATGAAGATAGAAAATACATGTTCAGTAGTCAATATTACCAAATCAATAAGAAATGATTTAAGTGTAGATAAAATTAATTCATATTCTAATAGTAATAAAAATAATAATCTATTAAATAATAAACTGAAAAATATTGGAAAGAAATCTAAAAATATGCAATTAAGCAAACAAATTTCTGATACAAAAATAGATTATTCTCCTACTTCTAAAATATTAAATAATTTAATTACTTCATTAAATGAACGAGATAAAACAAATGTATTTTATGAAACAAAAATAAATTTGAATGATTCCTTGAATCAAAATGATTTTAAAGAATCATTTTTTGTAAATATTTTTAATTCAAAAGAAAGTAATTTAAAAGATATGTTTACACATAATGTTGAATTAATTGAATTAAATGATAATATAAATTTAAATATTGAATTAGAAAAAATAAATATAAATAATATAAGAAATGAAAATAATTTTGATGAAAAATTGGATTTAAATGCAAAAGAGAACAATTGTAAACAATATATATATAATGAGATTGAAAATAGACCAATTATAAAATTAAATCAAAATAATGAAATAAATAATACCCAAAATATTACAAAATTAGAAGAAATATTTCCTGACTTAAATAATATTGATCCCACTGTACTTGCATTGTTACCATTGGATTTACAAAAAGAAGCAAAATTATATATGAAAACAAAAGATAATAAAAATAATACAAAAAGTATTTTAATGAAAACATCAAAGGCAAAAAATAAATTTAAGATAAATACTTCGAAAAAGAAAAAAAAAAATGATATTTCTAATTTTTTAATAAAAAAAAATTCATCTAATCTAGTTCCTTCTAAATAATGTTTAAAAAAAAAATGTTATCAAATGATATATCTGTCAAAATATCAGAAACATTGCGATTTTCACATGGCTGAAAATCTACAATAGAATATAAGTAATACATTGTTAAATAAATATGAACATAATAAGAAAGAAAAATACTAATAATTTAAATATAAATTTCAGTAAACGTCAATCGAATTAATGTCAATGTAAATATTTGAAGATTTAATTCATAATTTCTTTTGTATAATATGAATTGATATATTATAGATTATATATTGTAATGAAATAATAAAAAAGAAATAACATTTTTTGTTTTTATATTTTATTTCTATTTTTTATACAAATTTTCTTATGTTTCTTTTATATTATATTGTATACAATATACAGATTCAAAATTTTTTTTATTGAATTAATTATGATATAAATTATTTTGTAAGTAGAAAATAATACTGTGATAATATAAAATGTTTGTTATATTGATTTATAATAAATTATATTTAATTATGTTTATATTAAAGTGAATTTATATAAATTAATATATTATGATAATTATATATATTTTGGAAATATTTAAAATATTTTAAATTTAATAATAATTCTATATTTTTTTATAATTTTAATATTTAATTTGACATTAATAAGTTATATATGTATATAATTAATATTTAAAAGTCGATTTGTACTTAAACAATCAAGTTTTGCAAATTCAGTTCTTACGCTTTCTTTATATCGTTTCATTGAATCTTGAAATGTAGAAATAGTTGTTTTTATTGCATCATTAGATATTTTTAGTAATTGAAATGCTATAAAATAAAAAGAAAAAAACAATGATATTAAATATATAATAATAATATCTTAATTTTAAATATCTTTTAATAATATTTGAAATATTATAAAATTGTACCTTGTTGTTTATCGATTTCTTCTTTTTCTATAGTTTTTATTAATTTATGCATAAGATTTAATAATTTTAATTGTTTTGGTGGCAAAACTTTTTGAGATGATATTTTTCCGAACTTTTTTTCATATTTTTTTATGTATACATCTAATTTTAAAATTGCTGCCTTTTCATTTTGAGAATGGCATATTTTTTTATAACATATATTTTCATTCATTATTATTTTTAAATCATTTCATTTCATAAGAAATATGAAATTCAACAAAAAGTATGGACAAGAAAAGCAAATAGTGTGAGATAGATAAAAATAGATTAAAAAATGAACGTTATTTTTAGAATGCCGTGATAAAACAAAAATTAGATATTTAGATAAGGAAAATAAATAACAAAAAAATAAAGATAGAATAAGAATTGATTGTCAGCGCCATCAACTTTCAAAAAAATCTCTACAAAAATAAAAAATAAAATATCCAATGACGCTGATTTTCTTATTTTAAATTTTATTATTAATTATTAATTATTTTAAATCCTAATTGACTTTATCCTAGTTATAGATATTATACATGCTTAAAAAATGACATTAATCAATTTTTATTCTATCTTTGTCTTTCTTCTATTATTTATTTTTTTTATTTTAGAAATGATATTATTTTACGATATTTTAGAAATAATATCGATTCTTGAATTTTTACTATTTTTATTTCTATTCTTTCTTTACTATTTTTATCTATTTTTTATCTATACTTACTCTACAAAATTTATATAGACAACTTAAGAGGATTCCGATATTTGATTAATTTCACTATTTTTTAAAATAAAAATACAAATACATATAATGTATATTAAAATAATATGAAAATGATATGATGCGATATATATACACATACATATATACATATAATTGTAATAAAAATATATAGTAAGTCCATGTGCTAAAAATTGCACAGATTTGATTTGCAATTTGATTTTGTAAAATCAGGATTTCTATTTAAAATATAAATCCATTAAATTGCAAAATAACATTGTAATAAATTATAAGAATGCCATATCACTTGCATGCATTTATCCTACATGCATATTAGTGAATGGAATAAACAAATTTATAAACAATATCAATTACAAAAAATTTATTTATATAAAATTTATAATAATGTACATATATTTTGGATATTACAATGTTTATGAATATTTGAACAATTATAGGAAATATATGGTTTAAAAAGGCTAAAATATTTATTTATATATATTTAAATATATGTAAGTATTTAAGTAGCATTATATCCTTTTTTCCATACAGTATCTTTAAGATATGCACCTATCATAGGATTATTAAGCATTGCTTCTACAATATTTTTAAATCCTAATTGACTTGCTAACACATATTTACATTCCACATCTGATAATTCAGAAATTAATATTTTCATATTATTTGTCATAGTATGAGTAATACTCTTTTCTAACCTATATCTATAATAAAGATTAATAAATGGTAATTAAAATGATAAGAAGTTTGCAAAACTTTTTAAAATAATAATTAACTTGCCTGCGTACACAATCTTGTACAAGACTTGGAGTGAGTTTATTTACAGTTATGAAATCTTTTAAATATTTTGTTTCTCCATTTAATATACAATGATTATAAATCAAATTAGCCCAATCTACATGATGATTATAAGCATGAACAATAATAAAACTTTGAGAGAAGCTTAAATTATGACATAATACTTTATCAATATCTTCAGGTTTTAAATTAAGTATACAAATTACTTGTTGATTGTAAGATGTTGTATTAAAAAGTGAAAGTTGAAGAGTAACTAATTGTACTTGGTCAGAACATTGACTAGCAAGATTTAATTTATTAGCCTGTAATTCATATATATTCAGATGAAAAATAAATTTTTAAATTTAAATTATTTTAGAAAAAAAATAAATGATATTTTACCTGTAAATAATATTCTGTTGCATGAGTATAATTAGTTATAATTAATTGTAATTGTTTTTGAATATATTCAGTTTTAATAAATTTTATTTCATCAACATTACTTTGTAATTTATTATATTCTTTTGTAGCATTTGATATTATTGTTTTGATTAAATCTTTTGCTTCATTTTCCCACATAAGTGCTAGTTCATGATATAATCGAAAATGTAAGGCTACCAAAGTAAAAAGCTCTTTATTTTCAGGACAATGATGTTTAAGAAAATCCAAAAGTGCTGTTTCTAGACCAGTTACCTAATATATTATATATATATATATATATAAATATATATGAAAATAAAGTATTTATATGTATTTGAAAAAATAAGTAATGAAAAAAACCTTATTTAGTCCTTTTCCAAGTAAAAATTCAAATTGATCATTTTCCTTTAGAATTTGAAATATATAATTCATTTCTGTAAAACGACCAACACCTGTTATAAGGCGGACCTAAAATTATTTGATATTGTATATCTTATACATATATTGTATAAGATTTTATTTATTTATATTTTTAAAAAATGGTATACCAATAATGTCCAATATTTAAGATTTTGTAAAATATTTGCGAAAATTTGACATTTACATAATACTGATGCAATTCCTTCCATATTGCAAGAAGTTGTAAAACAATCATGAGCTCGTATTAATAATTCTACGATTGTTTTAAGGGTTAATGCTAATAATAGAAAAAGATTAAATAATAAACTTGTGTTATAAGTAATATAATTAATAATTATATTTTATTACCATTTGTCTTTTCACCATGAGAATGACCAAGCAATTTGTTTGCCGTTTTTAAAAGCTTCCAACCGAGGAGTGAAATATCATTACATAATTCCATAATAATACGAAAATTCGTGTTTAAAGAATATTCCCATAAACAAATATTATTTTCATATCCACCTAAAGAAATAATAACTTTTTATGGTTATGAATTTATATTTAAAATTATATTTAAAATTATTTAAAATATATTTAATATATTTAAAATTATTATCATTATGTACCTTTTACAGCAGAAGTAATGCTTAGCATAATATTTTCAGCCAAAAATGTTGCAACAGTATCATTATCTATTTTATATGCAATAATTATATCATTAATAATTTCAGATTTATCTTTAATATTACTTTCTGTAACTTCTTGTAAAAATTGAATTGGATTGTTTAATATTAATAATACCTGATAACTTTTCTCTAATTGCATTGCTAATTTATAACATAGGACAATTCTAAGACATATGTCTAAGCCATGTTCCAGAATATCAAGTAATTTTTGTAAAATTAATAAACATTCCATTTGTATATTTGTTTTATCTTTTGACATTTCATTTATATTGATTGAGGTGACTACTGTAATAAAAATTTTTATTGTAAGTATGCATTAGTTAATAACTGGTTATAATGAAAATATAAATCAAAAATACATGAAGAAGATGAAGAAAATCTTTGTAAGCTACGATTCTTTAAGGCACTATATTTTTGTTGTTTATTCTTATTTACTTCTTTTAGAAGATTTTGTTGTTCAATAGTTAAATCATTTGGTAAAATTTCTCCTTCTGCTAGACTTAAACATAATATTAAAATTTGTAAATCCTGAAAGTAAAATTAAAATTACTGACATTATTAATATTTATTAATTAAAATTTATTAAAATTTACCTTATGTTTATAATTAAAGATTGTAGTTATTCTCAATGCAGTATCTAATCTACCTAAATCAATTAATATATCAATTAAAATTTTAGCTGCATTTCTTTCCTGTATATTATTTAATGTATAGCTGAATTTCAATTTATTTAATCCTGATAATAATTCTGTTTTTAGTTTATTAAAAATATAAGGTCCATTATCTAATTGTACATTTTCAGGACCTGCTAATATACATGATTTCCACATTGCCATTTCCAGTGTATAAATATCTTGCTGTTCTGTTTCAATATTTTTTAAAGTTTCAAAAGCTAGTTTTAATATTTCATATCTGTTCAAAGATATATTTTTTTGTAAAAATCAAATTTATGATTTTTTTTTAGTTAATAAAAATAATACATACCTTTCTTTATGAGAAGTAACTTTTTCAGCATGCTCAACAAAAAATTCTACTACTTCCTTATATGGAATATTATATTTTTTAAAATTTTGTGCACATTCATACCAAAAATTATCTTCAATTTTTTCATTTTTATGAATATAATATTTAAATTTACTTCGATACTATAAATATCAATATAATAGAATATAAAATAAAAAATAAAATCATAAAAATATTATATATCATAATAATATTATATATAATAAATATATAAAATATATAATAATATATATAATATATAAATATAAAAGATAATACCTGAGCTAAAATTATTTCAGATGAACTGAATCCCATAACATTTGATAATTCTAAAGCACTAGCATAATTTTCGATTCTTATTAAATCATTAATACATCTATGAATTTCTGTATCAAAACTATAAATATTATCTGATACTGTAAATGCCGCAAAATTTAATATGATATTAGTTTTTTGAAGAATTTTTATAATTTGTAGAAAAGACTGAAAATTTGGAACGAAAACTGTAATATATAAGAAAATTATTTTTTAATTAATGTTAATAAAAATTAATCAAATAATTCATTACAGTACCTGGAAAATTTTTATGAAAATTACATTTTATTAAAATTTCAAGGAATTTTATTTGCAAATGTGAACTTTTTAATCTATAAGCGAGTGTTGCAATAACACATTTAATTGTAACAGTAGCAATCCAATATAAATTATTCAAATATGTAATATCTGAACAATTCCAATCCATTGCATCCTAAAAATGATTAAAATGTTAAAAATAAATAAAATAAAAATAAAAATAATGTTTAATACATACATTACATTTGAGATCTATACACTGTGTTTTAAAATCCAATAAATTTTGTTGATAATCTTTGAAATTACCATAAATTGCACATTGTTCGAGAAATTCAAAAAATAAATTAAAAAGATTTTCCTATAATTAATTTATATTATTAAAATAATATAAAATATATTTGTATGTAGATAAAAATTCACTTACAGGCATAAAAATTTTGTAAGCTTTATTAAGAATATCGATATATCCATTTTTTACCATTTGCTCTAATAAATTAGAAACTTGATTGGCTGTCCATATTTGTTGTTCTAAACATTCATTATAATCAGAAAGAATCTCTTTATCTGTAGTAGATATTACCATCCAAGAATAACAATATGCTGTTATTGAAGATGGCTAAAAAATATATTTAATAAAAATAATATTTTATAGTATAGTATAATATTGTTAAATATTTTATAGAATATAAAAATTTTAAAATTATTAAAAATGTAAAAAAATGTAAAATACCTCATAACAGGTTGCTAAAACTGCAAGAAAAGGTCTTAAGGTTAACCGAGATGAATTTATTAAAGCACCAGGTGGATCTGGGCTTTGATGACATTTTAGAATAATCAACCATAAATCATCATCTGGAGAACAAATGTTATCACTTATAGCATATTCATACATATCATGAGATTCAGAAGTACTTGCTGAATCTGTTAATACTGGAGAACCATAAATTGATTCCTATTAAGTAATAAAATAGTTTAATACTTAATAAAATTTATTATAAAAATATGTTATTTATTATTTACATTTTGTTTAACACCAATTTTATAATATAATGATTGCCTAACATCTCGTGATTTTATCTTCTGTTCGCTATAAACAGCTAATTGAGATTTTGTAAGTTGAACATTGCACAAACAAGTTAACAAATGTTCTCTGAGAATTGTATCTTCAAAATGTTTTGTATTTTCCAATACCTAAAGATAAAAAAAAAAATAATTTTTTTCAAATTTTAAATAAAAATATTTTAAGTAAAAAATATAAAAAAGTGATTCCATAAAAAAAAAAAATGAAAAAAAGAACATATTTAATGTGATTGTTGATAATTTAATTTTTTAAAAATGAAGTTTAAATAAAAAACAAATGAAAAAATTTGTTTTTGCTTATAGAATTATCTTTAATAATTTATTTATTCACAATATTTAATCCATTATATTTAAATATTTTGTTTAAATTATTTAAAATTTAAATTATTACCTGATTCAAAGAATAATTAAATATATGACAAACTAACACAAATTCAAACCAGAAGTTCTGATTTGCTAAAAATTTTAATAAGCTAATTGGCAAAGAAAAATTGTGCATTCTTGCAAATCGTACAATAACATCCCATATCTTCAATATATTTATAAATTGCTGACTATCATCAATTAAACTTTCAACAAAATTTTTTTGAAAACTATTTTCAAGATAACCCATTACAGATTTTAAATCATCTTCATTTCCATAAATTATATTTTCTAGTAAATTTCCTGTGAATTAAATGATGTAATATATTGAAATTTATGAATATCAAATTTAAATTTATTAAATATAATATATAATATATTATATAATTAATAAATAATTACCAATAGAAATATTAATTTCCTTATCAATGTAATTTGCCACAGTTATATGAAGTCTTAAATTTTCTGAATCAATATTTAACATTTCAATGAAAGAAATACAAGTATGTAATATTTCTGGTTTATTTAAATTTCGTAAGGCAAAAATATGTGCATATAGAGCTGCTTTATGTTTCCTACAAATAATATAATAATTATATGAATATAATTTTTTATTTTTTACAAGAAATAATTATTAATTATTAATTTTACCTTCTACAAGAAATATTCCCAATTAGTTTTCCTTGAGAATGTTTTAAACTAAATATAGCCATATTAGGACGGGCTTCTTTCAAGTAGTATTCATATGTTAATGCTTCTGTATATCCATATTTTTTAACAAGAGTTTCATTAGAAAAATAAGGCATAGATTCATTATTAAAACGCCATTTATATAAACGTTTTATATTTAAATTTTTGTAACCATCCAATAATTCATATATTGTCACTTCTTTTTTTTGTTTTTTTTCTATAATAGATTTAAGAATTGATATTTGTTCTAATGTATTTTGAAGAATTTCATTTGAAATATTATAATCACATAGTTGTAAACCATTTTTATTTGTAAATATATCTCTTAGTATATTTTGTTTCATAGTTGTACTTTTATTTTGATTATACATTGTATTTTCTTTAGACAAATATGAAAATATTAATACTAAAACTATTAAATAATTTTCTTTCAAATATTCAATGGTATCATCAGAAAGATAATAAATTGTTTTAAAAATTCCTTCTATTAACATATTCTGGTCTTGATTTTCACACATTTTTGTTAATGCATCATATAATTCAGCAATTTTAATTTCATCTTCTTGAATATTTATTTGATTCAAGCAACGTGCCAGACATAATTCTTTATCAATTCTGCTCATAAATTCATTTCTATTAATATTACAAGATTTGTATGATAATATTGTGTTGAATTCTGATATTGATATTGCATTTCCAAAAATACGTGCCAATAATAATTTTACATCTTGTTGTTCTTTTTTAACAAATATACCATACCTATTTGTTCATATAATTAAATAAATATTTAAATATTTTAAATTCATTAATATTTTGAATTTTAATAAACATATTTTATGTAGACTTACCTACATAAATGATTTTTAGTTAAATTTTTTATGAAGGTACTAGCACTTGAAGAATCAATAGATTCAATCATATTTGGAACTATATTTAAATTATTAAACAGTAATTTATATTCTTCTTTAATCATATTTGATTCTTCTATTGTATTATTACCATAATAAGTATCAATCCAAAACTTTATGGGAACAATTTTATTATTTGATAATAAATAATCCCATAATATATTGTTAGTTATATTTTTTGAAAGAGATTTTTCATTTAAGGAAAAATATAATTCTGTACATAATGATTGCCTCACAATTTCTGGTAGTTTTATAATATCTTCTATACATAAAGAAGTGCTTAAACTGTCTTTAATCCTATAAATAAATTATAATAAATAAATTAAATAAATTATATTTTTAATTTTTTTAATTTTAGATTTTATTAAATCTAATAAAAATCTAATAAATTTATAAAAACTTACATATGTTTTTGTTCAAATTGCATAATGCTTTTTATTATATTCCATGAATTTATATATTCATTTTCAAAATATGCAATACTTATTAAGTGTTCTGATAAATAATTTCTTAACATAGAATCTTTACAATTTATACAAACTTCAAATATATATCTTACTGGATCTTTATTCTGTGAAAAAAATATATTATAAAATATATTTATTATATTTATTAAAAAAATATTTCTTTTAATAAATTCATACTTGTAATTTAAATTTTATATACCATATTATTTAAAATATGAGAAGCTTTATAAATTTGATGTCTTTTTAGAAGTTCTGTAATCCAAATTTCTACTTCTTTGTTGAAATAACATTGAGCATTTTCAATAGAACATCTTTTCCTATAAGCTAAACATTTATAAGCAAGATTAATATGAGTGCCTTTTGCAGATGCTTCCCTGACAAGTTCTCTATCTCCCAATATACGCCAACCAGACCAAATAGCTGCAGGTTCTCCAGTTAAACATTCAACTGGAATACCACCCACTGTAGTTTTATCTGCCATTTTGTTAATATATATTTTTATAGCATATTATAATATTATGCTGAAACAATATAGTTTTTAATAAATTTATATAACATTTTTAAAAATTTATATAACATATTTAATTAAAAATCTCTAAAGTAGATATTTGAAAATATATTAAAATTTTTAAAAAATTTTTTGCATTATTTAAATGTGCTAAATACATGACAAATCTAAAATATCTTAATATGTTATTTTATAGAATAAAAAATAATGTACTATTACAAAGTTAAATATAAAATAGAAAAAATAAATATAGAATAAATAATAATATATTAATATATTTAATATATTTTAATTTTATACCTGTTTTTCTATATGGAAAATATATACATTATATTGTACAAAAAATGTGCATGACTATTGTATAATAAAGTTTGTTTTATATTTTATTCTTATAATTGTCAAATATGATATTAGGAAAAATTTCAATTATCATCATGGAGGATAGTGAAATAGTTACATTTTTTGACGTTTGATGGTGCTGATTGCAGATAACATAAAACTTGTAATAAATTATATGTATATTTATAAACAATAATTTAATTATATTTTAAAATAATAAGTAAATCATATTTATAATAAAGTAATATTTATGAATTCAATAATCTGTAAATCTTACTAAGAAAATAATAATGAACAACTTATATTATTATATATCTTATTTATTTATTTTCTCTTCTACAAATACTATAAAAATAATATAAAAATTATAAAATATGTATTACATAATGATAGTACGAAGAAAACTTAAATACGCTAGTGATGTTTTGAAAACCTACAAAATAAAAAAGATTATAAGTAACAGATGAGTTTTCAAATCTATAATTTTGAATTGAAAAATTTGACAATTTAAAGTTAAAAATTAAATATTAGTAACTTACGCCTCCAAAAGTATATAAAGATAAATCCACTATACTTCCAGCACTAATTTTAATTGGACTATTTGACATAGCAATAATTAAAATAAGATCATGAATTGTTTTTGTCGGTAATTGGAACCAATCGATCATAAAACAGGATAAACCAATACTACTACTCTGATACATAAAAATCAAATAATATATAATGTAATGAATTATGTATGAATTAATTTAGATATTTATAGGGATTATTGACAATAAATTTTATAAAAATACAAATTTTATAAAAATACAAATTTATATCAAGTGATTTTATTTCTTCTATTTCTTATTTTTTTTCCTTTTACAGTAATATAACATAAGTTATAATTATTACAATATGATTGTTAAGTATCAGAAAATGTAATTAATAAAAAAAAGATGAACAGCAGAAACAGATGAAAAAAAGACAAACAAAATTATTATTAAAAAATTAAATTATTAAAAAAATAAATAAATAAAATATAAATAAAGAAATTATGAAATATATATATATCAAACAGATTTTTTTTATTTTTGTAAAAATTTTCGTTATATTTGACATTTTTAATGTTTTTATTTGTACACATACATTTTTATTTGTACAATACAAAAAAAAATTTTTTAAATTAATAAAAAATTTAAAAAGTACTTCTTCAATTTAAAATAAAAATTAAATAAAAAATTAAAAAATTGCATTTGAGACTTTATCTTTTAAATATTCATAATTATAAATTTGGTGAATTGAGAAAAATTTTCATATTCAATTTTTTTTATAAGAATGGAATAATAATCATTATCTACAGTCTTATCTACATACATACATGAGTTTTAAACTGCCGATTATATTTATATAAGTTATTATTATCTTTTTTCTAATGTATATATTGTATTTTTTAAATATGTTTATTAAATATAGTATATAAAAATATAATATACCTTTTCCATTAGACGTTCACCAATATAGCATAATATGAAAATGTTAAATGTTAAAGATATTAATAACATTGTATACGTAGTAAGACTAATAGCATTACTTAATTCCCAATCCTGTCATAAATAAATAAATTCTTAGTTTAGCATTAAGAAATTTATATGAAAAATGAAAAAAAAGAAAATGAAAAGAAACGCACCGTTATACAATAATATTCAAGTAAATATATTAAAAAAGTGGAACCAATACATTCCAGAAAACATAATTCTTGCAGTGCTATTTCTATAGACTCTGAAAATCTATAATCAACCATTATATATGTTTATATACATATATATATATTATATATGTATATATATGTATATATATATGTATATATATAACTATTTTTAATGATTGATAAAAATTTTTTCATATCAATAAATATATTAATAAATTTATTATTGTACTTTAATATTCGCAAATGATGTTTAATAATTTTTATCAATCGTGTGTTCAAATTAAACGTATTTTTAATATATTTGCCATGTATAAGATCATTTAATCGAGCTATAACGATATCAATTTGTCCACAAGCATGTGTTGCGAAAAGTGCTGTTAATCCACAAGAACCGGCAGTTACTGAATACATTATATATCCACAAATGGAATGAAGAAGATACACTAATTCGTAAATGGGGCTTCTTTGAACGTCGAATAGGGCGTTGTATGTAGGATAGACTATCGGTTTGATCGTGCGATTATGTTCATCAATAAACGTACCGATCTTATATTGTATATGTAAGATCGTGTGAAAAATACTACCAGTATATATAAAAACGGCACAAATTATTGTCAAATTTTGACCTATTTGCCCATATTTTAACATTGCTTTGCGATCCTCATGCAATTCTATCTGCCACATCCCATAAGGATGTTCCCTTAACAAAACACTAAATATTTTAATAAAATAACAAAGATTATAATTAAATAATACGAATATATTCATGATCATGCTTTTTAATCAACTGTTGGAAAATTTAGAAATTATACAATTATTAATTTATTAACATGAAAGTTGTTTTTTAACTTTTTATTTTTATTCAATTTTTTAAATTAATTTACTGACCTGTTCCCAATCAATCCATATTTGTTCAATGCAATCCTTGATTCTTGGTTTACGATATGTGAGTGTCCAGTATTTTATCAATGGTCGAGTAGTACTACGTTGTTGAAAATTTTGGGTAAATTTGAAATAAAACAAAAAGTGAATGAATGATCGTGTGAAGAGGAATTGATAAATTTCCGTGTGAAGAGGAATTGATGAATGATAGTGTGAAGAGGAATTGATGAATAATCGTGTGAAGAGAAATTGATAAATTTCCGTGTGAAGAGGAATTGATGAATGATAGTGTGAAGAGGAATTGAT